GATCCACCGGCCATTCACCAAATTATCTACATTTCGGGAAACCATGTGATGCTTTATGCGATACAGTCCCATTAGAAACTGCACGTATCGAAGCAACTGAAAAGTCAAACAACGAGAAACGTCAACGTAAGGAAGCCTTCGACGAAAAACATCAATCCTCAGCTTTCGATATAGGAGACCTAGTCATACGTAAACTGGCCACTCATCACCCGTCACATAATAAGTTATCGCCAACTCATACAGGACCTTACGTCATTCTACGTCGACTTGGTATGGAGACGTATTCCATTGGCCTATTCGACTCACGTGGTATTACGACGTCTACATCAGCGCACTCATCTCAGCTCCGTCGCTTTCACTTACGTGCGCCCCTCAACGGCGGGGGAGTGATAGAGGTTTTACCAAATTACCGGTCACCAGAGGTCAGCACATCTCAACCTACTTGTTCCCAACAGTCCAACACATGCGCACCGATACCTATACCTCAAGTCATTGCTATATAAGAGCTAACACTACTCTATTCTCGCTCTCTTACGTTTTCGCCTCTCCACGAGTACACTTCAATTATACTCCGTATAACGTTAACGTCTTACGTAGAGGCGAAAATGGTTTCCCGAAGTGTAGATAATTTGGTGAATGGCCGGTGGATCCGTGCGGCGTATTGTTGTAATTGTGTAGAACCTTTGGTAGTAGAGCTGACCACGCGTTTCGAGGATTATCCTGCTTTGCTAAACGGAGTTTTCTTACGATTAAATCATTAGCCTTTTCGCACAGACCGTTGGCTTGGGGATGATACGTCGACGTTAAAACATGACGTACTCCGTTTGTGGTTATGAAGTTGCCTAACGTTTTGGATGTAAAGTTGGACCCTCTGTCCGTTATAAGTTGTTTTGGAATCGCAATATCTTTGAAAAGGTTCTTAAGAAGTCGGATAACTGTCTTCGTCTTGTTGTCAGATGTGGGGTATGCCCAGACATACCGTGAGTGATGATCAACAATTAACTGAATGTATTTTAACGTCGACGTTGACGTCGACCCCATAACGATGGTATCCATAGCCCAAATTTGATTTGGCTGGTCGGGTGTCTGAATTGGTTGTAGTTTTCCTAATGGTGGTTGATTACTTGGTTTTACTATTTGACAGTTTCTACATGAGCGGACGTATGAGGAAATCATATCAGTTGCTGATGGCCACCAGTAGTGTCCACCAATAAGTTGAGTGGTTGCAGCGATTCCGGGGTGCCCATGGTCGTCGTGATAATGGCGAAGGACTTGCATTTGTAAAGATGGTGGTACGTAATATCGCTTTAAGCCACGGTGACGATGAACCACAAGGCCTTCATTATCTTTATAAAATTTTGATGGGACGTTGACGTCGTCTAGTACGTCGGACGTTGACGTGTTACGTTGAGCTTTCTTGAGTACTTCAACGTTGATGAGCAATGAAACGGGATTTCTGGATAAGGCGTCGGCCGCTTGATTGCGTTTTCCCGATCTGTGGTGAATAGTGTAGTTATAGACTGATAATCTAATGGACCATCTGAAGAGTCGATTGTTGGAAGTATTTTTGATGTTAAGCAGCCACTGCAAAGCCGAATGGTCCGAAAATACGTCGACGTGCTTTCCGTGCACGTAGACGTGCCATCTCTCCATGGATTCAATCACTGCAAGACATTCCATCTCTGATGTTGTGTACTTTGATTCATGGATGTTGAGCCGTCGGGAGTAATATGATACGACCCTCTTATGTCCGTCTTCGTCGGGTTGCATTAGTATGGCCCCGATCCCGATCTTGCAGGCGTCGGTATAGATAATTACAGGCCGATCGTCGCGGTAGATTGCCATAACAGGCGGTGTTATTAATGCTGTTTTTAGCTGAATAAAGGCGTTATTTTATTCAGTAGTCCATACAAATGGTTGTTCCTTCCGAAGTAGTCGAGTTAGCGGTTCAGCTATTATCGTGTAGCGATTGATAAAACGGTGATAAAAATTACACATCCCTAAAAACTGCTGGATGTCATGGTCTGATTTTGGTTGTGGATATGCGCTGACAGCTTTGGACTTCGATGGTGAGGGCATAACGTTACCGTCCTTTATTACATGCCCTAAGTACTCGATTTCATTGACTGAAAACTTACACTTTTCACGTCGAAGTCTGACGTTAGAGTTGTTTAGACGTTGAAGTACTACGTCTAATAGATTGTCGTGAGCTTCTTTAGTTGACGCGTGAATGATAATGTCGTCCAAATATGGTATGACTCCTGAGTTGAGTAGATCACCAACGACTTGACGTATTATTCGTTGAAAAGTTGGCGGTGCATTTTTGAGGCCAAAGGGTAAGACAAGCCATTCGTATTGGCCGTCGGGTGTAACGAATGCGGATTTTTCAATTGATTCCGGGGCCATGGGTACGTGCCAGTAACCCCATGCCATATCTAAAGTTGTGAAGTACGTTGACGTACTAAGTTGATCGATCACGTCAACAATTCTGGGTAACGGTTCACGTTCATCAACCGTTACGGCGTTGAGTCGTCTGTAGTCGATACAGAGACGTTTGGTCCCGTCCTTTTTTGAAGCGAGGGTCACGGGAGATGCGAATGGGGACGTAGAGCGTCGAATAAGTCGTTTGTCGAGGAGAATCTGAATTTGTCTCCGTATTTCTGTTAGGTCTGCGAGTGAGTGGCGGTAAGAGCGTTGATGAATTGGGGCCTGATTTGGCAACAGGCGAATTGTGTGGGCCACGTTGGGGATCCGTCCAACTTCGTTGGGGTCCGATGAGAAGAGTGAGGGGTACTTATTAAGAATGCGTTGTACCGAGACGTTAAAGTATTATGAGTGTGGGTAGGCTTAGCTACGAGGCATACGTGCCGTTGATACGTGAAGGGATTCTCTTGAGATACGATTCGACGTTTGAAATCCAAATGAAGTGAGAAATCCGAAGAAGTGGGGATACCGATTATGAGTGAGTTGGGTGCGTCGCTTAGCACGTGAACGGGGACTCTAAGAGCCGTATTATTTATAGTTAATGTGACGATTAGGCGGCCGTCAGATTTCGTTTTTCCATTGACTTGGATAACGTTAATAGCGGTTTGCGGGTCAGGACGTAGACGTAAGACGTTGATAAATTCTCTGCTGACAACATTAATTGTTGACCCAGAGTCAATTATTGCACGAATTGGATAATTGTTGACCCGCACCGCGATTTCAATTAAAGACGACCGCCCTGAAAGTTTCCCTGATTGATGGGGTCTTCACCTTCAAGACGATATGCGTAAGTTTGAGCCGTTTGATTGAGTGGACGTGAGAAGTTAACGTTAGCGTAAGACGTTGGATCATTTCGTTAAAAGTCGTTGTTTTCAACGTTAACGTAATACGTTGGATCAGTATGTCGGACGCCAATGTCTTCAACGTTAACGTAATCCGTTAACGTGTTATGTGTGTCTCTCACGTTAACGTAATTAACAGGTGCGCTATTCGGTCTATTATATTGTCTTTGGATTTGTGGTCTAAAAGTTCTAACCTGCGTTGCGCTTTGATTGTTGAGCTGTTGGCGGTTCGGGAAAGACTGTCTGATGTTTTGAGTCATCAGAGGACTACGTTGTCTGCACTCTCTATGCCAGTGCCAAGAAGTGATTCCAACGTCTGCACAATAGCGGCAAGGGTTCGGAGGACGACTTTGACTTGGCTGTGAATTGGTATCCGTAATCATTGCATACGTCGCTTTACGTTGGAAGACGTTAACGTCCTTTGTAGCAGTCCTTTTTGGAAGTGACGACTCAAGTCTCTGTGCAAGAGTTAACCAATCGATATGATTATTTGGCAATGCACACAATAAATATCCTTTGTAAGCGTCTGGCATTCCTGCTGTTAGTTGGCCAACGATATTGTTGTCATTTAGCTCCGCTTGTCGCAACAATCTCATTTTTGAGTCGAAGTAGTCCAGTACGGATTCCGTTGACATAAGACGTCTCTCTTGGGCGATAACAAATGCGTCTCGACGAGGGGCACCAAAACGCTTGATGAAGTGTTCCTTCACTTGGTCCCATGTTATGTCTGCTATGCTAGCTATTTCTGTAGCATACCAGTTCAGCGCGTCATCTGTTAGGTATGCCATTAATGTAAATACGCGATCGCTGTTAGATTGGGAACGAGTTAGGACCTCAAATAGATTTAACCATAGGTCTGCCCGTATGACCGTTTTATGTCCGCTGTATTTTTCAAGCGACGGGCGGTGATTATACGTTGGCGTCATGGCGTCTGTTGATGTAGACGTTTGAGTGGCGTTAGTGTTTGGCATTTCCGGGTCTGGTGTTACTGTTTTGAGGTAACCGCTTCTAAGCCGAATGATTGATGGTTATTGCGGAGGATATCCTGCCGGTCCTGCGCCAATTGATACGAGTTTTGACGTGTGGTCTGTCTACGTTGACAATATACGCTGAAGTTGTCTTAGAGGATGACACGTAGACGGGTTATGTTGACATTGACTTCAGATGTTGACGTGTACGTGCGAAATGTACGTGACGTGTTGACATAAAGAGCAACGCGTGACGTGAACGTGTGACGTGAACGTGAGTGTTTATATCGTGCGCGCGGCGTAAACGTGGTGTTGACCAAACGGTGGTACGAGCGTTGAACGGCAGAGAAACGCGAGGCGGTATTGATGTGAATGTGATGTCAATAAATGATAGCAAAAGGGCTGACGAGCAATGGTGGGTCTCCGATGATATTGTGGTTATAATGTGTCCAAAAGATAATGTAAATAGTGATCACGAAAGTGTATAAATGGTAAACACAGTTTAAAATGTATAACTTATAACTCTTTATTAAAAATGAACTAAATTAAGATAATTTGTAAAAACACATGTGTATAATAAAATATAATTAAAATAGGAAACGGAAGTTAAGTTAACGTAAGACGTTAACGTTATACGGAGTATAATTGAAGTGTACTCGTGGAGAGGCGAAAACGTAAGAGAGCGAGAATAGAGTAGTGTTAGCTCTTATATAGCAATGACTTGAGGTATAGGTATCGGTGCGCATGTGTTGGACTGTTGGGAACAAGTAGGTTGAGATGTGCTGCCCTCTGGTGACCGGTAATTGGGTAAAACCTCTATCAAAATAATAATTTTTTTACTTTATAAAGTTAGTGTTTTTTCTTATTTATGTCACATATATTATTATTACAAGTGTATTATCAATAATGAACTAGCATATTTTATAAATTTAAAAAAAACTAATAACTTTATAAAGTAAAAAAATTATTATTTAAAAAATATAAATCAATAAATTTTACTGTATATTTTAAAATAAATTTTATTGATTTATATATATATATATATTTGATAATAAATATGTAATATATTTTTTTAGAAAATATTTATAATTTTTTTTATTGCTTTATAATGTTTTGTAGTGTTTTTTATTTTATAATGTTAAATAATTATATTAAATTTATGTTAGACATTGCATAAATATTGTACTGGATAATTTTTATAATCAAAAAAAAAATTAGTTTATATTTTTAAATTATAATATCAATAGATTTCACTAATTAAATAATTTTTATCAAAAAAAATGATAAAACTCGATAACATTTTTACTAAAAAAAAAAATAAAAATAAAACTACAAAATATATTAAATTTTTATTTATTCAAATTGTTAATAATAATATGTTTAATATAGTTATACAATAATAACAAAAAATTATTAATATTATTAAATAATAATGTTTTTTTTAAAAAAAACAATTATTGATAATCTAATAAATCAATTAATTTATCGCCAATTTTTTCCGATGCAATTGATATGTAATGTTCGTCGACTTTAATTAAATTAAACGTCAAATTATTTGTTTCCTATTTATTATATAATTAAAATTTAATAATTAGAAAAAAAAACAAATTTTTTATAATAAATTAAAAGTATTTAAAAGTTTTTATATAGAAATTAATTTCTAATTTTCCATTAAGTAGTCTATTATTTTAAAAGATAATATCTAATGATAACCAATGATTAGGATATAAAGTTTTGTTAAAAAATTATTGTACAATAAAATCATAGGTATATAATCAACAACAACAACAAAATAACTATAAAAATAACTTTTTAAATAAAACTAATTAAATAAGGTTTTATAATATTATAATATTAAAATTGTTTGAATGTTTGATAATTGTATAACATATCTCTATATTTACAATAGTATTGTAAAAATTATTGTACAATAAATTCATAGGTATTTAATCATCAAAAAACTATAAAAATAACTTTTTAAATAAAACTAATTAAATAAGTTTTTATAATATTTGTGTATTTATTTATATATATACTGTATATATATATATATATATATATATATATATATATATGTATTAATTGTTTGAATGTTTGATATTTGTATAACATATGTTTCATATAACAAGTCTCTATATATTTACAATAGTATTGTACAATAAATTCAAAAGTATATAATAACTTTAAAATAAGTTTTTTTTTAAATATTTGTATATTTTTTTAATATCGATATATAGTTATTGTTTTACCGGATTTGTTGGCAAAAAGTATAACTGATTTGTTTTGTTGACAAACACTTCTTCGTCATCAATATTATTGAACTCTTTGAACAACGGTTTGATTATTGTTAGCTTTTGCCTACTTTTAGACCATTTATCCATCAGATTCTTGGACTTCGTTTGTGTCATCAATTTCTTCATTTTCTGCGACCTATAATCGGTCAACAGTTTTGCCCGTTTCAGTGAATTACGCAAAATTTCTTCCAAATCGGTGGCCACCAGACCGTGGCCGGCAAACTCGCGTATTTCGTTGCACGCGCGCTGAACACGTGCATCAATAGTTGGCTCGGATTTCATGTCACGATAGATCTTATACTTAATCGATTTCGGGATATTAGTCGATATAAAACCGATGATAAACTCCATTAGGAATTCATCGGTAACCGCGTCCTCATTGAACTGTGTTTCCGATAGTATATCAATAATAACGGCTCGTTTGACACCACGAGTCTTGCGGACTATTTTAGTGGCAATGAATGCACAGTCAAAGTAGCCGACGATGTCGTACAACAAATCATTGTTGTTGTTGTTGTTGTGGATAGTGTTCAATAGGTCTATAAAATATTTGGTCATATCATTGACCGATTCTATGCCATCCAAATCGCGCGTCCAATTGATACCGACAACTGGCCTACGAAATCGTTTGGCCAGCGCTTCAAATTGTTTGAACGATCCGTCGACGGTCGGCAATAAATATATGGGTCGACCAGCGGTAATGTTATTCAATTTGACGGTCCTATCCGTCGGTATAATGAATTTCAAGTTCAATAGATTGGTTTTGGCCATTTCAAACTCCTGGACGTATCGGCTAACGTCATCCACTCGACCCGAATCATAGAGTTTGATGTGTTGGACAGTTATATTCCTGATGTTATTCAACGATATTTTTATATTATACTCCCGTTCCAACTCCTGTTGCAATTCGACGGCAAACATCGACTCCAGTCCGAGTTCGCCGAGTGATAGATAATCGGGTGTATTGTCCGGATGGACGCCCAATGCTCGCCAAAGTTTCTTAATCACACGTTTTTGACGGCTTTCCGATTGCATTATTCGTTCAGATATTAGCTTTAAAAAAATTGTTACATTTTTTTAATTGTTTAGATATTATAGTCTTTAGTGGGAATTTAGTGGGGATTTAGTGGGGATTTAGTGGGGATTTAGTGGGAATTTAGTGGGRATTTAGTGGGGATTTAGTGAGAATTTAGTGGGAATTTAGTGGGAATTTAGTGGGAATTTAGTGGAAATTTAGTGGGAATTTAGTGGGAATTTAGTGGGAATTTAGTGGGAAGTTAGTGGGAATTTACTCAAATTTGGCAAAAATTGTCAATTAAAAATGCAATAAAAAATGTTCAACCCCCACTATACCCCCAAGCTTTTTCGAAAATTTTGCCATTTCACCACCAACCCCCCCCCCCCCCTATACCACCCCCTTAAAAGCGAAAACCTTTAGCAACCCTGTTATAGACATATCGGTACAGGAAGTAAACAAACATAAAACAAAAGTAATAATAATAATAATTATTATAATAATATTTACATATGAAGTGACAATCAGTTTATCGACGGCCAGTAGTCTATCCATGACTTCAAAAACCGAATTGATTCTCTGTTTCTTCATATTAGACATCTGGACGACCTGATCCTTGTTAGACAGGGCGCCCACATCACCGATCGGACCAAATTGTATGGCCAGTGCTTTCAATCCATCACCAGATCTTTGTTCGCATAATCGTTCGCACATTGAGTTACCAAAAGCATAGTTACTTTGACCGCCGTTTCCTTTGCCCGCAATTAACGACGAAAATACAACAAAATAATCTAATTTGATGTCCAATTTGCGAGTCATTTGATCCAAATTAGCAAATATTGCATATTTTGAGGCAACAGTTGAACCAAATGTATCAGTTGTTTGGTTTTCCAGCAACAGATCATTCAATAATAGTGTCAAATGAAAGACACCGCCAATTGTTTTACCCAATTGTTGTGATTCACCTAAAAGTTGTTTTGTGCCGTCAATTGTCAGACAATTAGCCGTCGATACTATGATTTCCGATGAAAACATTTTGTATTTTTTACCGAAAGTTTCTAAACGTTTCAAAATATATTTTTGATAATCATTTTTGATGCCATTACGTGAGTTTAGGACAAACTTTTTTGCCCCCTTATATAGCATCCAATGAACTAATTCAAGACCACAACCACCCAAACCACCCGTTATTATATAGACTTTGTTTGGATTAAAATATGTCTTAGTTGTTACTAATAAACCAATGGATGGATTCATATCTTTAACAGCATTTCTATCGGATTCTTCGTCTCTAATCTTAATAATAATTTTTCCGATATGTTTACCGGTTGTCATATACCTGAATGCCTTTTCCGCTTCATTAACTCCAAATACAGTCCTATTAATTGGTTTAATACATCCATTTGAAGAGTTTTTATGCATCCATTCAAAGAAATTGATGGCAAAATCCTGAGCCTCAAACAGACACATATCGAAAGCGACACCAATGAATGATATATCTCTCAAAAAGTCAAACATACCGATCTGTTTGTTTTGCATTTGATCATACTTTCCCAGTTCAACAAACCGACCCCTATTTGCCAGACACTCGTAACTGGCGTCCAATTTTTCACCGGTCAATGAATTCAATACCAAATCGACTCCTTTTCCTTTAGTTAACTGTTTTATCCTTAACTTAAACAATATATCTCTTGAACTGAATATTCTGTTTTCAGGAATATTATATTCTTTGATAAGAAACTGTTTTTTGTCTTCAGTTCCAACCGTCACAAAGATATCGCAGTTATAGTATTGGCATATATTTATGGCCGCCTGACCCACACCTCCAGCACCCGAATGTATTAAAATACTTTCATCTTATAATAAAAGTTAAAAATAAATTTTAGTATTTTACAAATCAATTAATTAATACATTATTATAATTTATTTTTTAAAAAACATACTCTTCATTAAATCAGCCCTATATATCAAACCATACCAAACGGTGATATATGTGGTCAATATAGTGACCGCATCATCCATTGACCAGTGTGTCGGTATACTAGTTATAAATTTGCTATTTGCCTGAACACTAGTAGCAAAACATCGGGTTATACTCATACCCATAACCCGTTCACCAGTGTCTATACGACGTCCGACAAACTCATAACCAATTAAACAATCAGTAATTAATTCCAACTCTGATATTGTTAAACGACCTAAAAAGTAAATTTTTAAAAAAAATATTACTAATTGAGAGATAAAAGTAAAAAAAATTAAAAATTAAATACCGGTTGCAAACATAACGTCACGAAATGTTAGTCCAGAACTGTATATATTGATCGGTATTTGTTTTATTCGGTTATTTAAAAAATCATAGACTCCTTCATCGGACGGCACCAAACATCGAGAATCAAACCATTGAAGACTTGACAGATCTCTTCCCTGACCGATACTCAAGAAGTAGTCATTGGATCTGATTTTATCGTAATCTTTGTTTAGTTTGAGATGTCTATAAGTTCCCACTTTTGGCTGATGTTTGCCATCATATTTGTTGATGACATTAACAGCCAAACCATTGGCCAAAATATGTTTGTATTTTTGATAAAAATCCAAACAATTGATATCATTATTATCGGTCGTAATATTGTAATCGATAATACATTTGAAACAATTGCCTCCCGGTTCCAGTCTTAGGCTATTAATTAGACTTATAATACCGTTTCTATAGGAATCAATGGCCATCAGCCAAACTGTATCACTACTTGATTTATTTTCTTGCAATTTTGGTAACCAATTATCATAGTCTAATGAATCGACCATGATCACTTTTGATAAATCAGGGTTGCCATTGACCAGTTCGCTAGCCGTTTTGCGATAGAGTAGAGCCATAGTACCGATGGTGTCGTATTTGCGGCCAATTAGCCGAAGACCCGCTCGATTAGCAGCCGTAATAAACTGGTCGATCCGTTGCTCCAGAAACGTGTTGTCCAACAGTTTTCCACTCTTAACTGTATCGTTGTTGACGATGTTGTTTAACATTAGCTCCGTATCCGTAAACCTATATCTATGAATTGTCAACAAAAATCCATTGCTGACAATATAGTCGCTTAAATTTATGATAAATTTGTCGACATCTATGTTGTTGTCATCGTAGATATGCTGCGAATCTCTCGCAACAATAAAATCGGCAATCGATATATCAGTGGGAAAATCACTATCTCTTGTCTGCCAAACACTGGCAGCATATCTGTCCTGTAATGATAAATCGTTTAGCAATACATCCATCGATCGGACAATTAGTTTGTAGTTGACATCAATTGGATAGAAATGATAGTTTGACATTAATTTTTCAATTTCTTTGGCCAACAATCCATGAGTTAAGTTAATTTCAACAACATTTATGGATTTTTGTGGCACCAGATTTTCATTGACAATATCGACCAACGATCGTAACAACAAATCATTTGTATGGATCTCATTAGTGATGTCTTTAGCAAAATCATATTCAGGTTCGGACTTAATTTCTGACCATATTTTTCCAACAATTTTACTATTATTATCATTTAGTATCATATTATCAATAATATTGTTTTCGTTGTTATTATTTGTAATTATAATATCATTATTAAGATAATTTTGACCGCAAATAGTTGTCAATATTTTATCCAAAATACGAAACATTACAAAATTTTCATTGTTTAATGATTTTCTATATTTTTCTATTAATTCATTGTTTATATTAGTGTTGATATCGTATAAAATATTATTATTATTAACACCAATTTTTTTTATCAAAACAATCAACATTTTGCAAACCTATTTTGATTTCATAGTAAATATATAGTTAAAAAAAAGTTTATACCAATTTTATACATTAAATTAATCTGTATTAATTCGTATCTTATTATTATAATATATATATGTATTTACCTCTAAATATTCAGAAATCGTATGCTTTAGGGACGGTTCGATGGCATCCATGTCCTCATTGGCGACAAACTCATAGGAATCGAGTACCAGATCCTGATTGTCTGATCGTCGGGTAATGGGAAACACTATGAGATCGCAGATTTCGATACCATAGGTGACCAACAATTTCGTGTCGTAATCAAAATAAAACGATACCAACGATTTGTATTTATGAAAGCGTTCAGAAATCTGTTTAAGTATTTCATCGGTCTGTTCATATAAATCCGTATAAGCTGTCTGTTCGTTAACATCCAGTTCCTTAGGACGACATTTCCATTTGGCCACTTCTTGACAGTCTTTGTCGGCGATTTTGTTGACGACTTGGTCGTCATCATCGACGGTCAATCGATTTTTGACGATAGCCTCGAAAAACAGTTTCGGATCGATTTTAAGCGATTTGATCATTACGGGTACCATTAGCTTACGAAACGGTAACACAAATGCCGTCGACTGTAGTACTGAGTCGAGAAACGGTACAAACAGTCCGTTCCATTCGCAACTACCGAGTATTTCGACAAAATTGTTGGTCCGAACCCGTTTCAGACGTCTGAATGCCGGTCCGTAATCGTAGCCAACAATACGTAACTCTTTGTAGATGTCATCTCTGGACAAACTATACTCATCGGTTAGCTCCCGGTTCTCATCATTCTCATAGATTAGATTCTGTGCGTATAGTCCATCATCGGTTAATCGGCTAACTTTACCCGAACAACAAACATTATCATTTTCCAATATTACAAAATCATCTGAAAAAAATTGATAACTAATTATATAACTGTGATATAATTATTAGTTTTAGTTTTTTTTATTAAATTAATAAAATGTTAAACACTAAATATAATTAATTGTTATTATTATTACTGTAATATGTTGTTGTTATTGTTAATTATAAATATAATATTACTTAATAATTAAAAAAAACTAATTAAAATTATAAAACTAATAATATATATATTATAATTACAGCATTATCATTCAAACTGAAATGTAAAAGCATTGTAACTTAAAAAAAAATTTGTTTAGAAATAATATATTTATTTTATATAAAAACTTACAGCTATTTTGTAATATTTTGTTGTTGAATATTATAATTAATAAAATATTATTTAATAATTTAAAAAACAAAATAAAATTATAGGAATATTAAAACTTATTATTATTACAGTATTATTATTATTATTATTATATTAAACTGAACTGTAAAAGCATTGTAACTAAAAAAAAATAGTTTAGAAATAATGCAATTTATTTTATGTAATTGTTTTGTTTGATTATTTGATAAACAAATAAAAACTTACGGCTATTTTGAAAGTATCTGACTTTCAATCGGGTCGGCGACGTATCGGACAGAAAAACTGATCGTTTGAATTGTATGTTTTCAAACTGGACGGCCGTTTTGTTCCAGATTTTGCCGCAATAGCTGGCAAAGTGTCGCCAAACTAACATTATATAGCCGGTGGCCGGAAATAGTATGTTGCCGTCGATAGCGTGATCGGCATAATAACAATCTTCAGGCATCTGTATGTTGACCGCAACGTTCATATCCGATGCCGTGCTTCGGGTATAAAACTCGGGATATTTTCTGCAAATGTATTGATGCGAATGATCCCATCGAATGAGCGATCCTATTGATTGGGTATTTCTGGCCACTGGCCACTCGACAGGCGGATAGAGCTTATCGATAGACGGATTTAATCCCAATTCGTATAGTTTGGCCAAACACGACAAAAACAGATCCAAATTCGTGTCGTTCGAGTCTTTCTTCATAAACGACAAATAAGTGGACGACTCAAGAGTTTCGGTAACTATTTTGCCGAATACCGTATGCGGACCCATCTCTATGACAATCGAATCGGTCGGAAGTGTTTTCAGGCGATCATAAAAATGGACAGAATTTAACACATTATATGCAAAATACTCTGAAGAAGCGTATTTCAAGATGTCGTTGTTGTCATTGTCCTGTTGTTCTAAGTTTACCACTGATGTCGACAACCATCGACTGGATCTGAGCCGTGGTTTTAATATGTATTTTCTGGTTGTCTCAATCATTGGCTTAACCGAACTCTCCATATATGGCGAATGATAGGGTATACCACTGCTGTCCAATTGGCGAACAAATACACCCATAGATCGTATCTTTTCAATCAATTCCTCCATTTCTTGTTGTTTGCCTATAATTATGTATAATTATCAAACAGATTAATTGAATAAAAATTATTAACAGATTATAATTAAAATTGATTACCAGATACGACAACAGTATCTTTGGCATTATTGCAGACCACATACACTCCTTGTGTACACAATTTCTTTGCTTCGTTTTTCGACAGACCCACGACAGCCATCAAACCTTTCGGTATTTTCTTATCGTTTTCAGTGACGGCTCCTCTAATGTATGACACAATTATTGCCTCTTTTGTGGTCAGACATCCGTCAGCGTAAGCACAGGCTATCTCACCAAATGAATGTCCAATAATACCGTCGACATTGATATCCAATGCTTTAATCACATCAAACAACGCCAACTCTATAGCAGTTGTCGTACAGAACTTAGCAGTCATTGTTGAGATGGAAGTGTTATCTTCAGAGAGTAACCAATGTTTTAAATTGACATTAAATTCAAGTAATATTTTATGACATTCTTCGACTTTATTTTTGAAGATATCGATTGGCATTAAAGCCTTAGCCATTGCAGGCCATTGTCCGCCCAAACCCGGAAACAACAGCCAAACAGGTCTTAAAGATTTGCATTTAAATAATGAAAATTGTTTTTTATATTCATATCTAATGTTTTTGTTATTATTGTTGTCATCACTTAATTTCTTTAAAATAATTGATCCTAAATTAAAATATTTAATATTATTTAATAATAAAAAAATATTAAATTTAATTTTATCTATAAATTAGTTAAATAAACCTCTGTAGGGAAATCCAGATGAATTAACACTGGGACTGACTTTCATAGTATCGGTCAAAAGGGCTAAAAAGTCGCGCGTGATTTTGTGAGGATTTTTTTCGATAAATTCAAACACGTGTTGAATGGCGGCTTCAGTGCGGCCGCAGATGTTTACAATACGCGGTATGGGTTCGGCAATATCCAGGCCTTTATCGTCGGCCAACTTATAATTACATTCAATGAGTACGTGTCCGTTGGCACCTCCAATGCCAAAGTTATTTATGCCGGCAATGGCTGTACATATTTTAAAAAAATTAAATTAATTATATATGTAGCTTATGTATGTATGTTTGCTTTTGACTCATACCTGGCTCATAGGCCAATGGTTCAGTATTGGGATACAGTGGTGGACAGTAGTGTTTGCATTCATTTTTTATTGTTTTCAGATTAATATTAGCCGGTATTAACTCGTTTTCAAATACTAGACATGTCTTAATGATTGCCGATACACCCGATGCCGCTTCCGTATGACCCGTACTACTCTTGAGTAGACCAAGCGGTAGATATCCTATACGATTAGGTGTCGAACAGTAGGCATTATAGATGGCCTTAACCTCTTGAGGATCGCCCACCTATTTAGTTGTATTAATATATATAAACTTTTGTATTTTATATACAGTATATGGTATGGTATGAGTACTATCTTACTCTGGTTCCCGTACAATGAGCTTCAAAATAGTTGACTTTCAATGGATCCACATTAGCCTCTTTGTAGGTCATAATCATCAGATCTTGTTGTGCTTCTGTCGATGGAAAGAACATGCCTTTGGTTTTCTTGCCGTCAACATTGACACGACTGGCCAACACTGAGGCATAGATACGGCGAGCCTCGGGTCGTCTCTGGAGGAATAGACAGGCAATGGCGTCACCCTTGACAAAGCCATCTGCCTCCTGGTCTAACACCGACGACAGGCCACGCGGTGAACAAACACTGATCTCCTGAGACATTTGGACGATAAACGGTTCAAATGTCATATGAGTGCCGCCGACCACAGCGTAGTCAACATTGCCTATGAATTAGAGGTTATATATAGTAATATATATTTGAATTATATGTTTTCATTTACAATATAATATTAATATTAATAATCCGATACCTAATTTCAAGTCATTTATGGCCAAATTAAAGGCCACAATACTGGCCGAACAGGCCGTATCAGTCATAAGCGACGGTCCCTTAAAGTTAAAAACATAGGATATCCGGTTGGCGTACATAGACTTTGAATTGCCCACAATCTGCAACATTGTCGACTGTCTACTCGCCATAATGTCCGGCTGTATCTCTTCGGGATAGCTATCGGTCATAGCATAGGTCGACACACCGATATAGACACCGGTTTTCGTGCCGCTCAATGAACTCGGATTTATACCTATAATATTAAAAATCGATAAAATCTAATATAACACACAAATACACAGAATTTTTTGTTGTTGGTATTTATAATAATAATAATTATTATTAAAATAGCATTTATGGTTACCGGCGTCGACAATGGCCTCGTATGTGGTCTCCAATAGTTTACGCGATTGCGGATCAATTTCCATCAGTTGTTCAGTAATACCGAAGAAAAACACATCGAAGCGGTCAAAGTCCCTAACCTTTCCTTGTCTTGAATTAATTCCGTATAAATCTTTTGATTTGTTTTGTTTTATTATTTATTTATTTTTTTTGTAATAATTTTTTTTAGTTAATTAATTAAAAGAAATTAATTTAAAAAACTTTATTAGCATATTAACATTAATTAACACTCAGACATACACACACATACACACACATACACACACACACACACATACACACACATACACACACATACACACACATACACACACATACACACACATACACACACATACACACACATACACATACATACACACATACACACACATACACACACATACACACACATACACACACATACACACACATACACACACATACACACACATACACATACATACACACACACATATATACATATTAATTGATAATTAACTAATTAACTAATAACCTTTAGGCCATCGACAATCACCGTCATCGGCATCGGTAACCATATCGATACCATTGTATAGATTGTCAGCAAATTCATCGATATTATCAGATAATGGGAACCGACCACTCATACCACTGATTACTATATCATTATTTATATTCATTTTTAAATGAAAAATATTTTTTTGTTGTTGATTTGCACACACAATAAAACTTAACAATTGTTTTTATTTTTATTTTTGTTACTTATTGTTATCTATAAGTTTGAATACTTGACTTAATAAAAAACTAACCATATTTAACAAACTAAAATATATGAATTATTTTAATGATATATATATAAATTTAAGCTAAAATTTAATTAATTAATTTTTTGTAATTTTAGTAAAAAATGGTTTATAATTATATTAAATAAAATTATACTCATAACAAATATGATATATTTTAAATTTAATTAATAAAATAACTGATTTTATTACTAATATTAGAATTTTTAATAAAAATGTTATATTAATAGTTTTTATAAAAAAATTTTTGTATTATATTAAAATACACACACACACATACACACACATACACACACACACACATACACACACACATACACACACACACACACACACACACACACACACACACACACACACATACACACACACACACACACATACACACACATACACACACATACACACACATACACACACATACACACACATACACACACATACACACACATACACATAAAAAATAAATGTTAATAAACAAATTAAAATTTTAATATATATATTATTACTTGTTAATTACTCTATAAAAATATTAATTACAATTAATAAAACTTTTTATTTTATTTATTAAATATTTATTAATTTTTTATTAAAAATATTAACTAATCAGTTTCACTATTAATTTATAATATACTAATCAATATGGTACACTAATTTGTTTTTATTATTTATAATGGGTTTTAATGGGTAAATATGATAATATTTTTTTAATTTATTAGTAGTTTTTTTTATTAAAATGTTTATTCAATAATATTTTTAAGAAATATATCAATTGAAATAATATATTAAAACTACATGTATATATGATATATATATATACAGTATATATATATATATATATATTAAGTGTATAATTTAGAAATATATTATAATCAAATTAAACATAACTAATAATTTTTATTTTATTATTGTTACACTTTTAATAATATTTTTTTAAATAAAATAAAACAAGTAATAGTAAATTATTAAATAAATTATCATACTCAGTTATCTAGTTTCTAGTAATTTATGTATAATAATTTTATAATATTTTATACATATAATTTTATTTTTAATAAAAAAAATAAATTTATAGCTTTTAGCAAATAGTAATTAGTTTTTAATTAATTGATTATTTATTTAAATTATATATTAAAAAAAATAATTATATATGATTTATATAATACTGTCTCATATATATATTTTTTGGACTAAATAGATATTTCAATATAACTACCGGTTAATAATTATACAAGTTTTTAAACAAACAAAAAACAAAAAAAAAATTAAATTTATATTTTGAAAATAAAAAATTATTTATTATTATTGATAAAAAAATAAATATAACAATAGTTTACAAAATTATTATTTATTTTTTTAGTGTATTTACTAGTAATATAGTAATAATTGGTAGACTTATGTAGAAAATTAATAATTATTATAACGATATTTTTTTTAAATATTAAAATAAATTCAATATTTTTAATTAAACTAATAATGAATGATAAATACAAATAAAAAAAAATTTTGAGGATTAAATAATATTATTCATAATTCATTAAAAAAATAAACACTTATTTCAATAGTTATACATAAAATTAATGATAATTTATTTCCATATATTTATTTATTATAAATATTATTACTAATATTTACATATTTTACTTTTCAAAAATAAAAAATAAAACACAAAATTTTTTATCACAAATATGAGATTATATAATATATATATATAATATTTTTTTTATAAAAAAATGTTGATTTTTTTGTTGACTTTTTTTTGTTGCTTGATCAAATAACTAAATTAATATTTTTTTTCTCATTACAATATATACATATATATATATGATATAAAACTTATTAATAAAATGATTATTTGATAATTAGAAAAAAATAAAATAATTATTATTTATATATAAAAAAAAATAATTAATTAATTAATACTAAATAATTGGTGCGTTTTTTTGTGTATTTAGTAGGCTTTTCGTCCACCGCCGCCACCGCCGCCTCCATAGCCGCCGCCGCCTCCGCCCATAATTTTTCCGCCACTACTGCCGCCATAACCGCCTCCGCCGCCACCTTTGCCGCCACCGAAACCGCCTCCAAAACCGCCACCAAATCCTCCGCCGCCACCGCCGCCGCCTCCGACACCAACACCGCCACCCGTTCCTCGGGCGACAATAGTCTGGATGTCTTCCTGGACGGGATTGATCTCCTGGACAATACGTCTGTACGGTGTAATCACTTCCCGAACCTCTTGGATGATCGGTTTGGATACTTCGTGTATGAGTCGATGGGGTTCATCCTCCGACTGACTCTGTTGAGTACCGCCGCCGCCTCCTTCGTGAGCCTGTTGTACGTTGATGTTCGACGACGACGATCGGAACAGTATGTTCAGGGGTACGGCCGATGATCCGACTTCAATGGTTGTCGGGTTCACGGATCCCGATGACGGAACATCCCTGAAATCGATGCTATGACGCGAAATGATGGCCGCTTGGACTACACCGCCGCCGCCACCTCCTCCTCCACCACCGCCTCCAAATCCTCCGCCGCCACCGAAACCGCCGCCTCCATGTCCTCCTCCGCCTCCTCCATAACCACCTCCACCACCACCGCGTCCACCGCCGCCATAACCTCCACCACCACTGCTACCTCCATAACCTCCTCCGCCGCCAGCCTTACAATAGGCTATGAGTGCAGACAATATAAATACCTATTAAATAATTATCAAAAAAAAATTAAAGATATAATATTTTTTTTTAAATAAAAAATTATCTTTATATATAATATAATACAAAATAATACTGTAGTTATATAATAGTTTTATTATTAATTTTTTTTTTAGAAATATTATTATTGATTTCAATAGTATTCAATAATAATAGAAATATTTTTAATTAATAAATTATAGAAAATTAAATAAAAAATAATATATAATTTATTTTATCTAAAAAATTATATATAAAGTATATAATTATTTAGATAAAAATTATTGTAATAATTTTTTTTGGATAAACAATTTTTTTCGGTACTTACTTTTAACATTATTATTATTATTATTTAGATCTATTCCTTTTATAATAAACACACAATTTTAATATATATATATATATATTTAATAATAACTATATTTAATTAACAATTAATTATAATAATCATTTGGTAATCGATAAGTTTTTTTCTATTAGTATTACTACACACACAAAAAAAAATTAGGATTAAAACTTATAAATTTATAAACTTTTTTAGACAACTATTTATTAGGATCTCATTTAACTAATAAATTTATTTCCAACAAAATTAATCGGTTTATATATCCGTCAGTGAGAAAAAAAAATCCTAAATTGCAATTTCAAATAAAATATAATATGCAATACATTTTTTTATCAATCATTAAGTATTCATAAAAAAACAAACAAACAAACAAACAAACAAAAACATGCAAAATAAAAATTTAACATAATAATAATAATAAAATATAAAATGAAAATATATAATATATAATATAATAATATTGAAGATTTATAACAAAAGTTCACATAATATATACATATTCAGAGAAAAATTTTAATTTTGTTTTTTTTTGTTTTTTGCTAATTTTTTTGTACTGTATATACAATACTTAAGTAAAAGCTAATTTAAATAGATTTAAATTTTTTTTATATACAAAAAAAACTAATAGTGTTTTTTTGTTATTATTATTATTTATTATAATAGCATAATGTATAGTATGTATTATAATTATGTTATAGATTTGCTTTTCCATCATTTTTTTCTACTTAGAGAGAGAGAGAGAGAGAGAGAGAGAGAGAGAAAGTTAAAAACTTTTCATTTTTACTTTTTATTATTATTATTATTATATACATAATATAAAAACTTAAAGTAATAGATATTTAATTGCACTTTTTTGGGGGCACACTGTCTTTAAGGCCTTAATTTTTATTTAATAATTTTTTCCACTCTCTCTCTCTCTCTCTCTCTCTCTCTCTCTCTCTCTCTCAATAATATTTTTTTAAAAATTTATAGTTAAACTATGCATTGATTTCTGATTAATATCTTGATAAGTAAACTATTGGGATATATTATTTTACTAATAAATAAATAAAATACAATTTGCTTCAAATTTTTTTTTTGGGGAAATCAACAAAAAAATTATTACTAATACAATATATATACTGTATATAAATTTTTTTTTATAAATAAATGTAATGCATATAATTTTTTATTATCTAATATCTGTATATATTTAATGTAATGTAAAAATTTATTTTGTTTATACATATATATAAATTTAATAACAGGTAATTATAGTAAATGAATTAATGAATTTATTTCAAAATTATTATTATTATTATATATGTTATTAAACAAATCAAAAGCATTTTTTTGTATAAATAATTTTTTTTGTGTGTCTTTTCAATCCCAATATGTTTGTCATGCAAATGTTATATAAAGTTTTTTTATTATTATTATTATTAACGATAGCTAAACATTTAAATACACTATAATATAATACAATAATTTTATTACATTTTATTATTATAGTTCAGATTATTTTATTTTTTTTAAACTTATGGTATGTTTTTTATTATTATTATTATAATTGTAAAATATTTTTTAATTATTATTTTATTTGTTTGATTTTTTAACAAAAAAAATATAATATTTTTTCCAGTATATTGACAACAAATAATATTTTTTTTTGTTTATTGTTAATTAAATTTTATTTTTTTGTTTATTTTTATTTTTGTTGTTTTGTTTATCCCTTTTTTCTCGGAGCACTCAATCATTTTTGTTAACAAATTTTAAAATATTTAAAAATTATAAATTTTTTTTATTATTATAATTATTATGAACATAATTATTTTTAAAAAATGAATAAATTGTAAATTTAATAATTATTATTTTTATTTTTATAAAAAAAATAAATTATCATTGGTTATAATTAAATAATTATATGGCTAATTGGTTAAATCTTATTTATTTATTTTTTTGTTGGTAATAATAATAATACTTAAATTTTTACATTACTAATAAATATTATGCAATTTATTTTATTTAATTATCAATATTTTTTTTTAATTATTATATGCATAGTAATAATGAATTTTATTGTAAAATTAAATTATTTTATTAAATTTTGTGATTTAATTGTGATATACTTTAATATAGTTATACATTGTATATCGTAATTAAATCAAAAAATTTATCAAATAATTTATAAATTATAATAAATTTCTATGTTGTATATTATATATATACTATACTATAGTATATATTAATTATTTTCAATACACATGTCTGTATAATATATAGGGTATATTGTTTAGTCAGACACACATAAACATATATTACTTAAATTAATACAATATATATATGATATTAATATAAATTATGTTTTATGAAAACAAAAGTGAATTTAGTTTGAGGTCAACTAAAATAGTTGATGTGTTTTATTATATTATATAATAATATATAATTGTCTCTCTCTCTCTCTCTCTCTCTCTCTACCAAAATCGTGATACTCCTAGCAATCAATTAAAATCCATTAAAACCTCGTGATATAACACGTAATGATTTTTTTTTTTTAATTATATATATAAGTTATTTAGTTATTATATAACTTTTTTTGTTGTTAGAGACTATTATCTAACACCACTAACACGGTTTAGGCAAAAAAAAATTAATAAAAATATTTAACTATAATTTACACAGGTGCACCCATACGCTTTTTTTTTAAAAAAAAATAAGTATATCTACATATCCCCGCCCCCCAAAAAAAACTACCTGTCCATGAATCTACTCTAGGGCTATCCATACAATATATACATATATATTATCTAATATATGTATAATGTTAAGCACGATATTGTTTGTTTTTTTTTGAGTAGTCTATTGCCACACAATTTATTTAAATGCTAATTTAAAAATTAACAAAATAATAATAATTTATTTTGTTATGTAATAATAATTAAACACTTGATTTAGTTATATTTAATTAAATACAATACATGTTTGTATAGTATTAATTTTTTTTTGGATAATTTATTTTCTAATGTAATAAACCTGATTTATATAAAATTAATTATGATTTTGTTAAAATAAACTACTTAATTTAATTAATCTAATATATTTAACTGTTTATTTAATTATTTAACCATGGTGCTGTTTAAATTGTACTAATTATAATAAATAAATTAATCAAATTAATTAAATTTGTTAATTTAATAATACTAAATATTTACAAATTAAAAATTTAGTTACCAAATAATAATCAATTAAAAAGTTTATTTTTAATATTAATACTAATTAATAATAATATATTTAAATTATTAATATTATTGTAATAATATTATTTAACTTTATTACTATTGATTAAATGTTATGATTATTTCAACAATAAAAAAATTATTAAACCTAAGAAACACAATAAATATTATCAAAAATTGTTATAAATTAAAAAAAAACAAAATTAAATACAAATATATAAATTTCTTTATAAATGGCAATATTTTTTTATTTATTTTTTATGTATTATTTTTTTCATTTAAATTACAATTTCCCAAATAATTATATATATTATAATAATAAAATAATTACTTAATAAATTTATTTACAATATATTATATATCTTTTTATATATTTTTAAAAAAATCAGTTTTTTTCTATCAATCAGTTTGTTATTATTTTTTAATAATTTTTCGATTGGCCTCCATATCCACCGCTAGATCCACGACTAGATCCGCCGCCATATCCGCCACCAAATGAACCGCCAAATGAACCACCATTTCCGTGACCACTACCGCCGCCGCGGCTACCGCTGAAACCGCCATTGTTTTGCTGCTGGTGTCGTTGATTTTGACTGCGGGCCACAATTGTCTGGATCTCTTCCTGGACGGGCTGTATCTCTTGGACGATCTTACGATAGGGTGTAATGACTTCGCGGACTTCTTGGATGATCGGTTTGGATACTTCGTGAATGAGATGATGAGGTTCGTCCTCCGATTGGCTACGTTGGGTATCGCCGCCGCCTCCCTGATGCTCCTGTTGGACATTCAGGTTGGATGATGACGATCGGAACAGTATGTTAAGGGGAATGGATGATGAACCGACTTCGATGGTAGTGGGGTTAACATTGCCGGTCGACGGTACGTCCTTATAGTCGATCGAGTGTCTAGTATGGATGGCAGCCTGGACTACCTCACCACCACCACCACCGCCATGTCTACCACCATTTCCGCCGCCATAACCGCCACCATTGCTTCGTCCGCCTCCATATCCTCCACCACTGCTGCGTCCACCACCATATCCACCACCACCACCACCACTGCTACCGCCATATCCCTGGCTGCCAGCTACATAAGCTACTAATGTTGATACCAGTATAAACTATTTAACAAACAAATAAAAAAATAAAAAATACAATATAAATACAAATTGCATTTAAAAAACAATTATATAGAAACAAATCAATACTTTAAGCATCTTTGATAAAAAAAAAATTTTTTTTTAAACAAACAAATAGTTTAATAATATTAAAACAATTTATTTAGTCGACTAACTAACTAAACTAAACTGACTGATGATTGTTTGATAAATAAAAAAATAATTTTCGTCTCATTTATATATACTTGAGAAAAAATCGGTTATACTGTATATATATATTAATATATAAAAAGTCGATTACATTTTAATTGCATAAATACATCTATTTGTAAAAAAAATGTTTTGGAGGTTAGGGATGGTTTTTTTATGTGTGTGTGTGTGTGTGTGTGTGTGTGTGTGTGTGTGTGTGTGTGTAAAGGGAAAGGGAGATCATTTTTTTTGGGGGGAAAGGGATTGTAGAGTAAATACGTGTGGAATAATAATAAATATTTATATWTTTTTTAAATATCTACATATTATTGCATTACTTTAGTTTAGTTGTATATGAGATTTGAATTTTTTATTATTATTGTAATTATATAACACAYACTGTATGTTACAATATATTTTAGCCGAAAAAAATCAATTATTGCATTATATGATAATAAATATTTTAAAAAATATTTCATCATTTTTTTTTTATAAGTTTATGTGTAAGTGTTTTGTGTGTATATTATTTGATGGCCAGGGGTTACATGCATTTGATTTACATTAAAATTTTTTTGTTTGCAAAAGTCTAATAACTTATATATACTGTATATATATATGTTATACAGTTATTACATAAATCAATTACAGTGTTAATCACTTTGTATAGTAGTATCATATATGATATATGTTTGTTTATAATAGGATAATATATCAATTGATTTTTATTATGATAATTATTTTTAAAAAATTTGTAGCATAACTATCGCAAAACATATGATATGGCAATTATGATATATATGTATATATATTTGTATAAATAAATATAAATAAATATATATAAATATATATTTATATAGTTAATACCTTGGTGTTTTCTAATAAAAATTAATTATAATAATAAAAAAAATTTTAAAAATACAAGTAACTAATTAGTGTGAAATATACAGTGTATTAATATATTAATATAATGCAACTTTTATAACAATAACAACAATTAGTATAACAATATTGTTGTGAAAAAAATGTTAATTAAATTATATTTATTTTTTCCTCAAAAAAAACAAAATAAATAAATAAATAATTAAAATAAACTCAATTTTTTTTATTAATTAAATATATAAAATAATAATTTTTTAATATTAACTTTTTAGATATACTAAATATATGTATTATTTTTTTTTAAAAAATCTTGATTTATCTAACTAACTAACATTATATAATAATAATTTAAATATGACTAAAATAATAATAATTAAATAATAAACAATAATTGTAAAAATTAACAAACATAAAATAATAATAATTAATTTTACAGTAATTAGTATTGCTCAATTTTATTATTATTATTATTATTATTATTATTATTATTATTACCGTTAACATAATGTATAAGTTAATAAAAAAAATATTTTAATTTATATATATATATATATATATATTAAATATTTATCACAAAAAAATCAAACTAATTGGTACTCAATTCAAGTTTATAGCCCTAAAACACACAAAAAAATATTTAGTTTTTTTTTAAATATTAAATAAATACAATTACTGTTTATATTATAACTAATAAAATAATACTATAATATAATATAATAAGTGATATAATGTTGTGAAACAAATATGAGTGTAAAAAGGGGGCGAAAAACTAATTATTAGAAATTATGTAATTCGTGTATAGATTTATTTTATTTTTAAAATATATAATTTATATTAGATTTTTCGTAATTTTTTTTTTTAAAAATCTATAATAAGTGTATAATAATATAATCATGAATTAAATTTGTTTTAAATTGAAAACTTATTAGTTTATAATCAAAAAAAAAAAATAAATACGATATTTAATTAAAAAACTTTTTCGATAGAAAAAAATTATATTATAATTGCATATCAATAAAAATATAGTTTTTAAATTATGTTTAAACAACTAAATAAATAAATTTTTCAAAAAATAATGCAGTTTTTTCTAAAAAAATCAATTTGAATTTTAATTAAATTTAATAATAATAATAGTAAATCTTATATAGATTTATAAAAATTTTTAATTAAAAAATATCTGATTATATATTTAATTAAATAAAAATCTAAGTAAAATACAAATAATGCCAATTAAACAGACGATAGCCAATGAAATATAGTGGTTATAAACCCTAAACCAGTGTCGGAGGCGAGGATTATTGACCCCCTCCTCGTTGACCCCCACCTCGTTGACCCCCTCCTCGTTGACCGCCTCCTCGTTGACCGCCGCTTGTTGTTGTTGTTGCCACTCATCATCTGCTAAACGAAACGGACATTCACGTTCATGGCCTGTATTGCCGCCGCCGAAAATAAACTCTAATGAGCCGTTAATATCGCAGCCATAGTAGCCGAACCTACATTGGACTACCGTATTGGGAAACACGTGCGCCACTAATACCGGTTCGGCAATGATGGTCGCCGGCGGTGATAGAGCAGCCAAATGGCCGCAGCCAACCCAACGACATACAGAAGCGTAACAATTGACGCAAATGATCTCATGGCCGCAATTACGCAATACGATCGGCCTTTCATCCAATACATGAATACATATTAAGCAGACTTTAGACAAATGTCGGTTGTCTGCCGGCGCCGCCGTTGTAGCCAATGTTTCGGCCGCCGTTGTAGCCAATGTTTCGGCCGCCGTTGTAGCCAATGTTTCGGCCGCCGTTGTAGCCAATGTTTCGGCCGCCGTTGTAGCCAATGTTTCGGCCGCCGATGTTTCCGACTCTTTAGTGGTTATTATTTGGCGTATATTTGGATCCATTTTGAAATAAGTGACGGAAACTAATGTATATTTATATTCATATAATAAACAAATTATGAAAAATTAATTAATTAATTACAAAACAAAAAAAAATTAACTATAAATATACTTTTAAACAGTATATCACTGGACAAAAAAAATGGTAATGAAATGAATATTTTTTATTTTTAAATTATTATAAATATATATATTATAAATTATCAAATAATATATTATTATTACTATAAGTTTATACACTATAATATATATATATATAAATAATTCTCGATAATATAACTTAAAAATTAGTGGAAATTTTTTTGCTAACATTTAAAACTTTTGAGATTATTTTATTTATAACTATGATATCTATATTATAATAATATAAATACAGTATGTATATATATAAAAAAAATTAATAGTTTATAATTTATTATAAAATATTAAAATTTCAATTATTATACACACATACAGTCGATATATTAATAGTCAATATATTATATCAATTTCTAATCATTCCTTAAAAATACTATATAATTATAGATAAAATTTAAATTAAACATCAATTAAGTTTAATAACATTTATATTATTTATATAATTATATATATATATAATATATATATATATAGCTTTCATATACTGTATATTAGATTGTAATATAATATTATATATTCAATATTTTTAAATTTATTATTTAAAAAAAATACTACCAATACTTTTATACCTTTTTTATTTTCAGTTAATATAACTATTAGATTATGAATAATCAGTGGCGGTATCATCAACTGTTGGACAGTTATGTGTTTGCTGTCCAATGGACACGTATTCAGTCGTGGACCAGTCAGTAGCCAACGATTCATACATCGGCGACAGTATAGCTGCCGACAACATGGAGTTACCACTGGATCGCCGGCTATTGCCAGACATATACCGCATAGCAGGTCATCGGCCAACTGTTTGGCCGCTAGTGTCAACCTATCATCGGTACGACTACTATCTGTTTGTTGATTGTTGTCGTCACCAATAATAGTAGGCATATCCTCTATAAACTAAATAATTAGTAGTAATAATAATAATAATATATAATTTACATTAATTATACTTAAATTATTATATATATATAGAAATTATATATTATTTTAAACTATAACTGTATATACTTTTAATTATTAATTTTTAAAAATATAATTAGTTTAATATATTGTATTTATTATTTTAATTTTATAGAAAACTAATTTAATTTTTTTTGATAATAATATAATAATTACTATAATATATATATAGTAAAGTAGTTAACAGTTTATTGTTTGACAATAATAATAATGATAACAAAAATAACTGTTAAGTTTCACATTTAATAAATTACTTTTAAAATAAATGTATTTTATTTCAAACTATTTATATATATATATATATACCTACTTTGTTCAATACAGTGGGTATTAATTTTGTTAATAATTTTTATAAAATTATATATAGATATATAGACTCTGTATTAACTTATTATTAATAATAATAATTTTATTTGTTTGTTTGTTTGTCCTTGATAATATTAAACTATTTATGTTATACCTGTAAATATATTAAGATATAAATAATTATTTTATTTGTCATTTATAAATAATATCGGATTATTGGGTTATTAAATATATCCCCAAAATAATAAAATAAGTATATTTTATGTTTATTTAATTTATTAATTTTTTTTCAACTAATTTTATATGAGTAAATAATTAAAATTAAAATTTTTTATTAATATAAACCTTAAAATAAAAGTAAAAAATAAATAAAAATATTTTGATTACATTTAAAATCAATTAATTACAATATTTATTTTATGACATTGACATATAGGGGGGACCATAGGTTATGACCTAAAAATATTAATCTAATAAAACTAGGGCTAGTAATAATTTTATTTTAAATATCATAAAATCTCTATCTATAATATCCATATACTAATAATACCACCTTGATTAAATTAAGCTATTAGTATTATACTGTATATGATAGTATACTGTATATAAAAAAAATGATTATTATCTGATAAAAATAAAGATTAATTATTATTATTTTTTTTATATAAAAAAATACTCAATAGTTATTATATAAATGTAAATCGTAAAGTCAATAATATATTTTTTAATTATTATTATATTTGTATTTGTATTGATTGCTACTAATTGCAAAACGTCTAATAACTTATATTATATAAAGTTTATTTAAAATTATATAGTTATTACATAAATCTATTTCAGTGTTAATCACTTTGTATAGTACTGTAAATGTTTGTTTATAATAGGATAATATATCAATTGATTTTTATTATGATAATTATTAACAATTTTTTTTGTAGCATAACTATAGCATAACATATAATATGGCAATTATGATATACAGTATTTATATAAATATATATTTGTATAGTTAATACCTTGGTGTTTTCTAATTGAAATTAAAATTAATTATAATAATAAAAATCAACAACAACAACAAAATAAAACTAGTAACTAATTAATGTGAAATAATGCAAGTTTTATGACAATAACAACAATTAGTATAACAATTGTTTTAAAAAAATGTTAATTAAATTATACAAATTATACATGAGTAAATAATTAAAAAAAAATTATTAATATTATAAGTCTATATTAAAAAAAAATTCATTACATTTAACACATTTATCAATTAATTACAGTATTTATTTTATGACATTGACATATAGTAGGGGACCATAGGTTATGGCCTAAAAATATTAACCTAATAAAACTAGGACTGGTAATAATTATATTTTTTTAAATCATAAAATCTATATATCTATAATATCGATATACCAATAATACCACCTTGATTAAATAAAGCTATTAGTATTATAGGTTATATATATATATGATTATTATTTGATAAAAATAAAGATTAATTATTATTATTTTTTATAACTATAAAAAAATACTCCAAATTTTTAAATAGTTATTATATAAATGTAAATCATAAAGGAAATAATATATTTTTTTTAATTATTATTTGTATTGATTGCTATTAATTAAATAACTTTTGTTTTAATTTTGTGTGTGTGTGTGTGTGTTTATATACACATATGTGTGTGTGTATGTATAAAAATTCACATATATTATATTGTATCATATATTATACTGTATATCTATATATATACAGGTATATATATATATATATATTTGATAGTGTATATAAACTTTTTATTTATATATATATATATATATAATACAAAATTATCAATTAGCCCAAAGTGTTTATGGGTTAATTTGTTATACTTTACTACCTGTCTATGTGTATGTGTGTATGTATGTGTGTATATATATATATGTGTGTGTGTATATGTATGTGTGTGCGTGTATGTATGTATGTATGTGTGTAAATGTTGTATGTGTGTGTATTTGTGTTTATATGTATGTATGACTATATGTTTATGTTATCTAACCAGAAATGGGATACATTTATTATTATTTTAAATCAAAAAAAAAAAAGTTTACAATTATTTTTTTAGTATAGAAATTATAATTTATTGCATTAATTACACACAAAAAATACATGATTGTAAATTTATTTTATTTTTTATATATATATAATATTTATTTTCAATCTTTTAATGTAATTTATAACACAACCGTATAGTACAGTATATATTATTATTATTATTATTATTATTATTATTTTGAAAGTAAGTCCGGGCATATTATTAATATTAATAATAATATTAATTAACATTTATTTTTTGGGATAATTTTTTCCAGTATATATAAAAGCCCACGAAAAAAACAAAACATTATTATTTAAAAAAAATATTTATTTTATTTTTTATTTTTGTTAAACACAAAAAAAAAATTTTTTTGAGTCAAAGATGCTTAAAGTAAGTATTTAATAGTTTATAACTTTATTTTTTTTTAATTTTTGTTTATTATTTTGTTTTATTAGTATATTATTGCTATTAAATTTTTATTATTTATAAAATAAATATTATATTACAATATAATATAAAAAATAAAAGTTTTTTTTATATCAATACTTTATATATATATTATAATAAAATTTACTAATAAATATTTTTTTTATTATTTTTGATAAAATATAGTTAACAATTGTATTGTCATCAGTGATGGCCTATTGTATGGCCAGCGCTGGCGGCTATGGAGGATCATCAGGTGGTGCATCATATGGTGGTTCAGGCGGTGGCGGTTATAGTGGCGGTGCAAGTGTTGGTGGTTATAGTGGTGGCAGTGGAGGAGCCGTACAAAGTGGTGGTGGACACAGTGGCGGTATTATACAGGCAGCCATCCATACACGCCATCAAATCGACTTCAAGGACGTCCCATCGTCGGGTGCCGTCAATCCGGCAACCATTGAAGTCGGCTCATCATCCGTACCCCTGAACATACTGTTCCGATCGTCATCGTCCAACTTGAATGTACAACAGGATCATCAGGGAGGCGGCGGCGATACCCAACGTAGCCAATCGGAGGACGAACCCCATCGACTCATTCATGAAGTATCCAAACCGATCATTCAAGAGGTCCGGGAAGTGATTACACCGTTCCGTAAGATAGTCCAAGAGATACAACCGGTTCAGGAAGAGATCCAGACTATTGTGGCCAGAGGTCAACAACAACGGGAATTGAATAGTCAAACAGTCAATAGAAATATTAATACTAATACTAATAATTTTGCCGCAATTGGTGGCAGTATTGCCGGCGGTGTTGTCGGCGGAGGACGCGTTATCGGCGGCGTCGGCGGCAGTGTTGGTGGTGGCTATGGCGGCGGACAAACTAAAAAAGCCTATTAATTAAAGTTTTTTTTAGATTAAATTATTAATATATATTAATTATTAGTAGTAATAAAAAAGTTTTAAAAAGTTTTTTTTTAATTATAGCAACAAAATTTCAGAGATTTTTAATTTTTAATTAATTAATTGTTTTATATTAATATTTTTTTATTATTTAGGTTTTAAATTTGAAATTAATTTTATATAATATATATATATATATTTTGTTATTTTTTTTCAATTATAATTAATAATTTTAATAATTAATTAAATATAAATTTCTAAATTGTTTTTTCTTTTTACTGTTATTTAATGTATTTAATTTAATAAATAATAATAATAAGCAAATAATTGCTTATAAAAAAAATACAAATAATAATGGTATATCTTTAAATTATTATTATTATTATTATTATTATTATTATTATTATTATTATTATTATGCACAGGCACAGGAACTATACCCATCCAAAAAACCAGCCCATCAACACCCAGCCGGCCCAGTATATGGCCAGTAATATGGCGGCTGATCCAAGCAATTGGTAGGGAGTGTTGGATTGAACGACAGCCTCTAGTCTAGCCATACGTTCATCCAATTTAGTTAGCCGACTGTCCATCGCATAAGTTAATTTACGGACAGTTTCTGTTAGATCTTCGATAGGCTGTCCAACAGTGTCTTCGGCATTGACATTGTCTGACATTTTTATTTTATTTTTAAGGAAAAAAGGCAAAAAAAATTAAATAATTTTATACACAAAAAATAGTAGTATTAATAATAATAGTAATACTAATAATACTAATAATAATAATACTAATAATACTAATAATACTAATACTAATAATAATAATAATAATAATAAAAAGGAGGCACAGTGGTGTAGTGGTTAGTGTGTAGGGCTATGTAGTGTAATGGAGAGTAAGATCTATAGTTCGAGCCCCGATGTGGTAAAGCAATTTTTCTGAGAAAAAAAAATTGTTTTAACTGTGCTTCCCGTCCCTGCCCAACCAACGCTGTTTAGGACGGCCAACTTAAGTAGTATGGGGAAAGCGGGGTGCTAAGTGAGGACGAGTTTCTGCCCGACCCGGGTATCGGTACTTCGGTATCGGTGCCCACCTGGGAGTACCCGCAAGGGTGCTCCCACCCGGGGGTGCCTGTAAAAAGGTGCCCCCACCCCGAAGGGATGTCCGCAAGGATGTCCCTTCACCCTTCGAGTAGTTACTCGTCCTCACACGCAATGGCCACTTTTGTTTCAAAAAAATAAAAATCCTATTTCAACAAACACATGTTAGTGGTGAGAAATGGGTGGCAATAGACACATGTTAGTGTTGAGCTTTCTCTAGGGACCGGGACCCCGTAAAAAGGCCACAAAAATATATAAATATGATTACACGTAGTCGTAGGAATAACGGGGGGTGTTCGGGAGGTACCCTCTCAAATAAATCCCGCGTTCAGCAGGTAGGCATTGACTGCAGTTCGTTAAGTATGCATCATATCCCACGCAGTGATGTGCTATGCGGGCAAAGCTGTGATGTAATGCGACCGCAGACTAGTCAACAAAATCAGACTAACCTCCAAAATGTTTCAGTTCAAGCTGGTTCTCAGCAACAACTGACCAATTTGGTTGACAAATCGCAAAAGCGCATGAGATGGACACATGAGATGAATACCTTGATAATGCGCGAATACTACAGATCAACTCGACTCGAATCAAATATGACTGATTACAGAAACCAAATATACTTAGCATTCAAACAAAAATATCCAGAACTAAATGTAACGGAACAAAGGATTGCAGACCAACGGCGATTCTTAGCAAAGAATAATAAAATATCCCCGATTGAATTACAAGAAATCAAACAACAAGTGGCACATGAACTATCATTAAATGAAACAACTGAATTAAATATTACAGTAGAAGTAGTGCCAGAAATAGAAGAGACACCTACAACAACAGATAACAGAAACAATACAAATGATGAAACAAACAGAATAACAGCAGAAAATGAACTAAAAACATCTTTAGAACAATATAAAGACTTTGAAATAGAATTCAGACCTAAATTACCAAAAATAAGAAGTGGCATTAAAACAAGATCTACTATAATAACAATAAATGATATACTTAAAGATTACATCGAAGAAAATATGTCGTTGAGCGCAATTAATACAATAACGTATTGTGCAGCAGTAGCAGTATCGAGACTCTTAGGCTACAAAATAGATCCCATGTCAACAACAAAACCAAATCAAGAAAATGTAATACCTAAATGGCAAAAGCGAATAGAGACACGAATCGAAGGGAAAAGAAAAATAATTGGAAGAATAACGCAAGTGTTAAATGGAAACAAATCAAAAAGAATTAACCAATCATTAAAAGATATATACAGATCATTACAGACAAAACCTGGAAATCCTGAATTTGAATCCATAATCCGAAATTACAACGACACATTAAAACAAACAGTTCAAGCACTATCACAAAGAATCAGAAGATATAAACAACAAAGCGAAAGACGAAAACAAAATACAATGTTCTATAATAACGAAAAAATGTTCTATAGAAATCAAAATAAAATAAATTCAAGCAATATTAACAATACATCACAAATAGATGAAATAGAAAACTACTGGAAAGAAATCTGGAGTAACCCAAAGGAATATAAAGAATCAAATTGGATAAATGATATTGTAGATGAAAATAAAGAAATACCACATATGACTTCAGTAAATATAATTAAAGATGACTTAACCGAAGCCCTCAAGAAATCCCACAATTGGAAAAGCCCAGGACAAGACAAAATACAAAACTTCTGGTACAAACACTTTACAACAGTACATCAACCAATGGCAATAGCAATGGATAAAATAATACAAACAGGACAAACCGATGACTTCCTCACTTCTGGAATAACATATCTACTCCCAAAAACAGAAAATACATCAGATCCCAGTAAATATAGACCCATCACTTGCCTAACAACAATGTATAAAATCTTAACATCCATAATATCAACAAAAATATATAATCATTTAAGCAACAACAACATAATAGCTGAAGAACAAAAAGGCTGTATAAAACACTCTATGGGCTGTAAAGAGCAATTAACAATAGACAATATCATAACAATAAGAGCTCGTCAAAAACATAGAAATCTTGAAATGGCATACATAGACTATAAGAAAGCATTCGATTCAGTCCCTCATAAATGGTTATTAAGAGTGTTAAAACTATATAAAATTGACAACACACTGATAAACACATTAGAAAATATGATGAAAAAATGGAATACTAAATTGTGTGTCAATACAAATAATGGAACAAAAATAAGTACAGAAATAAAAATAAATAGAGGAATATTTCAAGGAGATTCACTCAGTCCTCTGTGGTTCTGCTTAGCCATAAACCCACTGTCATCATTACTTAAAAAGCTAAAAGGCGTAAATCTAAAATCAAGTGATACAAAATATAATCTAACACATCTACTATATATGGACGACTTAAAACTATATGCCGAAAAAGAATCTGATTTAAATGCAATGCTAAAAACAACAGAAACTTTCTCCAATGATATAAATATGGAATTCGGATTAGATAAATGTGCTATAATGAAACTGAAAAGAGGAGTCTATTCTGAAAGAAATCAATACGAAACTGAAAATGGATATATAAAGGCACTAGAAAATGGAGATATATATAAGTACTTAGGAATTAAGCAAATGCATAAATCTAAAATGACAGAAGTTAAAGAAGAAATAAAGAAAACATTAAACCAAAGAATAATAAAAATACTAAAATCTCAACTAAACTCAAACAACAAATTCAAAGCCATAAACACTTGGGCTATACCTGTACTGACATACTCGTTCGGAATAATAAAATGGAGTAAAACAGAACTTGAGACCATTGAAAGACATATAAGGCGACAACTTACAATGTTTGGACTACACCACCCTAGAAGTTCTGTAGCACGACTGTGTGTTAGTAGAAAGCATGGGGGTAGAGGGTTACTAAACATTGTAAGCCTTGAAGCCAAACAGCGAGAATTGCTGAGAAAATACCATCAACAAAAATGCAATGTCTCAGAGCTCCACAAAATAACAGCAACACTTGATAACAACTACACACCTCTAAATCTCAGCAATAATGAACATCAAATAGAAATACAAAATGAAAAAGAGAGGATTAACACATGGGCCTCAAAAGAACTCCACGGTAGATACAGAGCAGAACTCAACCAAACACACGTAGACGAAGAAATGTCTACAAAATGGTTGAAGTACGCCGGTCTTCATGGAGAGACAGAGGGGTTCATGATGGCAATACAAGATCGAGTGATTCCGACACGAAACCATCAGAAATACATCCAAAAGCTAAATATACCAACAGACAAGTGCAGGATGTGTCATATGGAGTCAGAAACAATAGAACATATACTAAATGGGTGTAAAGTACTCACAAACACCGAGTACCTAAGCCGTCACAACCAAGTAGCCAAAATCATACATCAGGAATTGGCAATAAGATTCGGACTAATCAAAGAACCATTACCATACTATAGATACGAGCCACAAAGTGTAATGGAAAGCAACAGAGCCAAGCTCTACTGGGATAAGGAAATAAGAACAGATAAGACTGTGGCCCACAACCGCCCAGATATAGTACTAGTAGACAAACATCAAGATAAGGCGTACATAATAGACATAGCGGTCCCACTAACACACAAACTACAGGACACGCATAGTGAGAAACGCCGAAAATATACAGACTTGGCCTATGAGATCAATAAGATGTGGCGCATTAAGAAAGTTGAAATCATACCTATAATCCTGTCATCAATGGCCGTAATACCGAAAAATCTGGCCTTAAGTTTGGAATCACTGGAAATCAGAAAAACTAAGATCTATGAAATGCAAAAAGCAGTGATACTTCAGAGTTGTAGAACAGTCAGAAAAGTACTAGACTTGAGTTGAGTCTAACCAGTCGTGTCTCTGCCACCAAAAGTGGCCGACACAACTGTGATCACACCGGAACAACCGTGATATACAAAAACAAAAATAATAATAATAATAATACTAATAATACTAATAATACTAATAATACTAATAATAATAATAATAATAATAAATATTTTAATATAAACTAATGTATATATAGTTTAATTTTTTTTATTTATGAATATTTTTATTCAAAAACAAAAATATATTTATCAAAAATAGTTTTATTTTATATTATTTTTTTTAAATTCCAAACTTGACTTTCAAAAAAGTTTTTAATAATAATAATTATTATATAATAATTTTATATACAGTATTATAATAATAATAAATAAGTTTTAATATAAACTATACATACCATTATTATTATTATTATTATTATCCAATGTTAATATCAGATTAGTAATGAGTAGCGGCGGTACCATCAACTGTAGGACAGTTAGCTTTTTGTTGTCCAACGGACATGTATTTAGTTGGGGACCAGTTAGTAGCCATTGGTAAAGACATCGTCGACAGTATAGCTGCCGACAACATGGAGTTACCACCGGATTGGCCGCTATTGTCAGACATATACCGCACAGTAGGTCATCGGCCAACTGTTTGGCCGCTAGAGTCAACCTATCGTCGGTGCGATTACTATCTGTTTGTTGATTGTTGTTGTCGACACTGTCATCATCAGTACCAGTAATAGTAGGCATATCCTCTATAAACTAAATATTTTCAAATATATACCCAAAAAAATATTAGTTTAATATATATATAGTATTTAATTTATAATTAGTTTAGTAGTAATAATAATATAATTTACAGTAAGTATATTCAAATTATATAGAAATTATATATATAAATATTTTAAAACAATTTTTATTTAAAAAAAACTAGTTAACAGTTATTTTAATTGTTAACAAAAAATGTATTATTAATTTTCACATTTTAAATACACTTATAAATGATTTTATAATTTTATTGTTACCCTATTTATATATATATATATACTTATTTTGTTTACAATGTAAATACTATATATATAAATATGATACTGTATTATATGCTATATTAATATAATATAAGGTAGATAATTATTAATTAAAGCTAAAAATTTTAAAATAAATTTATATTTATAAACTATAATCTTTTATTATTAATATTAATATTATTATTAATATTAATATTGTTATTAATTTATATGCACCTGTTTGTTTGTTTGTCCTTGATAACTCTAAAACTATAGATTGATAATTATATTTTTAGATAAATATCAAAATATTAAATTAATATTTCATAGTTAATACTATATTTGTTTAAATATTATATTTTCAATATATTTAAATAAATTATTTTACTGTATTTAGACAAAAAAAATTGTCAATAAATTAAAGATAAATATATTTTTAATTATCTATTAAATATTTCTTATTGTTTTTAATTAATTTTATCTAAAAAATTTATTATAAGTAAAATTAATAATAATTATAAACAAATAATTTATTTTTTAATACTTTAGTATTGATAATTTTATAATCAATGTTATCATTCAATTTGGTTTAATATATATAAGTTTAAATTGTTAAAAAAATTTTCCAATGACTTATAGACTAAAAATAAACAATTAATTTAAAACTAAATCATTGTTTATAAAAATTGTAATATAAATGTTAGAAAAAATAATTAAATTATTAAAAACCAATTTAAATAGTTTTTTTTAAAAAAATAATTAACTTATTTATACGTAAATGGTTTTTATTTAATTTTTTTAAATATAAATTTTTATATTGATTTAGTAATATTAATCTCAATTGAAATTTAGTGATTTATTTCTAACAAAAAAAAATAATTTATAATATTTTAATATATATTTCTATTGTTTCTATTGAAAACTGAACTGTTTTTTCTTATCATATTTTTCTATCTTAAAAAAAATCAGTCAATTTGTTGAAATAAAATATGTTTTATATTATATAATATAATAATAACAGTAATTATTATTATACTGTAAAATAAAAAAAAGGCTCAAAAAACTAATTGTTTTTTTTTTGGATTTTATATTCATAAATGTCAATATATTAATTTAAAAATCATAGATAAAACAATTTTTTTTTAAAAAAATGTTTGCCATAAATTTGTTTTTTTTTCAAAAATATTAATATTTTTAATAAACAGTGTATTTAATATTTAAACATATAAATAATAGTAATATTAAATGCATTGTATTTCATATAAATATCAATAATACAGTAATATTAATTAATATAATTAATTTATTTATTTTTTTGAGAAAAAACAATATATTTACGATTAAAATAACATAAATTATTTGCACTGATTTTTTGCATCTCTCTCTCTCTCTCTCTCTCTCTCTTTCTCATATATATATATATATATATATATATATATATATCTAAAATCTTATTATTATTATGAGGCTCAGGTATACCCACCCGCCCCCCCCCTTTTAAACCTATTTAAACAGCCAGTACATTGCCATCCAACCGACCCAATATAAGGCCAGACCGCCAATGGCTACTATCAGCACATGTTTGAGGTGACTGTACTGATGGGCGGCGGCCATGTCGTCATCCTCCAGGACAGCCACCTTTTTCTCAATGATTGCCAAACGATTGTCGATATTGGCTACAGTTTTTTTTAATTGGTCGACAGCTATGATCAATTGGTCGACTCTTTCACATAATTGTCGAAAGTCATCAACGGAAACATAAGCCGTGATAGTTGTCTGGCCATCGGTTGATCCATCGGCGGCGGCGGTGGCGGTGGACATGATATTCACTGACAATTAATAATTAGATGAAAACAATATATATATATAAAGAAATAATAACTCAAACAAAAAATTTTCAATAAATTAATAATAATAATTAGATAAAAAAAAATTCAAGTATAAACTTAACATAAAGTTTAAAAATTTTCAAAATTGTATTTTTCCACAAAAAAAACTATTTTTTGTTGTTGAAAATTTTGTAATACAAACTTAATCGAAAAAATAAATTTATATATAAACTTTATAATACAGTATATAAATTAGTAATAATAATAATAATAAATACATACCATTATTATCATCTAATATTAGTAACAGATTAGTAATTAGTAGCGGCGGTACCATTAACTGTAGGACAGTTAGCTTTTTATTATCCAATGGACACGTATCACGTCGGCAACCAGTCCGTAGCCATTGGTTAAGACATCGTCGACAGTATAGCTGCCGACAACATGGAGTTACCACTGGATCGCCGGCTATTGCCAGACATATACCGCACAGTAGGTCATCGGCCAACTGTTTGGCCGCCAGAGTCAACCTATCATCGGTACGATTACTATCTGTTTGTTGATTGTTGTCGTCGACACTGTCATCATTAGTATCAGTAATAATAGCCATATCCTCTATAAACTAGATATTTTCAAATATATACCTCAAAAAAAATATAAGTTTAATATATATATATATAAAGTATTTAATGTATAATTACTTTAGTAGTAATAATAATAATATATAATTTACAGTAATTATATAGAAATTATATATATATATATATTTTTAAACTATAATAGTGTATTAATATCAATATAGTCAATATTTTTTTTATAAAAAAAAATAAACTAATATTAATATAATCAAAACTAATTAATAGTTATCCTATTGTTAACAACAACAACAAAATTAATTTTTAGTTTTCATATTTTAAATTACATTTATAAATGATTTAAAAATTTCATTGTAACCCTATTTATATACCTATTTTGTTTGCAATGTAGATATAAATTTATATATACAGTATATATAATTTAGATAATTTAAGTCAATATATTTATAAACTATAATCTTTTATTATTATTATTAATTTATATGCACCTGTTTGTTTATTTGTCCTTGATAACTATTAAACTATAGATTGATAATTATATTTTTAGATAAATATGAAAATATTATTAAATTAATATTTCATAGTTAATACTATATTTATTTAAATATTATATTTTTAAATATAAATATTATATTTTTAAATATATTTAAATAAATTATTTTACTGTATTTAGACAAAAAATAAATTGTCAATATATTAAATATAAATATATTTTAAATTATCTATTAAAATATTTATTATTGTTTTTAATTAATTTTATCTAAAAAATTTATTATAAATAAAATTAATAATAATTATAAACAAATAATTTATTTTTAATACTTTATTATTGATAATTTTATAATCAATGGTATCAATTGGATTTAATATATAAATATAGATTATTAAAATTTTTTCAATAACTTATAGACTAAAATAAACAATTAATTAAAACTAAATCATTGTTTTTAAAAATAATTTAATATTTTCTTACATTTAAATACAATTTTTATTAAACAATAATTTAGTTTTAATTATTTATTTAAATTGTTTTTTTTTAAAGAAATAATTAACTTATTTATACATAAATGATTTTAGTTTAATTTTTTAAAAGATAAATTATTTTTTATATTGATTTAGTTTATTAATGTTAAATAAAAATTTAGTGATCTATTTCTAACAAAAAAAAATAAAAATAAATAAATAAATTAAAATATTTTAAAATATATTTCTATTGTTTCTATTGAAAATTGAACTGTTTTTTCTTATCATATTTTACTATCTAATAAAAATCAGTCAATTTGTTAAATAAAATATGTTTTATATTATTATAGTTTATATTATATAATATAAAAAAATTAATAATAATAGTAATTATTATTATAGTGTAAAATAAAAAAGGCTCTCAAAAAACTAATGAATAATAAAATTAAAATATTTTTTTTTTTGATTTTATATTCATAAATGTCAATATATTAATTGATAAATCATAGATAAAATAATTTTTTTTAAAACAAATGTTTGCCATAGATTTGATTTTTTTCAAAAATATTAATATTTTTAATAAACATTAGTGTATTTTAAAAAATAACAACAAAAAACTACCTAGATATTTTTATAATAATATATAAAAAATTAATATCTAAATTACAATGCCAAATTGATATTACTATTATTATTATTATAATTATTATATAATATAATTAAAAGTTGCTATCATATTATTATTATTATTATTTTGTTTTTAAAGTGCTAAATAATTATGACAATAAATATTTATTTAGTTTAGTTTTTTTTATTGTTTTAAATTTTTATCATTTTAGTCTATGCTATAATAGCAATTATTTAATTTTTTTATCTACAAAAAATTTGTATTAAATAATAAATGATAATTTTTGTGTGCATATAATTTGCATATCATTTTCAAAATACAATAATAATAATAATAATAATAAAAGACAATAAAAACCGATTTAGATAACATCTTATTTAAAAAAAATAAATAAAACATTTTAAAACCCAAACACAATATTTATATATTTAAAAAAAACATTTTAAATATATCAATAAATATTTTTTTTATTATATAGTATAGCTAATAGTCATAGAAAATTACTTAATTTTGTTTAAAAATTTTTTGATTAAATTTGTTTTTTTTGTGTAAAATATTATAATAATAATATATTGTATTTTTATTATCGGAATATTTCCAATGTTTTATAAAAAAGTTTTTTTTGTTGTTGTTTTTATTGTAAACTTAACTTTCATTTTTTTAGATAACTGTCATAAATGTTAGTATTGTTTTTTTTGGTTTAAATGATATTTTGAAAAAATTATTATTTTTTGAAAAATTTAATGAAATTACTATTTAGAGTATTGTTTGATTTTTTTTAATATCAAATTATAATATCAACAAAAAATAAACAAATTTTTTGATTAAAATATCATTTATTTATTTTGATAATCTTATGGGATATTATTATTATTATTATATACATTATATTATATCAATAGTATTATTATTATTGTCATTGAAATCCTATTATTATTTATTTTTTATTATTTATTTTTTTATTTAAAAAAAATCATTGCATATCATATTTACTAAATCTTTTTAATATATATATATATATATATTAATCATTTCAGACATAATACTATGTTAATAATAATTATATAATGAAAATTAATAACATATATTACTTAACTCATTAACTTAAATATGTGTATAACAACAAAAAAAAACTAAATAATAAATAATAATTTTCATGTTTTTTATGTGTTACATAATAATATTAAAATTATTATTATTATTGTTGTTTAAAAAGATTTCAAATTTTTTTTATAGTTAATTTGTTGAATACAATATGGTATTATCATTAGTATTATTATTATGAATATATATATATATATGATATGCAATGTATAATATATAGTGATATTAACTTAACTTGTATTGTATTTCACATAAAGAGCAACAATAATAATATTAATAACAATACAAATAATATAATTTTTTTTTTGAGAAAAAACAATATATTCACGATTAAAAAATCATAACTCATTTGCACTGATTTATCTCTCTCTCTCTCTCTCTCTCTCTCTCTCTCTCTCTTTCTCTCTCTCTCTCTCTTTCTCTCTCTCTCTCTCTCTCTCTCTCTCTCTCTCTCTTTCTCTCTCTCTCTCTCTTTCTCTCTCTCCCAGACATACACATACACATACACATACACATACACATACACATACACATACACATACACACATACACATACACATACACATACACATACACATACACATACACATACACATACACATACACATACACATACACATACACATACACATACACATACACATACACATACACATACACATAGTTTATATACTGAATATTAATGTTAGTCTATCTTATTTTGAACTAACCTAATATAATAGTTAAATTATTTTTGTTGATAAATACACGAATATATATATATACAGTATTATCTAATAAACTAATTACTATATTAATTTTGATCAATTATTAGCAAATAATTTTATTTATTTTTTTTATTATTATAATTACTTGTTAATTATAATGTATAGTAAAAAACAAAACAAAAAGTTAATTAAAATAGTATTGAATATCATATGTATATACAGTATATATTGAATTCAAATGATTATATTATACAATATATATAATATATATATATATATATATATAATGTGCAATACATTATAATTATAATCAATACTGTATATGGATAACTATGTGTATTATGTAATATAATTAACATTTAATAACAGCAAAATCAAAACAACAAAAAAATTAAATAATTTATTAGCATTATTAGCCTATTATATTTTTTTTTAAAAAAATGATATAACCTTGGTCGTGTCATATATTTATTTTTTAATTCATATATATATATTAATCATTAAAAATCCAATTTCTCATCACTGGGTGCTAAATAATAGCATAGTTTATACCGTATATTATAGATATATTGTCTGATATTGTTGTATCAAAAATAATAATAATAATAATAAAACAAAAAAAAATTATGGTTTTATCTCTACCTCCATCACACACACACACACACACACACACACACACACACACACATAGTTATCTATATCTTAATATATTACTACATATATATATATAAAAGCTTATATCATATGATATTAATATTATGTAACGGTAAGGCATATATTATTTTTTTTGATCGCCCCGTTAGCCGATTATTATTATTATTATTATTATTATATTGTATGTTATTAAGTATGTAACACTCGCTATAGACAATAACATTTTTATTATATTATTATTATTATTATTATTTATGTATGTATTATATAAAAATGATTTTAAATGCATTAATATATGTATTAAATATATATATATATAATATAATGTATATGTATGTATGTATGTGAGGGGGATTTAATCTTTTTTTTCCTAAAAAAAAATCATAATTAAAATAAAAATAAGATAAAAAATAATAATAATAAGTTTTACTTTCATTATTATTATTGTTTTTTTTCACTGTCTGTCTATCACTCTATCTATCTATCTATCCATCTATTTATCTATATGTTTGAAAGTCTATGTCATTATAGCCATTACTTTATTGTTTTGTTTTCTTAATTTTTTTAATTTTTTTAAAGGGTATATAAAGGCAATTGAAATTTTCAAAAAAGTTATAATCAGTCTACTAATAATAATTTGATTATTATTATTGTTTGTGATATACATTAACCATTTATATATATATTTTCATCAATTATGTTTAAAGTAAGTTTTTATTTCATATGTGTTTATAAACATATAATAGTTTAATTTTGTTGAAAATTTATAACTATTACTAAAAATTTTTTAAGTTTGTTTGAGACAAAAATTATTTGGATTCTTGAAAAATATATAACTGTTTTGAATATTATAACAATTTCTATATATATATATATATATATATATATATATTCAAGTGATAAAACTTTTAAATAATCTTTATTTTCTGTTACTTAAAGTTATAATAGTTTTTTATTTGTAATAAATAATTGTTTTAAACCAAACATCAAAAAAAAATTGTGACTAAATTTTTTTGATAATTTAATATAATTTTTTGTTTGTTTGGCTTTTAAAATAAGTCACTCATAGTTTCGTTGCTGTTTGTCGTCTACTGTAACGCTGGCGGATATGGAGGCGGCGGTTACGGTGGTGGCGGACGAGGAGGCGGTGGATACGGTGGCGGAGGATATGGTGGCGGCGGATACGGTGGCGGAGGATTTGGCGGCGGTTTTGGCGGCGGATTTGGAGGCGGATTTTCCAGCGGCGGTGGCGGCGGCGGCGGTATAGTACCGGCCGCTATCATATCCAGACATCGTATCGACTATCGTGACGTACCGTCCCAGGGATCGGTCAATCCGACTACCATTGAAGTGGGAGCTTCGGCCGTACCGCTGAACATACTGTTCCGATCGTCGTCGTCGCACATCAACGTACAACAGGCTCACGAAGGAGGCGGTGGCGGCAGTCAACAGAGCCAGTCAGTCGACGAACCGCATCATCTGTTCCACGAAGTAAACAAACCTATCATTCAAGAGGTCAGGGAAGTGATTACACCCTACAGACGTATCGTCCAGGAGATCAATCCCGTCCAGGAAGACATCCAGACTATTGTCGCCCGAGGAACGGGTGGCGGTGTTGGTGTTGGCGGCGGCGGATTCGGTGGTGGATTCGGTGGCGGATGCGGTGGCGCCGGAGGTGCCGCTGGTTTTGGCGGTAAAGGTTGCGGCGGCGGCGGTTACGGTGGCGGCTATGGAGGTGTCAGCCGATCTCATGGTGGCGGCGGTTATGGAGGCGGCGGTAAAAAGGCTTATTAAACAAACCAAACAATTAATTAATTTAAATGATTTGATTGACTGATTGATTGATAATGTATTAGGATTTTTCTGAAATGAAATTTAATATAATTTTTTTTTAAATTATTATATATATATAGAAATAATTGATGATATTTTATTTTTATTGACCTTGGTAAAATATTTATCATATTATATATTATATATATATATATATATATATATCTAACTATTAATTATATATACAGTAAATGTAATATAATTTTTTTTATTTGTTTGTTTGTCTGTATCTCTCATTATATAACAAACAAATTTGTTTTTTTTAAATCATTATTTTCTTATAGAAAAAATCATTTTCATACAAAAATTTGCATTTTTTAAAAAATAATAATAAAAACAAACAAATCTATTAATAATAAATTGATTTAAAATATTAATAATAATATTAAAATTATTATTTTTAATTATTTAAAAATTGGTTTATTGTAAAAAAATTGTTAATAATATTAATAATAAAAATAATAAAAAGTTATGATTCAATATATTAATGTTTATTTTTCATTATTTAATACTTTTTAATATAAAAAATTTACTGTTTTTTTAAAAAAAAATAAATGAATGATTTTTTATAATAAAAAAAATCCCAAATAAATTACATAAATTAAATTAATTAAAAAAAAACTTAATAAAATTGATTAAACAATAAAATTGATTAAAACAACACATAATAGCCAGACAACTGTTCCCATAAACAAATACAGTCCACTACTAGCTATACCCAGAAAGCCAATGATGGCCAGTATGGTAATGGCTTCTCGATTAAAATGGCAGTAATGATAATGTTGTTGGGGTGGGGAGGCGGGGACGGGGGGCGGAGGGGTTGCTATAGACAACAGCGGCTGTTTAGAAGTGTTGGACATTATTTTGCAGCCGAGTCCTGTGTTTATACAAACAAACAAAATTATTAAATATTATAAATATAATAATAGAGATATTGATAGTTATATTTATATATTATAATAATAATAATAATAATAATAATATATAAATATAAGTTATATATATATTTAAAATCAAGTTTATAATTATTACAGTATTAATAATAATTTATAATAATAATCCTATTTTTTATAATATAGACTAAATATTTTTTTTCCAAAAAAAAATATTCCTAACCTATTGTATACTGTATTTAATATTTTCAACTAATATTTACATATAGATAGTATTTAGTAGTTATTTTTTAACAACAAAAAAATATTTAGTAAATATTAAACTATTTTTTTAAATGTTAATAACTAAATGTCTAATTTAAATAATATATATTCAAAAAAAATTATTATTATTATTGACATATAAATTAGTTTTTAATTTAAACTAAACATACCTTTATTATTATTATTATTATTATTATTATTATTATCTAATATCAGTATCAAATTAGTTATGATAAGCGGCGGTTCCATCAACTGTTGGACAGTTAGCTGTTTTCTGTCCAATGGACATGTATTCGGTTGTTGGCCAGTTAGTAGCCATCGATGAATACATTGGCTACAGTATAGCTGCCGACAACATGGCGTAACCATTGGATCGGCTATTAATGCCAGACATATACCGCATAGTAGGTCATCGGCCAACTGTTTGGCCGCTAGTGTCAACCTATCGGTCCTATAGACAGTTTCATCAGTAGTAGGCATATCCTCAGCAATAGTATGTACTGTATAGTCAAATACGGTATATAATATATAATTAGTTAAATTGTATTTAATTTATAACTAATTTAGTATTAATAATAATAATATATATAATACAATAAATATTTTATAATTATATATATATATAATTATAACATTTACTATACTGTATTAGTCTACAATATATACAGTATATACTGTATATATATATATATATATATATATATATATATATATTTAAAAAGTAGTTAACAATATTTTTATTTTTAACAACACAAAAACTATTGTTAATTTTCACTATTAAATTAATTTTATAAATGTTTTTATAATTTTATTAAAAAATCCTATTTATATATCTATTTTTGCTATGTTTGCTAATATTTATAGAGTATACTGTATATAATATTTTATACTGATATACAGTATATAATGTAAATAATTGTTTTAAAAATATATGTATATTTATAATTAGCTATAAATTATAGCCTATAATCTATTATCTTATTATTATTATTATTAGTAGTAGTAGTAGTAATTTATATGCACCTGTTTGTTTGTTTGTTTGTCCTTGATAATATTAAACTATCAATAGATTAAAAATATATATATATTTACATATTTAAATATACAGTTTGATATATATATATATATATATATATATATAAATTTGATAGCTAATAAATAATTTAATAGTTAATCTATACATTTAAATAAATTATTTTACAATTTAGACAGTTATCAAAAAAAAAAAAAATTGTTCAAAAATAAATAACTAAATAAAAATTTTATTTGTTGCTAAATATATTTCATATGTTTAAATTAATATTACTTATAATTAGCTATAAGTTATTATAAATAGCTAATCTGATAATTTATAATTTTTATTAAGTATTTAATTTTATATAAAGTAATAATAATAAGTAATAATAATAATTATTATTATTATTTATCAATATAACTGTAGTCTGTAGACTATTATTATATATTGATAATTATTTTTCATACATTTTCTAAGTTTTTATTGCTGATTATTATTTTAAACTATTTTATCAATATTTTAAAAACTGAAACATATATTTAGTTAATTAAAGTTAATTAACAGCAAAAAAAACTATTCAACTATATTACTGTATAATTTATAATAAGTTAAAAATAATGTTATATTTACAACATTTTATATATAGAGTAGTAATATAAATTATAAACATTATCTAATTAATTAAATTAAGTTTTACAATTATATACATTATAATAATGATATTGAATAAGTTTATTTAGATATATTGTATTTACATGTATATAGTAATTGTTTTTTTTTAAAAAAATCATTATAATTTCTTTTATAAAAATATAATTTATTATTAATTATTAGAGCATTTATTTCACATATTACTTATATTTTTAGTGATTAAAGATATTAACAAAATAATTAGATATATAAACAATTGATTGAAAACTAATAATTATAGCAAAAGTTTTAGTCACATAAACACATATAACAACATATTTTGAAATGTAGTCACATATTATCAAATATAAGCACATATTTAACATATAAATATAATTTAATGGAAAATAATAGCTAAATTACATTTTTTTATGTTTTTCTAGTATATGTATTATTGTTTTCAATATTTTAAAATAAATAACAAGCATTTTATGTTTATGCAATATATTATAGATTATTACTATTTGTTAATTTTAGACAAATACTGTAACATAATATTTATGTTTTTTAAAATTCTACTAATTTCTAATGTCTACTAAAATACAATAGGATTTAAAGATTTATTTGTATTGATTTTAATTTCTACTAACAGTATAAAAGTTGTATAATTTTAATTTATGTATTTAAGTATAAATAAGAAAAAACAAATATTAATTTATAAATTTATAAATTGTTATTAAATATAATCACATATTTTGACTTTAAAGTAATTATAACCACATATTTTGACTATTTTAACAAAATATAATCACATATTTTCATGTTTTTAAGCAAATATTTCATTCAATAAAACACTAATTTTAGTCACATATATCTAAAGTTACTATTAATTATCAATCAAATTAATTGCAACAAATTGAGAAAAAAAACAACAATAAAAACATTATATATATAATAATAATATTTTAGAAATTTATCTTTTATTCTAATATTTTTGATATAAAATAAATTAATTTTTTTTAAATATTCTTTTTTTTAAATAATAATTATTTAACAAATATTGAAAAAAATTACTTAAGACAGGAAATCATAAAACAAAATAAATGTAATTTTAAACTCGAAAAATATATTTTCTATTTAATACGCAAATTGTTTTGAATAATTTGTATTTAGAAATAATTTAGTTTTATTTCGAGTTTAAAATTACATTTTTATTAATTGATTTTTTATATTATAGTAATAATATTGAAATATTTTATTTCACAATTTTTCCAATATTTTTTTTAAAAAAATTATTAGTACTTAAATAAATAGTATTAGAATTAAAAAATATTAAAGAAAAAATTATTTTAATTATTTTAAATTGACGTCAATTGACTTATTTTTTTTAATTATTAATAATATTTGATTTCAATCAACAAAGAAATTACATATTTTTTTCAATGCAATTATTAGGGTATATAAGCCGGTGTTTTACGTGTTATTTTAAATAAAAAAATTAAAAATTTTATATTTAAGCAAAAAAACAATACTAATAAAAAAAACAATGAATCGTTTTGCAGTATTGGTTGGTGTCGTTGTCATTGCTTTTTGTAAGTTATTATTTGATTTTTCAATTTTTCAATAAAAAAAATATATAATTGTAATGTTTTTTTTTCACTAATTTTTTTATATAGTTTTTAATTAATTTTATTAATTTAATTAATTTTTTTTATTTGTTTTTGTTTTTTTAAATCAATTTAAATCCATCAAAAGTATCAAGCATAGTTGAATCATTGCCAGCTCCGGGTCTACCATCATATCATCAGGCATATCATGTAAGACACCACCAAGAACATTACCACAAAAAATAATGCACCTGGCTAACAATAATATATTAATATATATATTATTTACCATAAATATATATAATTTATATATAGTATATAATGATTGTAATTTCAATTAAATTTAAAAAATGTCAAAATTATTATTATTATTATTATATATAATTTTTATTTATTTTGTTTTAATTTAATAATTTGTAGCCTTTAATTATAATGATTGATAAATTATTAATAAATTATATTTAATAAAATAGTTGTAATAATTTTTATACATACATTAGCTTATTTTTATTGTAAAACTTATTTTTAATTTATTAGATAATGTTAATCAGATAAATGTTTATATATATATATATATATATATATATATATCTTATATATATATACTATATCATATACAGTATATATATTTATAGTAAATTTTTAATCAATTAAAATATATTGTAATAAAATATTTCAATATATATATATATTTTAGTATACAATACATGTACTTATTTAATTTACATATTAAAATAAAATTTTATTATTATTATTAAAATTATTATTTATAAGAAAAATAAAAAAAATATTAATTCACGTAAATCATAAACTTTCACTTTTATTATTAAATCTAAAAGTAAAATAAACTTACGATATAAAAGACAATAGCATTTTTATTTTGTTATTATTTTTTTTTAAATATATAATTTTTATTATTTATTTGTGTATTATTATAAAAAAATAAATAAATTTTTTAATATGCATTAATATACGGTTTAATATATTATAATAATTTACGAAATAAAAATCAAAACATAATTAATATATAAAACTAAGATAAAAGTTTGCTTTTATTATTATTTTTATTGTCTATCTATCAATCTATCCATTACTCTCTCTCTCTCTCTCTCTCTCTCTCTCTCTCTTTCTCTATCTCTCTCTTTATCTCTTTCTCTCTCTCTTTTTATCTCTTCTMTCTCTCTCTCTCTCTCTCTCTCTCTCTCTCTCTCTCTCTCTCTCTCTCTCTTTATCTCTCTTCTCTCTTTCCTATGATATTTGAAAGTCTATGTCATTAAAAAATCTCCATAACTTTGAAGGGTATATAAAGGCAATTGAAAATCTATCGATTCTTATGAAACAGTTTAGTGATAATCAAGTCTCTCATTAAGTGTCTTATTATATATAATACATAGACATTGATTATCATTATTACTATATATTATATTGTGATATATACTGTATTTATATATATAGTTAACCATTATATTTGATATCATGTATAAAGTAAGTGAAAATAATTTAATAGTTTAATAGTTTACAACTAATTTTGCTAAACAAACACTTAAAAAATTAATTAATTAATTGTTTTTCAACAGTCAATCATAGTTTCATTGTTATGTGTCGTCTACTGTAATGCTGGCGGCTATGGAGGAGGCGGTGGTGGAGGCTATGGTGGTGGTGGTGGACGAGGAGGATATGGTGGTGGAGGAGGAGGTTATGGAGGCGGCGGAGGATTTGGCGGTGGATTTGGCGGTGGATTCGGTGGTGGACGAGGAGGAGGTGGTGGAGGCGGTGGTGGTATAGTGCCGGCCGCTATCATATCCAGACACCGTATCGACTTTCGTGACGTTCCGTCATCGGGATCGGTAGCGCCGACAACCATCGATGTCGGAGCTTCGGCCGTACCCCTGAACATACTGTTCCGATCGTCTTCATCGAACATCAACGTACAACAGGCTCACGAAGGAGGCGGCGGCGGTACTCAACAAAGTCAGTCATCCGACGAACCTCATCATCTGTTCCACGAAGTAAACAAACCTATCATTCAAGAGGTCAGGGAAGTGATTACACCGTTCAGACGTATTGTCCAAGAGATCAATCCCGTCCAGGAAGACATCCAGACTATTGTTGCCCGAGGAACGGGTGGCGGTGTTGGTGTTGGCGGCGGCGGTGGCGGAGGTTTTGGCGGCGGTTTCGGCGGCGGATTTGGCGGCGGTTGCGGTGGTGGTGCCGGCGGTGGTTTTGGCGGCAAAGGCTGTGGTGGAGGTGGTTATGGAGGAGGTGTCAAATCAAGTGGTGGTTATGGCGGTGGCGGCAAAAAGGCTTATTAATTACTAATAAATGGACGACTAATTGATTGATTGAAGTTATTGTCAATTTGGATACCGTTTTGTTGTTTTCATCGAAATTAATCATATATTGTGTTATTTTTTGCAACATATACTTACTGTATGTATTGTAATATATATATATATAATATGATGTATAAGTTTTTTAGTTTTGACCTTGCTAAAAAAATATATTCATCATATTATATATTTAAATTTTTCAATACATTAAGTATAACATTATTTTTTTTAATATATATATATATATATATATAGAAAAAAATCATTTCATTAAAATAATTAATATAAAACAAATAATAAATTTATTTTATTTTTTTTTAGTTATTATATAATAATAATACTAATAACTATTATTTATTATGTAATATTTTTTAATAATTTAATAATTGTATAAATTAGTGATAATAATAATTTTATTAATAAAAAGTTATGATTCAATATAACAATGTGTAATTATTTATTTATTTTTTTAGCATTATTAATTTTACTAATTATTAATTTTTATTACAGTAATAGCTAATCTAATTTTCAAAATTTTCATTTACAATATATAATTTAATATTCAATATAAATAAAATTATCAATAATATTAATATATATCTAAATAGTAATAATATTATATATTTATTAGTAATAATTAGTATTAATAAACAAAATAGTTTTTATGAAAACATTTTTAAAAACAACAAATTGAAATTTATTTATTTTTTAATAAAATAATATTATTTTTCAATATCATCTAGGACAATTGTTTAATAAGATAGTTTAATAAAAAATTTTAACAATTTTTTTTAATAGATATTTTTAGATAATTAATATGGTTTAATAAAAAAATTAAGTTAATAACATGTTTATATTTTATAATATAAGCTATATTAAATACAGTTTAAAATTTTTTATATTAATTTTATTTTATACAGTAAAAGTTATGCATTTATTAATAAATTAAAAAAAATTATATATTATATATAAATATTGTATTGATATTAACAATCGATTAAAATTAACATAATATTTACAACAACAAAAAAACTTGATTTTTTTAAAAGTATTAAAAAATTATTTTATTTTTTTACACAAACAATACAGTATATATTATAACATTTACAAACAAATATATATTGTAATTATTAATTGAAATTGACAATTATTTATTTATTTTTAAAAAAAACAATTATTTTATTGTATTAATTTATTTATAGTATTATTTTTGATTAGTTTATGACTTAAATTATTATTTTTTCAACAAAAATAAAGAGTTACTATAAAAAAATATACAACAAATAAGGGTTGATCTTAAAATTTTGTGTAAATTAATAATACATTTTTTTTGCATTATTAATTTGCGTTAATATTATTAATATTTACATCTAATTTATTTAAATAATATATATTTAATAATATTGTTATTTACGTTACTATTGTTATTATATGTGTTTTAAACATTATTAAAAACAAATTATTTGATCTAATCTATAGCATAGATAATACATAGAAAAAATTATTAGTATATTAGTTATCAAACTATAATAAGTTATATTTAGTAATAGTTAACTTTAATAACACCCAAAAAAATGTTTAACAAAATTACTACTAATTATTTAATTAATTAATTTATTACTCAAAAAAAATTTTTAATTAATGTTAATTTTTAAAAATATTATCTCAAATTATTTACTAATTTTGTGCCAAACAAATATATACTGTATATATTTATTTATTAATTTAATATAATATTTTTATGTGTATCTAAAATTTATTATTAAAAATTATAATTTCTAATCTCTATAAAGTAGATAATCATCATCGTATTGTAAATTATTATTATTATTATTATTGGCATTGTTAGCATAGTTACCACTATTTGTATAATCCGGATACCAGTCCTCCCGGTGCTGCTGCTGTTGTTGTTGTTGTTGCTGCTGATGATGATAATTATCACCACTACCGGCACCGGTATCACCACCACCACCACCACTACTACTACTACTACTATCCATTGATTGGTAGAGATCCTGTTCGAGGACAGGCCTCTCGACTTTATGATAGCTGATCTCTGGCTCTTCCTGTCGATGAGCATACCTTTGATCTACTAGTCTATCGTATCGTTGGTCTTGTTTGTCGATAACTTCTACGGCACTCATATGCGAACCAAATATCAGTTTCAATGGTAAATTGTGGCGACTATTGGTATCCAATTGAATAATAGATGATTGTTGGTGTTGTTGTTGGTGGTGGTGGTGGCCATCAAATGAGTTATTATTATCATTGTCATCGTTATTATCATAGTTTCTATACTCAATAGGATGGTGTCTGGATGTACCAACTGGTACTACAATAGGTTTTATTGGTGATGATAATGGTTTGTCGTCTCTATGGATGATAGCATTATTATTATTATTATTATTATTATTGGTTACACCAGTATTAGGATCAGTATAGCGGTGATGTCCAATTGATGGTTGTCCAACAATATTATCTATATTACTATTAATATATTGACAGCTTATACCATAATATACACCATTATAGTTCAATATGATGATAATGATTGCGACAATTGATTGTACCTTGATAAATTAAATTAAAAAATATTATTTAACATATATTTAGTATTAATTTTTTTTAATTAATATATTTAGTTTGGCATAAAATTTAAAAATTTTAGATTAATTTTTAATATTTAAAAAAAACTTATTAATGTTAAGGTCATCATCATATTATAAACTTTGTATTAGTATTAATAAAGTATAATAATATAATTAATTTAAATTTTGTATTTTATTGTATGAAAATTTTTTGCACTGTATATATGTTATATTAATATATTAATAATATCTCATAATGTTAATAAATTATTTAGATAGTAAACAAATAAGTAATTTTTTTTAACTAATTAATATTTCAACATATATACTGTATATTTAAAAAAAATATTTTAAATATTATATAACAATTTATATAATTTATAAGTATAATTCAATTTACATATTAATAATATAAAATGAAATTTATTTTAGTTTTTCAGTTTTTCAGTTCAAACAACAACAAAAAGTTCATGAAATCTTAAACTTTCACTTATTTTTTGTTAATTTTATTTATTATTTTTTTTTGTTTTACTGTACAAACTCGTGTATAAGATATTAATATGATAAACACATACACAATATATAATACAATTTATATATATATATATGATATATGATATATATCATACACAATATATATATGTATATATGATATATATCTCTTTATACAACAATTAAATAAATTATTGTATAATAAAATATTTATATACATATATATAAAATAAAAGTTTATTTCAAATATTGGCGATAAATTTTTTATTTTAGTTAATTATTATTATTACATGTAAACCCCGAAAACACACACAGACAGACACCCCAAAAAAATGCTTAATAATAATAATAATAATAATTATATAATATATATATATATATATATATTGAAAAAATTAGGTCATTAGCGTTTAATCATATGTAAAACACAAACACATTAATTTATTAGTAAAATAAACTTTTGAGAAAAAAATCATGCATTTATAATATAAATATAAATATATTTTATAGTATAAGTTATTATATACATATAAACAGTATATAATAAATAAAATATTATAATAATTATTTTTTTTGGGGTTTAAAATGTGTTAACACTATGTAATTTTTTTCCTCAATATAAATAAAATATTCACAATATTATTATTATTATTATTTTACTATAAACTAGTTTAGTTATTTAACTTTTTATTTAAAAAAAATATTAATCATGATATATTAGCATGTTTATTATTATTATTATTATTATTATTATTATTATGAATAATAAACAAATAATAATACAATAAAAACCGATAATTATTGAATAATTAAAGTAAAAAGTATTGATTACTTTGTAAATAACAATAATAATTATAATTATTATAAAAAATACTAAACACTTACCTTGATCATATCTATAATAATAAAACTAATAATTGTCGCCAAAAAAATAAACAAAAATTATTGACACATTAATAGCTAATAACTAATATATAAATATATATTTAATTGATTAGACATACACACAGTCATAGACATACCAAACATATACAGTATATATAAAATACACACATATTATACAAACATGTTTGCAATAATAAAAAAAACAGTTGTTGTTTGCCACTAAAAAATGCAAATATTATTATTATTATTATTATTATTAGTGTATTGTATATACAATTTTTTTTTATTAAAAAACTGGTATATTATAAAAAACAATATACATTATTATTATTATTATTATTATAAAATCTATTTATTGTGTCATCTTTCAAAATAGTTTTAATTCATTGATGATTTTAGTTTAAGTAAAAGTTAAGTTAAGTGATTGTGCAAACTATATGATTATATAATATATTAATAATAATAATTTTTTTTAATAATTTTAATATTTTTTTGTTGTTGTAATGTATGTATACATGCCTTTAGGTTTAGGAGTGGTTATAAACAACACAACAACGACTTGTGAGAGATGTCTATATAATAATAAAAAAAATATTTAATGAATTATTATTATTATTATAATTTTTATTTTTTATATATACCTTATAGTAGTTTTATTTTCTATGGCTTTATAATGCAATTAAATAAGTCCTCTCTCTCTCTCTCTCTCTYTCTCTCTCTCTCTCTCTCTCACTCTCTCTCTCTCTCTCAGTTTATTTGCTTATTGTTATTATAATGAACAATAAGCCCATATGTATACAGTATATAATAAAAATTAAAAAAAATAAATAAAAATAAATATAAAAAATTCATATTTTGTTTCTATTACGAAATTTTTTTTATGTTGATTAATGTTAACAATTTATTATTATTATTATTATTATTATTATTATTAATATTACATGTTGTTGTTGTGTATAATTTTTACATTTATTTTGCTTTCATAATTATAATTAAGGACTGACTAAAAAATTATGACAATATTGTAAATACTATTATATAATATATATATAAATCCTAATCTATAAAACACTTTAATATACTATTTATATATTGGACTTATATTATTGTAATAAAAATTAATCTTTAAATAAATATCAATATATAAAACTTTAAAATTTAATAATAATATTTTTTTTAGTAATTCAATTTTTTTCAATTTTATTTTATATGTTATATAGATTTAATATGCATAAAATGTTTTTACATATTATTATTATTATTATTATTAAAATAGTAAATTATATGTTATCAAAATATTATAATTTAAAGGTAGACTAACTAATTAAAGTATTTAAACTAAATTATATAGATATTTATTTGAAAAAATAATAATAATAATAAAATATAAAATAAATAATTTTAATAACAATTGTAAACAATTGTTGACAAATTCATGGGTCAGTTGTGAAACATTTTTTTTTAATAAATAAAATATTCATTTATTATAATTAAATGTATATAACATTGATATACATGTAATCAGATTATTATTATTTAAAAAAAACATTTAAATTTGTAGATTACGTAAAAATACTATTGTTATGTATACAGTATATAAATGATATATTATATAATATATAATATAAATATTTTTTTTTTAAATTAATGATAGTTTTGTCTCCTTAATCGGCATTTTATATGAGAAAAAAAAGGATTCATCAAAATAATAATAATAATAATAAAAACTATTGTATTTTATATACAGTATTATATATAAATTTTTGTGTGTTTGATGTCAAGGCGATCAACTGTTTAACCAAAAAAAAAAAATTGAATAATTTTAGTTTTTAACTAATTTGTATAAAATTTTAAATTACTTTAATATTATTATTATTATTAAATATTAGGCTTAAATATTGTGGTTTACACGAGCATTATATTCAAAATTATAATTATATAATTAAAAATAACTGTGCATATATACATGTATATTACATTATAATAAATGTAAATAATTAACTAAAAAATAGCTGTTTTGTTTGTAAAAAAAATTACTAATTTTATAATTTATAAAAATAATTATTTAACCAAAAATAATAATAATTAACATACTGTTACATCTAATATAATTATATATATATTTATGTTTTAACCAAAATTATTAATTTATATATATTTATTACAACTATTGTACTATTATTTTGTTATGTATTGTAGGTTAATATTACACATTAAACTTATTTTTTTTATAAAATATAAATAAAAATAATTTAATACAATATATATTATATAATAAAGATCTCAAATATATAATGATAATAAAAATTAATTAAATTATAATTCTATTATATGTTGAAAATATTATGTTTTTAATTAAATAATTAGCATATTTATTAAGTTACAATCATTATTTATTATAATTGTAAAAAAATAAAATATATATTTTATTATATTATATTTAATGGGAGTTCAATATTTTTATATATATATAATATATTTATCAAAATATCATTGTTGTTTAATTGCTAATAAACATAAATTATAGTTTTATTTATTTATTTTATTTTTTTAATATAATTATGTAATGATTTACTGAAATTGCAAATTAATAACAATAATAATCAAAAATATATATCGCATTGAATAACAATAATAATAACAATTATATTAAATTATTTTTTATACAATTGCAGTATATTTATAGATATAAATAAATCAAATATATTTGACATATACTATAATACTTTATATTAAAAATATTATTAACAAAAAAATTAGTGAATTAATGAAATGATTGAATGATTATTTTTTTATATATATATATATATATATATATATATTTATTTTAATGACTGTTATTATTATTATTATTGTATTGTTATATAAATTTTTATAAATATTATATATATTAAATCAAATTGAATGATAACATTGATTACAAAATTTTCAATAATAAAATATTTAAAAAATTATTTGTTTAATTATTATTAATTTTACTTATAATATTTTTTTTAGATAAAATTAATTAAAATAATAAGAAATATTTAATAGATAATTTAAAACATATCTATATTTAATTTATTGACATTAGTTTTTTTTAAATAACTTTCTAAATACAGTAAAATAATTTATTTAAATATATTGAAAATATAATATTTAAACAAATATAGTATTAACTATGAAATATTAATTTAATATTTTGATATTTATCTAAAAATATAATTAGGCGTGGTTCACATATTACGTTCGCATTTTTAAAGAAATCTAGACCCCCTCCCTCCCCTATGTTCGCAATTGTTCGCATGTAGTCATTTAAAAAAATTACGTTCGCTTATCCCTAACCGCTAGCCCCCCCCCCCATCACAAGAAATAAGATATTATCTAAATGAGAACGTTCTTAAAGTCCCTACCCCTCCCCCCCTCGTTCGCAAAAGTTCGCTTTGGCTAACCCCCCTCCCCTCAAGTGCGAACGTAATATGTGAACAACGCCTTATCAATGTATAGTTTAATATTATCAAGGACAAACAAACATACATGTGATATAGATTAATAATAATAATAATAATAATAATAATAATAATAATAGAAGATTATAGTTTATAAATATACATTTATTTAAAAGTTTTTAGCTTAAATTATTTATATTATATTATAGTAATATACCGATATATTTACATTGCAAACAAAATAGGTATATATAAATAGGGTTACAATAAAATTATAAAATCATTTAAAAGTGTATTTTAATGTGAAAATTAATAATAATTGTTGTTAACAATTTAAAATAACTGTTAACAAGTTTTTTTTTAAAAAATTATTATATTAATACACTATTATATACATTAAAAATATAAATAATTTGAGTGTAATTACTGTAAATTAAATATTATTATTATATTACTAAAGTAATTATAAATTATATAATATATACTGTATATATATATATAAATTAAACTAATATTTTTTGGGTATATATTTGAAAATATCTAGTTTATAGAGGATATGGCTATTATTACTGGTACTAATGATGACAGTGTCGACGACAACAATCATCAAACAGATAGTAATCGTACCGATGATAGGTTGACTCTGGCGGCCAAACAGTTGGCCGATGACCTGCTATGCGGTATATGTCTGACAATATTAGCCAATCCGGTGGTAACTCCATGTTGTCGGCAGCTATACTGTGGCCGATGTCTTAAACAATGGCTACAAACTGGTCCCCGACTAAATACATGTCCACTGGACAATAAACAGCTTACTGTCCCACAGTTGATGGTACCGCCGCTACTCATTACTAATATGATACTAATATTGGATAATAATAATAATAATAATAATGGTATTTATATTTAAATTAAAACTAATTTTATGTCAATTATAATAATATTGTTTTGTATTTAATATTATTATTATACTGTATATTATAGTTTATATAATAATTATTATTAAAATCTATTTTGAAAGTAAAGTTTAAAATTTAAAAAAATAAAATAAAACTATTAGATAAATAATAATAATAAATTTTATATTATAATATAACTTAATATATATATATATAGTTTTAAAAAATTTTATTCATGAATATTTTTGTTTGAATAAAAATATTCATAAATAAAAAAATTTTAAACTATATATATATATATAAATATTAAGTTATATTATAATATAAAATTTATTATTATTATTATTATTTTATTATTATTAATACATATATTTTTTGTTGCCTTTTTTCATTATAAAAAAAAATAATAATGTCAGACATTGTGAACCCCGAAGACAATGGACAGCCGGTCGACGCTATCCAACAATTAACGGAAAGAGTCGACCAGCTTATCAGTCGGGTTGAGGTACTGGAGAATGGCGCCCAACCAGCCCTTCATCATCGGCCCAACCAATTGTTTGGTACACTAGTTGCTGGACTGGCCATCGTTGGGTGTCTGACTATAGCAGCATTGTTTGGTATATTTTGGGCTGCATTTTGGGGAATACCTGTGCGATGTCCTATTAAATAATATGAACCGATAATAATAATAATAATAATAATTAACACACTATTACATCTATTATTATTATTATTATAATGTTTTATATATGTTTTAACAAAAATTATTAATTTATATATATTTATTACAACTATTGTACTATTATTTTGTTATGTATTGTAGGTTAAAATTACACATTAAACTTATTTTTTTATAATACAATATATAATATACTTGTATATTATAATAAAGATCTCAAATATATAATAATAATTAAAAAAAATTAATTAAATTATAATTCTATTATATGTTGAGAATATTATGTTTTTAATTAAATAATTAGCATATTTATTAAGTTACAATCATTATTTATTATAATTGTAAAAAATAAAATATATATTTTATTATATTATATTTAATGGGAGTTCAATATTTTTTTATATATATAATATATTTATCAAAATATCATTGTTGTTTAATTGCTAATAAACATAAATTATAGTTTTATTTATTTTTTTAATATAATTATGTAATGATTTACTGAAATTGCAAATTAATAATAATAATCAAAAATATATATCGCATTAAATAACAATATAATAATAACAATTATATTAAATTATTTTTTTTAAATACAATTACAGTATATTTATAGATACAATTAAATCAAATATATTTGACATATACTAATAATACTGTATATTAAAAATATTATAAAATTAATTAATTAACAAAAAAAAATTAGTGAATTAATGAAATGATTTAATGAAACTTTTTTAATATATATATATATATATATATTTGTTTTAATGACTGTTATTATTATTATTATTAACATCTTTTTGTCGTTTTCGTTGTTGTTGTTGTTGTCCTCCCTTTACTCCCGATGATGACGAAGATCTCCGATAATTTGATCCATAGTTGGCGCCGAACTTAAACTTTTGCCGATTTTTCTGTATCGCATGCAATCTATCGGTGGTCTCTGTTGTGTCACTAATTGATGGATCAGTTGTTGTTGTTGTGGTAGTACTAGTAGTAGTAGTGGTGACACAATCATCATTAGCGAAACAGTCATCGTCTTCATCATCAAAATCATTGTCATCGGAAACGGTGGCCATTGAGGAGGAGGTGACACTGTTTTCATTAGTAAATTTTTTTGGTACTACTGTTTCCTTATTTAGCTGAACTCCAGGTGCCAATGGAAACCGATTGCCAATTGGTTTGATTTGATGATTACTACCAGTGCTGGCGGTAGTGGTGGTGCCGGTTCTTGTACTGGAAAACGAGTCATAATTTGTTAACCAATTATTTGTATGTTGATTATTATGGGATGATTTTGATGGTTGTGGTGGTGTCTGTTTTGATAAGGGAATGGTAGGTATTGTCGGTGTTGTTGTTGTGCGAATAGGACTGATAGGACTGTTAGTAAAGTATGGCGAACCCGAATCACCCGATTTGTATGATGATTGTTGTTGTTGTTGGGAAGTCAGGCTATTGGGCAACCAATTGGATTGTATACCCATTTTATTGGTAAAACTATTATGACTAGACGGCTCTTTAGCCTGGATACTTTTAGTAAAACCATTATTATTATTATTATTATTATTATTATTATGGCTATTATGCATATAACTGGAACCGGTAATACTTCCAGATAGACCCTGGTTATTGTAATTATTATTATTATTGATGTTTGATAATGGCTTAAAATTTGAGGTAAAACTGTTTGAAGATTGAGATCCTGTTTTAAATGCATTATTATTATTATTATTATTATAGCCAGTATTTGAAGCACCAGTAGTCGAACCACTTGTATATGACTGTCCACTATAGCCACCCAAACCACCACCAGATCCACCTCTAAACGAATGGTCACCACTACTACTGGTACCATAAGATCCACTAAAAGTGGTTCCGCCGCCAAACAATGATGACTGTTGTTGTGTCTGATGGACATAACCGGAGTCACCGACGGCTGTACTCTTGGTCTGTGTGTTGGTTGTGGTGGTGGTGGAGGAGGAGGACAAGGGCTGACCTCTGGCAACAATTGTCTGGATCTCTTCCTGGACGGGCTGTATCTCTTGTATGACATTCCTGTACGGTGTAATCACTTCGCGTACTTCCTGTATGATCGGTTTGGACACTTCGTGGACGAGCCGATGCGGTTCGTCCTCCGATTTGGAGTATTGGTCTTCGGCAACCTGACCGGCCGTATGCTGTTGCATAACATTCAGCGAACTCGAAGCCGACCGGAACAGTATGTTCAGGGGTATGGCAGCGGCATCGACCAGTATGGTTGCCGGCTGTATGGGTTCGGACGCCACATCTACGGGCCGTACCTCTACTCGATGACTTGTTTGGATGGCCGCCGGTATGACGCCACCCATATAGCCGCCGGTAAACTTGTGAACGGTTCCCGATGCTGGACTCGAAATGCCGACGCCGCCGCCACCATTGCTTCCATAGCCGCCACCTCCCGATGAATAACCTCCCGAAGCTCCAGAGCCCGAACCTCCCTTAGTTGGATAGGACTGACAGTTGCAAATAGTTGTCGTAATCGACAACAAATATATTGATATTACCGCTAATCGATGTATTGTTAACTATAATATAATAATAATTATTATTATTATTAATATTAAAAGTATTTTTTATATATATATTTCAAAATAATTAGTAATAGTTTATATAAAAGTTTTTTTTTAATTAAAACAAAAAAGATTTTAAAAATATTTGAATTAATTTTTATAATTATTTCCAGTATTATATCAATAAATTATCACTAATTTATTATTATTATTAAATTATTATCAATATTTAAATAAATAAAATTTATATATATATATCTATGTATGTAATTATTTAAATTATAAGTACAATATATACATGCCTTAGTCATAGTATTATTACAGTATTATTATTGAGTTTATTTGCTAATTATTATTATTGCCGTTAAAAAATTTTATTATATGATAATAAATTTTTTAGATTAAAAAAATTAAACACCAAATAACATAACTTTCAATTTTTGTAGGAAAAACTTTTACTGAAATTTTTAGCTCTAAAGTATCTTTTTTATATATATATATAATATTTTTTTAAGTATTTATAAATCCTTTATATATATATATATATATATATAACAAGTTTTGATATTTTTATAATAATAATAATAATAATGTATTATAATAATAAAAATGCTAATTTTAATCTGAATATAAAAACAATATATATTTATATTATATATAATTTGTTGAAAGAGAGAGAGARAGAAAAAAAAAATAATAGACATTAATAGTAAATAAAAATAACAATAAAAAAATCAGTGAATAAATGATGAGCTATTTTGTGCGTGAATTGCATTAATAAAAAATTAACAAAAAGTTTGTTTTATATATTATATTATATAATAACATACTCTTCCGGCTATAAGTTATATAAAAGATTTTATTAATATATTTTAAGAAAAGATTAATGAATTTTATTTTTAAAAAAATCAAGAAAAATAAGTATATATTTTGTTGTTTTAAATACTATACCGAATATATATATATATATAAATAAATAATATAAATATAGTAGTAATTCAACAAAAATAAAAATATTTTATACTTTCATTTGTGAGAACAAAAGTTTTAATAATAATAATAATAATAATAATAATAATAATAATATAAAAAATTGAATAAATTATAATTTAATTATAATTTTTGTTTCTGTTGTATACCTATTATCAAAAAATTATTATTTATTTTTTGTATTAATAGATATAGATATAGAGTTTGTATCTAAATATAATATTATATTATAATATATATATATAAATATAGTTAATATATAATATATTTCTATATAAATATACATAACTTTATAGTCATTAGGGTTATACTATGCAATACTGTATATTACAAGTATATTATACAATAATACAATACATGTTGATATACCCTTAAGATATATATTGTATTAAAATATATACATKTATATATATATGTATAAATTTTTATGTGGTTTATCATATATATATATGATGATTATGATTATATTCATAATTTATAAACAATAATAAATTTTAAAAATATTGATACTAAATCTGAAAATATTAATTTATTTTTTTTTTGTATTTAAAAATTAATTCAATTATATAAATAATAATAATTATAGTATAATCAATATGTACATTAATTGTAATAAATTAAAACAAAATAAAACATATAAATACTTTTTTGGGTGAAAAAAACTAATTACTTTTTATTTGGCGATGTTTATCCTAACATAATAAATAAAAAAATAAAAATTTTAAAAAACTAAAAATTTAATACATCAACAAATTGTAAAATACAATTAATTTATATATGTTTTTTATATTTTAAAAAATATATATTTATATTTATATTAAAATTGTCCACACATTCAACAACATAAAAAACTAATTTATTTTTATCAATAAACAAAAAAAACTAAATGTTTTTATTTAAAAGTGTATTTAAAATAAAGTCAACAAATATATCATATAATAATACTAATAATAATAATATTATTATTATTATTATTACTATCAATTTATGTAAGGAAGTAATATCAATATATATATAACTTGAAAAAAATAATATATAGTTATCTATTAATCATTGATTGAGGTTAATTGTTTATCTTTATAAAATAAATAATTATGTCCACAATTTTTTTTAGCAATATTTATTATATTAACAGTATATATATATATATTATTGATAAATTTTAAACACCTGGAAATATACATTTTTTAACTACATTTTTTTAAGTTATATAATTATATTAGATTTTAATTAACAGTTTATTTAAAAATTTATTAATTAAAAGTATTATAATAAACATATCAAATAATATTAATACAAAATTAATGCAAATATTACTATATTTAAAAAAATTATTTTTTGTTATTAATATTTTTTTATTATTTATAATAAGTTTTATTTTGTGTTAAATTAAAATCTAAATGATTGATGTGTAGTAACAAAATAATATATAAAAAAATATTCAATTACAACAACAACAACAAAAATACAATCAATTTTAATGTAAAATAATTAATATTGACATAAATATTTTATACATATATATATATATATACAAAAAACAATAATTTATTGTGACATTTATGTTAATTAGTTTTATTTATTTGCTAGATTATTTTTCATATAAATAGTATTAATAATACATTATTTTTATTTTAAACAGTTATGTACTGTATATACAAAATGTTTAACAAAATAATAATAATATTTAAATTAGTAAAAAACAAATTATCAATAAAAGTAGATTTTTTATAAATACATATTTATTTTCATTTATATTTATAAAAATCAATTTTTTGATTCATAAACAAATACTTATAAACTTTTACTATTTAACCTAAAAATTCATTATCATATAAATTATTGACTTATATGTTATATATGACTGTAGTATAGCATATAATTAAATGATTTATATATATATGAAAAAGTTTAGTAATAATAAAAATTACAATAAAGGTATGGTTCAAATAAATTAAACTAAAATTATAGTATAGTTTACAATTAATTTTGTTTTGTTTTAAAAATATATTATATATTTATGTAATCTTTAAAAACTATTGTTATTTTCATTCAACAAAAAAATATTATAGTATATAATTTACATTTATAAATTTTTATTAAAAAATTATATACTTTTTTTTAAATAGTATATAAAATATATAAATTATTAAACTGTTTTTTTGTTGTTGCTAAATATTAGATAGATTTATTATCCACACAAAAAAAAATTATAATACAATAACAAAATAATAACAATTAAACAATACCATATTTTATTGACAATTTATTTTGTTTTGTTTGTTTTTTTTTTGAAAAAAATAATTAAAATATTTAAAAAAAAAATAATTATCAACTAAAAAAAATCTATAGTCCCACACGTGTGTTTAAATAAATAGATAAATAAAATTGTTATTGTTTTAATAATTAGTTATCAATATTATTATTATTATTATTATTTTGCATATATAGACTTATAGAAATAATTACTATAATTAATTGACACACTATTACTGATTAGGGAAGTAAAACAATTTATATATATATAATATAATATAATATACATAATAGATATTTAAAAAAAATAAATTGCCAATTGTGGTGGAAATAATTATAATTATTCATTTATATTGTATATCATTTATAGATAATAATAATAATAATAATCAATAAAAGATTTAAATATTATTTAATATAAACTAATATTTAAGAGAGACTAGACATCATTATATTATTTAAATATATATATATATATATTATTAAATAATACATAAAACAAAAGGCAATAACATTTTGATATAATATTATATTATAGTATATGACAAATAAAAATGATTAATTTAATTAATAGTAATAAAATCTTTAAAAAAAAATTTTTGAATGATAAATGGCAATCAACGTTGTCTAATAAATCCATAATTTGTTTATTAATTAATTTTTAATTACTTTTTTTATTATTATTATTTTAAATGTCTAACTGACTGTCTGATTGTCTCATAATGTTTTAATTTATGATAAATAAAAAAAAATATTATATGAAAGTATAGTATTTTATTTAGATTTGTTATTACTATTAAAAAAAATTATATTTAATTTTTTTTTTTTAATAAACGTTAATATAATTTTAAATCAATTATAATAGTTATTAGGACTTTAATAAATACAATCAACAAAAAAATCATATATAAAGACTAAGTGAAAGTTATGGTTGTTATCATTCAATCAGTGATTCAATAGTCAACAATCATCTAAAATATTTATTATTCAAATGTAATATAAAACTCAAATATAATTTTTTTATTTCAATATTATAAGTATTAAAGTTTTTGAAAAATAATAAACTTTTTGTTTTTGAATTATCATTTTTTTTTAATATAGATATAGTGTGTGTATATATATATAATCAATACATTGGAATACATTAGAAATAAAATGATCAAGGTAAAGTGATTGTGATTGAAAATGAAAAATATATTAAAAACTATTTATTTATTTAATTTATTTTTTTTTGGTTTAATTTCCAGTACATACTAGTTCTCACATTTGTAGCCTATTGTAGAGCGGGAGGCTATGGTGGTGGTGGAGGAGGAGGTGGTTATGGCGGTAGTGGTGGTGGTTATGGCGGTAGTGGTGGTGGTTATGGTGGAGGATATGGTGGAGGAAACGGTGGTGGACTGGGATTTGGCGGTGGCGGCGGTTTCGCCGGCGGTATAATTCCTGCAGCCATTACTACCCGACACACTGTTGACGTACGGCCTACTAATGTACAATCCGAGCCGGTAGTACCCCAGACAGTGCTGGTCGATGCCGGTATTGTGCCGCTGACCATAATGTTTAGGTCGATGTCCAGCAAAATGAATGTCGTTCAGCAACATATTGGCGGTTCGGGTGATACCCAACATACGTCATCGGAGGACGAACCGCATAAACTCGTTCATCGGGTAACCAAACCGATCATACAGGAGGTACGCGAAGTGATTACACCCTACAGACGAGTCGTACAGGAGATACAACCGGTTGTCGAAGATATCCAGACTATTGTTGCCAGCGGTCAGGCTAGAGGTGGTGGTGGTGGCGGCGGCGGTGCTTTGGGTGGTATCGGTGGAGGAAGCGGTTTTGGCGGTGGTTTCGGTGGCGGTAATGGTGGCGGAGACGGTGGCGACGGCGGTCACGGAGGTTATGGAGGTTATGGTGGCCACAGCAGCAGCAGCTATGGAGGCGGCGGATATGGTGGCGGACACTATGCCGGTGCTCGTCGAAGAGCCGCAAAGGCTGCCAAAGCTGCCGGAGCTGCCGCTGCATCAGCCGCTGCCGGTGCTGCCGGTGCTGCTGCTGCCGGTGCCGCAGCTGCCAGTGCTTAGTGTCCAATATGTCCACTAAATTGTGTCTAGGCTAATTAATTGATATTTATGTATGTGCGTGTGTGTGTGTGTGTGTATGTATGTATGTTTAACAGTGTTATTTAATTTATAATTAATAATTTAACAATTTTTTTAACGAATCATCAATAAATGAAAATTATAATAAAATTATAATTTGTTCAAAAAAAAATTAAATAAATTAACTATTTTTTTTGATAAAAAATTTTTGTCTTTTTTTTGATGCCAAAAGTTTATTGTATTTTATTATTATTATTATTACAGTATTAGATATTTTTTGATAAAATTTAAAATATTTTCAAATATTATTTTTGAAAATATTATTTAATAAATACTAAATTAATTATAATATATTATATATTTATATATTTTTTAATTAATTTATACAGTTTATGGTTGTTATTGACATTTACATTAATTAGTCTCATATAAAAAATAAATAAACAAAAAAAAAATAAAAATATTTATTTACACATTTTAAAAAAATTTAGTTTATTAATTTAATTTAAATTTAAATTAATCATTCAATTAGTCTCTAAATTTATTTGAACAACAAATTATTAAATGGTTTTTTGGTGTTTAAATTAAATGCTACCAGTGCTACAATCGGACAGTGCTAAGTTATGATAATGATAAACAAATTAAAAAAATAAATATCTTATTTATCGGTAAATTAAAAATTAATTAATTAATTTTTAAAAAAAAATCATTTGATAACATGTATGAGTAGTATATAATATTGTTAACAATAAGATATATATATATACTATATATATATAAATGGCAATCAATATTGTATCTAATAAATTGCTAAAATAAATCAATAATAATTACAATTATAATTTTTGTTTATTATTAATTAATTGTTAATTAAGTTTTCACTTTTTATTATTATTTTAATTGTCTAATTGACTGACAGACTAGACTGTCTGTCTGTCTGTCTGTCTCATAATGTCTTAATTTATAAATTAAAAATAAATAATAAATAAATAAACAATAAATAATATTATAAAAATACTTTTTAATAGATTTGCTAATTAAAGTTATATATATTTTTAAAAAAAAATTAATAAACATTTAATATATATTTTCAGAACAAATTAATTAATATTATAATTAGCTTATAATAGCTTATAATAATTGACTTTAAAAAATCATATATAAAGCCTAAGTAAAAGTTATGGTTGTTATCATTCAATCGGCAGTTTTTATTTGATAATCAATAGTCAACAAACCAACTAATATCTAATATTTAAATGTAATATAAAAAAAAAATTGAAAAATCAAATATAAGTTTTTATTTTCAATATTTGCTTCAAGTTTTGAATTATCAATTTTATTTTTATATAGATATTGTATATATTGTATAATCAATACATTGGAATATATTTATTTTCAGTAAAATGATCAAGGTAAAGTTTTATTGTGATTTTATTGAAAAAAATATTAACTATTTTTTGTTTGTTTGGTTGGTTGGTTTAATTTCACAGTACATACTAGTTCTCACATGTGTGGCCTACTGTAGAGCGGGAGGCTATGGTGGTTATGGCGGTAGTGGTGGTGGTTATGGTGGAGGATATGGTGGAGGACACGGCGGTAGTGGGAGTGGCAGTGGACTGGGATTTGGCGGTGGCGGCGGTTTCGCCGGCGGTATAATACCTGCAGCCATAACTACCCGACACACTGTTGACGTACGGCCTACTAGTATACAGTCAGAACCGGTAGTACCGCAGACAGTGCTGGTCGATGCCGGTATTGTGCCGCTGACCATAATGTTTAGGTCGATGTCCAGCAAAATGAGTGTCGTTCAGCAACATATCGGCGGTTCGGGTGATACACAGCATACGTCATCGGAGGACGAACCGCATAAACTCGTTCATCGGGTAACCAAACCGATCATACAGGAGGTACGCGAAGTGATTACACCGTACAGACGAGTCGTACAGGAGATACAGCCGGTTGTCGAAGACATCCAGACTATTGTTGCCAGTGGTCAGGCTAGAGATGGTGGTGCTGGCGGTGCTGGTGGTGGTGGTGATGGTGGCAGCGGTTTTGGCGGTGGTTTTGGAGGTAATGGCGGCGGAGACGGCGGCAGTGATGGTGGTCATGGAGGATATGGTGGTAGCGGCGGATATGGCGGCGGACATTATGCCGGTGCTCGTAGAGGAGCTGCCAAAGCTGCCGGTGCCGCAGCTGCCAGTGCTTAGTGTCTGTGTGTTTAGTCTAATTAATTGATATATGTTTTTGTATATGTTTAACAGTGTTATTTAGTTTATGTAATATATATATATATAATTTTAAATTATTATTGAATTAATAAAATTATTTTTTAAAATTATAATTTTCTTCAAAATATATATTTATATATATATATATTTCTACCCTAATTTAATTTCCAACAATTTTTTTTTAAATTTACGATACAATTAGGTAATTTGAGTTTATATATAAAAAATAATTATATTATATTTATTAAATCAATTAATATTAGACATTATATTTTTTTTGATTGCAAAAAAATATTAATATAAAATTATTTTAATTTAATATAATATTTTTTAAATTCATGCTAATTGTTATTAGCGTAAAACATAAAACTTATAATTTTAAGGTGTTTATAAAAATCTATATTTTTATTATTAGTATTATTAATTTATTATTATTATTATTATTACTTGAAAGCTATCAAAATTAATTATATATTTTATTTTATTTTTAATAGTTTTATCAACAAATCTAATACTATGGAAATTTGAGATAAAATATTTTTGATATATATTAAGTAATTAATATTATTATAACTGTGGAAATAGACATAAAAACAATGACATACATACATAGTTAGTCATATTATTAATAATAATAATAATAATAATAATAATAAAAATGCTAAACATTTTTTGTTTATTTTCATTAATTCAACAACAAAAAAAATATATGTATATTTTTGTTTGTTTTTTTTTTAGTTTATTAATTTAGTTTTAAAAATAAAATTAATTAACTATCACTACTAATCACTAACCAGTTATGTGGCAAACAACATATACTAATAATAATAATAATTTAAAAATTTTAGCATATTTTCTATTGTTTGGTTTTATGCTACCAGTGCTACAAATTAGATCGGATGATGATAATGATAAAAAATATTTGATTGACACCTATTTGTCGCGTTTGAAAATCAATTACATAATCATCGATACCGAGTGCGAGGACCGGATTGTTGATGATAAGCGCCGATGTGTTAGACAATCGGTAGTCGATTGGCAATCGGTGGACAATCGGGACAGAGCCGACTGTTGTATTGTTTGGGATATTAACGACTGTATACTGGATGCTGTAGAGGACGGATGCGATCGTGTTATCTTCAATCGTGTTAAACGGCTTATGGATGATATGAATAGGAGGGACAGCGATGCCCTGTGTCCGGACTATACGTACGGTTCATACGGTTGTCATTTTCCTGTTTGGGCCATCTGTTTGATTGTCATCTTCGGCTTGATTACCATTGTTGCCATTGTTGTCATCAGTTGTCTGTGCTATCATCACAGACACGCATTCAGATCCTATGATTTTTAGGCAACAAAAAAAATTATTTATTTATTTTTTTAAACCAATTATTGTATTAGAAATTAAATTATTATTATTATATATACTCTAAATATAATATAATACTGTATTTATAATTATATAATAAATATATATTAAATATACTATTAATTTAAATTAAATATACTATTAATTTAATTTAAATTAAATATACTATTAATTTAATTTAAATTAAATATATAATTAATTTAATTTAAATATAATATTAATTTAATTTAAATATAATATTACATATATCAGGATAACTTAAAATTTTATAACATATATTTTATTTAATAATAATTATTTATTTATTTATTTATATCAAATTTTTTATGTATTGTAAATAAACTATTTAAAAAAAAAATATTAATTTATTACACAAACTTGATTTCATTAGTGTTAGTCATTTTTAAAAAAATATATCTATCAATAAAATTATAAATTAATTGTTTTGTTTGTTTGTTTGTTTCAACTAACTATTATTTGAATTAATTATTATTATAGTTCAATGAAAAGTTTGTTGACTTTTTTTTGTTTGTTTGTTTGTTTGTGTGGTTAGGTTTTACTACCGTATATTTAATTGTTATGCAAGAAAAAAAAATTGATCCTAACTATCAATATTAACAAATAGTAATAATAATAATAATAATTAAATTCATACCATTTTATATTACCTGAACATTATATTAACCATCAAATCCATTGACAATATCTTAATTTCAATCAAACATATGGGAGGGTTGACCATCACTATCCAAAATTTACTGGACATTCAAAAAAATTTAGTTAACTATATTTATAGGCATATTGAGAGAGAGAGAGAGAGAGAGAGAGAGAGAGAGAGAGAGAGAGAGAGAGAGAGAGAGAGAGACATTGATCTCAAGCCTACCCAACCAATTCATGACTGTCCACATAATCACATAATAAACTGAACCACCAATACATACAAACAAAGAGGTCATAATAACTAAAAAAATAGATTTTTATTTAATAAATATTTATATTTAAAATAATTTTTTTTAATTTGTTTGTTTACTAAATATATATATATAATTAGTTTAGTTTATCTATTATTGTATTAACTGCTGTAATATTTTAACTATTTATATATATATATATATTAATAGTATAAATATACGGTATAATGTATTAAACAATGTATTATATTTATTATTAATAATAAGCATTTTTAAGTAAATAATTTAGTAATTATTATTATTATTATAATAAAAATCATACAATTTTTTGTATATTATTTTTATGTGTCAAATGACCCCCTCTCTCTCTCTAAAGTATTTAACTTTATTTATATAATAATAATAATACTAATAAGTTTAACAATAAAAGCTTAATACAGTATATAATTATAATTGTTAACTAATGTGTGACAAATTGGTCAATTTTTTGCTGTCATAATTATTTTTTTTAAATTTTCAATTTATATTTTTTTACAAACAAACACAAACACACACATACACATACATACATACACATACATACACACACATACACACACATACACACACATAAACACACATACACACACATAAACACACATACACACACATATACACACATACACACACATACACACACATACACACACACACACACACATACACATACACATACACATACACACACACATACACACACATACATACACACAAACAAACTTTAATTTGCATAACAATATGTCTAAACAAACATGTTTTACAAACACATATTTTCAAATTCATATAATATATTAAAAATAATTTAAATGACCGATTTTTGTTGTTATTATATATTATGATATTTAAATTATTATATACTGTATATTTATAAATTAAATCTATTGTATTAATATACTTTTACTTTAATAAAATAATTGTTGAATTGCATGTTTTTTATGTGTGTGTGTGTGTTTTTGATATATCATAGCAATTATATTGATATTATATACTGTACTTTAGATTTATACTATTAGATAATAGCAATTATTTTTTATAAATATATACGTTATCATATATTTTTATCACCTATCAATTTTGAATCTAACAATTTGCTTGTTTTTTATCATATCTAAAAAATAAAAAATAATAAAACAATACTTTTACTTACAGTTATACTGTATATACAATATATATATATATATATATATTTGTATATAATATTATAGTAATAGAGATATATAATGGATAATCTCAGTTGTTTTGTTAGAGAAAAATATTATTAAATGTTTTTATTATATTATAATTAACTCAATATTTTGTTGTTGTTGTTGTATTAAATTATAAGATTATTTTTCAAGTTATTATTATTATTATTTTAATTTATTATTTTTTAAATAAATACTACAATCTTTTATAATTTTATAAAATAAAAAATTTGATAATTATATTAGATTAACAAACAAACAAACAATTTTTTCCTGTATACATAATATACAAAAAAAACAATAAAACAAAAATTAATTACTAATACTATTAATAATACATATATTAACAAAATGTGTCATCAATATGATTGTTGTGCTGATGATGATGGATAATGATGATGATAATGCTGGTTATGATAGCTGGGAATGGTAGCTGAAAATAGCTGAGCTAACGATCCCAGTGTCGACGCTTTGCTAATCATTGGATCATCACTATTATACTGACTATTACTATATATCGGTATCAATGTAGCTGCCGGTGCTCCTACGGCTGCTGCCGATGCTTGCGATTGTCGTACTAAGCCATCATAGCCGTCACTGGTAGCCAAATCACCTGTATAACCGTTGACCAGGTCTAGGGTCAAGTAGGCTGCATCACCACTATCATAGACAGGACTATTATCATACATACCATTGTTGTTTGCTGTATAATAATTATCATTATTATTATTATTATTACTTTTAACAACTTTGTTCGGGTGCTCATAGTATTGATCATCAATTAATTGCTGATAATTTTGTTTATAATATAAATCTTGTATAGCATTGTGCTGTTGATAGGGTTGTTGGTGTTGGTGTTGTTGTCCAATAGTAGGGTTGCTATTGTATGAATTAATCAAACTTTTTTGGTCGTTGTTGTCGTCATAATTTAGGGCACTTCCGTAGTCAGTGCCTTGACTTGTTGTCCTATAGTATTGCTGGTGTTGTTGTTGTTGCTTATCTGGTTGGGCGTCGGCGGCGGCAGCACTGGCCGTAGAATAGCCGCCGCCATACGTATGATCTAACGGCTCGGCGATGCCGTATATTATAGGCGCCGTCGGCGGCTGCTGTTGTTGTTGTTGTCGGGAATGATCGGGTGTTTCGTATACCACTTGCGGTGGCTGTTTGTCCGCCGCCGGCGCATGATTTACGGTCATATAGTAGCTATGGATGTCATAGTTTGTAGGCTTTGCCCCATATATTGTGCTTAAGTCATAGATTTTGTTGTATTGATTAGTATTAGTATTGTTGTCATTGTTTGCATCGACACTATAATAATGATAGTTATTATTATTATTTTGGTAATCAATGGCTGCTGCGGTCGGTGTGTATGATGTATAGGTCGGTGCTTGCGGTGATGATGGCTGCTGTAAATGGTTGGCTGTTATATAGTATCCATAGTTGTTATGATGATCGGTATTCAGGTCATCGGCGGCCACTGAATTCAAATTGTATACACTGTTCACATAATTATCATTTGGTGACTCCTGTTGTTGTTGCTGATGGTGCTGCTGCTGCTGATGCCTGTCATCGTGTTGTATACTATTACCATAGCTCATGTAGACACTGCTTTTGGGTTCACCAGTGGCGGCTACCACTGTCTTAACTTCCTCGATGACCGGCTTTATCTGTTGGATAACCTGTCGATAGGGAACAATAACTTCCCGAACCGTTTGGATAACCGGTTTTTTGATCTCGTGTTTCAGATAGTGTGGTTCATCCTGGGAGACACTGTGCTGGGTATGGCCAGCCGTATGGCTAGGCCGGTGCTCCTGTTTGACATGAATTTGGCTGGACTTGGTCCTAAAGTGTACATACAAGTTGGCAATGCTAGCCGGTACCAGTATCATCTGGGGATCGTGCGGTTTATTGGCGTAGACATTGGGTACATCCTTATAGGAGATGGTATGCTTGCGTATTATGGCAGCAGGTATTACATTTCCCTGGGATAACTGGCCGCTTAATAGTGTTACCAATAATACGGTGGCACTACCAAACAATCCCTATATATATATATACAGTATATACAGTATATTTGATCAAAAAAAATTATTTAACAATTTAAACAAACAACAAAAATTTTCATTAAATTATTCATACAATACTAATATTATTATTAAAGTATTAATTATTATTATTTAATTTAAAAAATCAATATAATTATTATATAACTTTTAATTAATATGTATATACACATTATACACACTATACACTTACCAAATTGGATAATAACATTATTATTTAATAATAATAATAATGATTTTTTTATATATATAAAATTAATATTAAATCAAATACACAACTGTTTGTCGATATAATCGCAATATTAATAATGAATTGTATTTAATCAATAAAATTGCAAATCAAAAGTTTTATATATATATATATATCATATAATATATATTTGTATTATAAATATCAATTGAATATAAGCCTTATAACACATGTGGTCGGCTATTACTCTACTGACACACTATCTAAATGTACATAACTTTCAAGTCAGTCACACCTTTAGGTTTATTTCTAAATTTGATAATTTTTTTTTGCTTATATTTCAAATATATTATATATAATATATTGAGTTTAATATATAATATATTATAGTTTGGTACTTGAAGTTTGCCTTAATTTTTGTTTTTTAACTCTCTATCTCTCTCTCTCTCCAATTTCTATCCAACTGTGAGAGAGAGAGAGAGAGAGAGAGAGAGAAAAAAAATTGATTGAAATATATATAAATACTTATTTAATATATATATACATATAAATTAAGTTTGATATCTGTCTAACAAACAGTTATTATATACATGTAATAGTACATGTAGTATAGTAAATGGGAATGGTCGATTTTGGTTGTCCCCTAAAGGGCTGTTAGTTTTTTTAAAAAAAAAATATAGAGTAGTATATTAAACACATTACTATTTATTATTATTATTATTATTAAAATAAAAACTTTTATATTAATATATCCATTATATAACAATCAGCGCTTTAGTGATACAGATATACATTTGGAAACATACACAACATATTAATAATAACATATATATAATTATAATTTTTGTTTTTTTATAAATTACAATATCTATATATCATATTAATATAATAGTTATTTTTTCATATCGGAAGCAAATTGTTATATTTTATAATTCAAGAAAAAAATATTAAAAAAAATTACTATTATATTAACTCAACTATCATTTAATTTATTATTATTGATTATACTTTAATTTCTATGATACATGTTTTTCACATATATATATATATTTAAAATATTTATTTTTTATATAAACAAAAAAATAAATACATATAATAAAATATAAAAATATAACGTGCAATTTTGTATTTTATTTTAAATTATATATTTTATTTTATTTTTTTTTGAAAAAGATATTACACTAATAACTAATCTAATTTATACAAATTGATTGGTAATTATATATATACTGTATATATATATAATAAAATATGGATTATTTTTTTATAACAACAACAAAAATATTAAATTATAAGTGATATTAATATAATAAATATCAAAATACTACTGTTTTTTATGTTATTATAACAATATATCACAGTTTTCTATAATATTTATATTAATTATATAATTGAATTTTATTTGTTTTTTTCAAATAAAAAATTGTGATAATTTGTTGAAAATTATTACTATTTTTTTGTTTTAATTTTTTTCTAATTATTTTAGATTAAAATAAAGATTAAAACTAATCAAAATTGCATAAAATTTAATAAATAATATTTATTTATTGTCAAAGATTTTTTTTTAAAAAAATAATAAATATTTTTTAGTTAAAACTCGGATACTATTATAAAATATTATTTAGTTAATCAATAGTTTTAGTGTATATTTTTAAATTTTATTTAAACATAACATTATAATAATAATCTATAAATAATATTAAAATTTTCTTAATTTTTATAATATTTGTATTAAAATATTTGTATAAAAATATTTGTATTCCTGTTTTGTTAAATTTTGTTGTTTTTTTATTGATTTAATCGTAAAAATATTATTTATTTATTTTTTTTTTGGTATTATAATCGTGTACTGACTTAACTATTATTATTATTATTATTATTAAATTGCAATCAATCAAAAACAAACAAAAAATAATCTCAAATTTTGATTTTTGTCAAATTATTGTATACAGTAGTTATCAATATATATTAATATATAGGAAACAATTTAATTAATATATATGTTATTTTATTATTATTATTATTATAAAAACATGTTTTATAGTCAATTACATTAATTAATGATATTATAACATTTTATCAGATTTTAATTGTATAATTATAAGGTTAGCTATTTTTTTTTGTTTTGAAAAAAATATTGTGTTACCAAAATTAATTAAATTTTATTTTTATAAGCTTTACTTTCAGCTAAATTATACTTTTAAAAAACACATTTACTTAATTTTTTTTTAAATAAAATTATAAACAATTATATTAATAGTAAACTATAATTTTATTATTTATATTATATATAGATATAGATATATAACAATTTATGATAAATATTATCAGCAAAATAATAATAATAAACAATAATTAAATGTTCATAATATTTATTAATAAATTTAATTTATTGAGATTACAAAAAAAATTAATAAAAAGTAATAATTATTTTAATAATAATAATAATTGTTTAAGCATTTAGTTTAACATAAAATTTATGATTTTTATAAACTATATTAATAATAAATATAGTTTAATACAATACAAACAGTATATTAATAAAAATAATTTAATAAGCAATAAGTTTTAGATTATATAGCAATATATATATATAGTTAATAATTAAGTTTAAAATAATTGTGTGTGAAAAATTTTTATAATCAAATTTAGTTAATAATAATTAATAATAATATAATCGGGTATTATAATCGGGTAATAACAATCGGGTAATAACAATCGGTGCCTAATTAACAACCACATGGACCTATCGGTTCATAATTGATTAGTTTGTATTTTTTGGGAATTGGCGGACATTTTGTAGTTGGTTTACATGGTTTACCTCCATGTCCTCCTTTACATCCACCACCACCAGGAGGTCCACCGTGTCCACCACTGGGTAGGGCCATAGTATTGTCAATTGTTGTCAACCATACCATCAAAATTGTAAGCATCATAACACCGATTAGTAAATTAGTTTTATTATTATACATTTTATAGTAATTAGTTATAATAATTTATTTATTAATAATTGAAATTAATTTTTTAAAAATTAATTACTAAAATAATAATGATTATACATTTGATGAGTTTATATGCGATTTATATACCTTTGAATTTATTTGGTTTATTTTATTTAGTGATGTATTTCTTTTTTTTGGCAATAATTTTATATTTATGAAATTATAAACAATATTTTTTAATATTTATTATTAATTATATATATATAACAATATACAAAAATATGATACATTGTTTTTTTTGTATTTTCAAAATATTAATTATTTATTATATATATACAGTATATACAGTATATGTATATTCATTGTAAAATGTCATAAATTTAGTAATAATATATATAGTTATATATATATATATATATTATTATTACTAAAATAATTAACTGAATTTAGTTGGATTTTTTTTATATAATCTTATTTATATTTAAATAATAGTAATTTATGAGACAATTGGCAAATAGTTTTTAAAAATAACTTATAATTTTTGATTATATGCTAAACATATATATAAATGATAATTATAAGTAAATTTTTATTAATATAATATTAAACATTTTTTTTGACAATTGTAGCAACGCATTAAAAAATTATATATATATATATATTTACATAACTCAATTAATAACATAATTTATTTGTTTAAATAAAACAATTTTATATGAAAAAAATACAAAATTTTTCATTAACAATATATATAAATATAACAATAATCATTTAATAATAATTACTATAAATAATAGTAATTAATTATTAAAAATTATTATTATTATTAGTGCTAATAAATAATAATTTTATTCATTATATAATTTAACACACAAAAAAAATTAAATAAATTATAGTCAAGTGATTCATACAATTATTTATTATTTTGACTATCAAAACAAAAAATTCATTAAAAATTTATATAATTTATTTTATTTACATTACTGTTATCTATAGTTTATGATAGGGATTTTAAAAACACATTTTACTGTACAGTATTAAACAAAAAATTAAATTCATACATATAATAATTTATATATAATAAATATATATATTTATACAATTAAAAAATAAAAGTGGAATAAATAAAATAAATATGTTTTTTATTCAAAACCCATAAAAGTCGTGATTAATAAATACTATATTTATATATAATATTTACTGTTTTTTTTCTACAATATATACAGTACTGTATATATAAAAAAAATTATAGCAGTTTTTTTTTGCAAAATCAATCTTTATTTTTAATACACATTACAGGTATATATATATATATATATATATATACAGTATATATATAAAGGTAAAAACCGGAAGATAATTGTAATATAAAATATTATTATAGCATATATAATGCAGACAATAAAAAAATTATATATATATATTTATAAACTTATATATATATATGTTTTCCTACCTGTGCCGGATTGTATCCACTACTTGCATATTAATAGCCAACAAAAAATAAATTAATCCCCAAAAACAATACACACAAACATACACACTATCATCTCATTAGTCCCAAAAAAAATGTATATATATTTTCTTTTATTTTTCTTATTTATTGTAAAAACTTATTATTATTATTGCTCTCCATATATACTGTATACTGTATATATAAGTACTGTATTATACAGTTATATATATATATACAGTAAAAATAAATAAATTATTTGTAATTTAAAATTAGAATTTTAAATAGATTTTTAATATCCATCTCTCTCTCTCTCTCTCTCTCTCTCTCTCTCTCTCTTTTCCCCCTTTTTTTTGTTACTTTCACTTAATGTTGTTTTATTTTATATATATATATATTTTAGCAATTTGTATGTTTAAGTAACCCACCCCCAGGCTATCAGGTAATCAGGTATATAAATATTGCAACAATTTTTTCTTTCAATTCAATTTCAATCACTAAAAAAGTGAAAGTTTGTTTCCGATTTGTTTGTGTGTGTGTCTGTCTGTCTATTGTCTGTAAAGTAAAAAAGTTTTTTATTGGAAATTGTTTTGTTGACCAAAAAAAATTTGACATTTTTTTTGTTGTTATCATTATAATCAAGAAAAAATATTTAGCCATATTAGTAATTATTATTAATAATGTTCAAGGTAAGTTTATTATAAATTTATTTAATTTATTATTTATATATATTATTATTAATAACACTAAATAATTATTAATATATATTATTAATAATACTAAATAATTATTAATATTTATTGTTATCAGTAATTGTTTTTCGTGTAGAAAAACAAATTATTATTGAAAACATTTATATATATATAAATAATAATATAATTATAAGTTTAACTAATAAGTTATCAACAATAACAATATGATAATAAATTATATAAATCCCATAATAATTATATTATTATTATTATTATATTTTCTAAATATTTTTATAATAATAATAATAATTAAATTTAATTTAATTTAATTAAATTAATTAATTAATTATATATTTCAATAGATTTATTTATTATCGTTTGTATTTGTCGCCTGCAATGCTGGTGGTGGCGGCGGGGGTTACGGTGGTAGCGGTGGCGGTGGCGGCGGCTATGGTGGTAGCGGTGGATTCAACTTAGGTGGTGGCGGTGGCGGAGGTTATGGTGGTTTTGGTGGCGGAGGTAGCGGTGGTGGTGGTGGAGGAGGATATGGTGGTAGCAGTGGAGGTGGCGGCGGTGGTGGAAACTATGGCGGTTCCGGACCGGTTACCGCTGCTGTCCAATCGCAGCACACTGTCGAGTACCGACACGTCAACATACCGCAGGAAGTCCCTCAACATCAGGTTATCGAAGTTGATGGCGGCCAGTTACCGTTGACCATACATTTCAAATCGGCATCCAGTAACATACAGGTACAGCAAACACATCAGCCGGCACAAGCGGGCGAAATACAACAAACCCAATCGGAGGACGAACCCACCCGATTGCAACACGAAGTAACCAAACCGATCATTCAGGAGATTCGGGAAATTATTACACCCTATCGTCGAGTGATACAAGAAGTCAGACCCGTTCAGGAAGAAGTACATACTATTGTGGCCAGAGGTGAGGCCAGAGGTGGTGGTGGACAGGGAGGTATCGGTGGTGCTGTTCAAGGAGGTGGTCAGTTATTGGGTGGCGGCGGCGGTGCTGGTGGTTATGGAGGAGCTGTTTCGCGGGGTAGTGTCTCAGTTGGTGGCGGCGCCGGAGGATATGGCGGTGTTAGTGGCGGTGGCGGCTCATCATATGGTGGTTCAGGCGGTTCCGGCGGATACAGTGCCCGAAGTTCGGTCTCCGAGGGCGCACACGTCGAACGTAATATCATACGTGTCCTCGAATCGCCCGGTAAAGTGGTCTACGGCGGTGCTGCCAGCAGTTAAGCACAGTTACCCAATAGATAGATAGATAGATATATAGATACCTGTCCTCATCAATGCCAATCAACTCATTATTTAAGTTTGCATACTATGATAATTATATATGTATTTAATTAATTAATTATATTTTTGTTGTTGTTAAAAAATAATAATAATTTTTTTAAAAATAAGTCAATAACTATTATACCATATTGTAAAATAATATTATAGAAATTTTTATCAATAAATTTATTTATATTAATAATTTAAATACTATTTATTTATTTTTATTTTTTTTTTAATTTATAACTTATTGTTATTTTTGGAAATGTTATGTAATTTTTATTTATACTTAACACACATATATTGAAGTATTACTATTAATACTGTATTAATAGTATAAACAATATTTTTATGATATACTGTATATATTATTAAATATCTAATCTAAATGTATTAAATATTCAGTAATAATAATAATATGATATTAAGTATAATAAAAGTTAGAAAATAAATATTCAAACTTAAGTATAATATTATCATATTTTGTTAATAATAATAATAATAATAATACAAAATTATTTGCAAATAATAATAATAATATTTATTTATTTTTTAATAATGCTATATATAATACATCAAATAATAATTATAATTTAAATAAAATACAATATAATAATAATAATAATCAAATAAAACTTGAAGTTATTATTAGTTTTTTTTTGTTTTGTTAAATTATTAACAATAAATTCTATCAATTAGTTAGTATATCTATAATATATGCTATAATTATAGACACAATATATATATATAAATCATATTTGGCTTATCCATCATATATTAATGGTCACACACTTGTAGGTTATGCTCTATAACTTTTACCACCCGATCCCGAGCCGCCGCCACCCGAACTATAGGATCCTCTACCGCCGCTACCGGTTCCATAGGAACCGCCAGTTATTCCTCCACTACTACTACCACCACCATAACCGCCTCCTCGGCCGCCACCATAACCTCCACCACCGCCGCCGCCGCGTCTTCTACCGCCACCATAACCGCCATCGCCGCCATCGTAACCATCGCCGCCACGTCGGCGACCATCACCGCGTGCAACAATAGTCTTGACTTCCTCTTCGACCGGTCGGATCTCTTGGATAACCCGTCTGTAGGGTGTAATTACTTCGTGAACCTCTTGTATGATAGGTTTGGTCACTTCGTGGACCAGACGATGAGGTTCGTCCTCGGATTGGGTTCGTTGTTCTTCGCCAGCACCGGCACCTTCGTGACTCTGGTGAACCTGTAGTCGACTCGATGCCGACTTAAAATGTATGACAAGAGGTAGATGGCCGGCATCGACTTCGACAATCTGCGGCTCGATGTCGTCCTGCGGTAGATCGACATCAATATATTCGACACTGTGTTTGGTTGTGATGGCAGCCGGTATGATGTTTCCGCCGCGACCTCCGCGATCGCCACCACCACCGCCGCGACCTCCATATCGTCCACCACTACCACCACGTCCTCCACCGCCATATCCTCCACCACCACGTCCTCCACCATATCCGCCGCCGCCACCACCACTATAGGAGCCGCCGAAACTTCCACCTCCATAGCCACCACCACTACCCCCTCCTGAGCTACCATAGCCACCACCACCTCCTCCGGCATTTACCGCTACTGTGCAATATATTATCGCTAATGATATGACTGCAACCTATAATAATAATAATAATAATAATAATAATAAATCAAATTATTGTCAAAACATTATTACACAATATTATTGTATATACAGATAATATAATTAATTTATTTGATTATATTTTTTTATGCATTTACTAAAAAATTTCTAATTAAATAATTTTATTATATAAAACATTTATTATTATTTTATTTATTAAACAAAAAAAAATTAGTAATAAATTTCATAAATTTATTAATTAAACAAAATTTTAATCTATTATTAAAACACCTAACAATTTAATTGAATTAAATATATTTATATAAATATTTATAAAAAAAATCTAACTAAAAATATTTATATATATATAAATTAATTCAATAATAATATTTATTTAAAAATTATTTAAAAAATAAAAATAATAATAATTTTATACATACTTTATACATAATGATGAACGTGTTGTTTATAATAAATATTTTTTTTCTAAATTAAAATTTAGTTAAAACTAAAACTTTTTCAAACTAAAGTATAAAAAACACTTTATTATATATAAATCCTAATCTTATAATATGAAACTATAAAAAAAATATCTTATATATTGTCGTCCACTGTATTAGACGATTGTCACAAACAAACTGATGGATTGTTTGCCGTTTGCGATGACTTTTATATTTCATCTGATCTGCAAATTAAGTGTTTTTTGTGTAATTAATTGTGTCTTCAATTTTCACTTTTATTTTATATATTTAATTTTATTTATTTAGTTTTAGTTATTTAGTTACAGGGATTTAATATCATATAATTTGTTTGTTTGACTACTGTTTTTTGTGCAATTTTGTTGGTCAATCTCTCTCTCTCTCTCTCTCTCTCTCTCTCTCTCTCACACACACACACACACACACACACACACATAACCACACATAATCTGTACTAAACAAAAAAAAAATTATATTATTAAATTTAATATCTAAAAAAAATAAATAAAATTACTATTATTATGATTACGATATTGTTTGCGACTTTGTTTTATAACACAAAAATATTATTATTATTATTATTATTAATTTGTTTGTATTACATAATAAACAGAGAGAGAGAGAGAGAGAGAGAGAGAGAGAGAGAGAGAGAGAGAGAGAGAGAGAGAGAGAGAGAGAGAGAGAGAGAGAGTAAAAGTTAATTTATTACACATTTTGCATATTAAATATAATTATATACAGTATACAAAAATTCATATAATATAAAATAGCCATTCAAACAAAAAAATAAAATAAAATAATAAAGATGAACCTCTATGATATAAAAGCGATTAATTTATATATATATATTAAATTAAAAATTATATTAATTACAGGTGAGTAATATCATAATACAGTGTGTACAGTATATTATAATTATTTGGATATTAAATTTATTTTTTTTCATTAACTAGTTTTTTTGTACTCAATTGTGTGTGTGTGTTAAGCAATAAATAGTATAGTAGACACACATATATTGTATATATATAATGATATTAATTTCACACACAAAAACTTTATTGTCATAATATAATATATAATATATTTTATTATCATTACTGTGTTAAACACGTCAATTAAAATTAATTTTTGTTTTGTTTTGAAGATTGCATTATTTAAATTAAATATCAGACAAAATTTATTATTACAAATTTTTGTTTTACTACTACACAATACAGGTATATATCATATATATTATAATTTTTAAAATAAAAACATACAATAATTATATTATTGTTGTCTGCATAGAGAGAGAGAGAGAGAGAGAGAGAGAGAGAGAGAGAGAGAGAGAGAAGGTATGTTCAAAAAAAACAATTTATATATATATTTATTATTATTATTTTTTTAAAAGATAATAATTAATAATAATTATTAATTGGCAGTGAAATGTGTGTGTATTTTCATCATAAATATTACAATAGATATATAGTTAAAGCTAATTAACATATTTATTTTTATTTATTCAATTAACTCTACCTCTCTCTCTCTCTCTCTCTCTCTCTCTCTCTCTCTCTCTCTCTCTCTCTTTCGCAAATATTTATTTTTAAAAACATAAATAATAATAATAATAATAAAAACTTAAAAATTAAATTTAAAAACTTAAATAATAATAATATTGATATATATATATATAAGACTAAAAATATGAGAGATAAATTGGTACAGAAAAAAAACATTATTATTATTAGTTAATTAGAGTAAAATTATATTATTTATTTTTTTTGATATTAAATAATAATAGTTTTTTTTGTTTGTTTTGGCAATAAATTAATTATTAATTAAATCGTTTAAACAATTTTCAATCCATTCATGATTTAGTAATTGAATTAATTTTCTTTGATTGAGTGAAATTTGTTGCATTTATCCACCATTTCAGCTGTAAAATAGATTTTTTAATTAATAAAAATTTAATTTAATTTTAATTAATTAATTATTATTTTTTTAAAATACAAAATTTTTATATACCATCAGTAGCTCCCAGACATTCACCCCATTCGACAAGTGTTATCTTATGATCGTCATTGGGATCACATCCGTTAAGAAAGTCGGATATACAGCTTTCCATTGATAGTAACGGTGCTCTCAATGGAAACAACTCGTGTCGGGACACCTGTCTATACCAAACAAACAGACAAACAAATAATTATTTTATTTTTTTTAAAATTAAAGTTTATTTAAACATATATATATATATATATGTATATAAATTTATAGCTATCTATACACTTAGAGAGAGAGAGAGAGAGAGAGAGAGAGAGAGAGAGAAAAAAGAGAGAGAGAGAGAGTGAGTGTGAGTTAGATAGTTAGTGAGTGAGTGAGTGAGTGAGTGAGTGAGTGAGTGAGTGAGKGAGTGAGTGAGTGAGTGAGTGAGTGAGTGAGTGAGTGAGTGAGTGAGTGAGTGAGTGAGTGTGAGTGAGTGAGTGAGAGAGAGAGAGGGAAAGAGAGAGAGAGAGAGAGAGCTCATACCTATCGTGTGGTTGTTTATCTAAATCGCAAAACTTCCAGATGATAGCGTCTATCCATTTCTTGGAATGATCTGAACCATCATCGCCGGTACCACTGGTCTCAACTTTTTTGCTGAAATATAGATATATGATATATATTTTGGATTATTATTTGATATAATAATGATAGGGAAAAGTAGGGTATGATAGGGTATGGTATGTGTGGATCAGTTGATCATCTGATTTTTAATACCTGATAATATGGTCCAACCATTCTCTCATTCTTCGGGGAAAATCTTCGAGCACTTCCTTTCGACATTCGGGCAGTTCTTGACATTCGCCGTAATAGTCGATATGCATGTGTTTGTGTTTGTCGTCGCAGTCGCTTGACTTTTGACCTTTTATTAGCCCACCATTATATCATGGGTTGGGGGGTGGGGTGGAGGTATGGGATGGGGGTTGAAAGGTATTATTGGAGATATAATATTAATATTATTAACATATAATTAAATTATTAGTATTTCTTATCAAAAAATAAATAAATAAAAATAAATAGTTTTTATATTATATTATAAAAACTATTTTCTTTTTTTTTTGATAATAAATAATATTATATTATTAACATATAATTAAATTATTATTTGTTTCTTATCAAAAAAAATAAATAATATTTTTTATATTATATTATAGTTTACTATTTTTTTTAATTTTTGTTTGTTTGATTAATTCAATCAATTTTTTTTTGGTATAATATTATTACCTTCAATACAATCGCACCGGTGCTTATATAGATGACAATCCGATTGCCAGGTAGTGTTATGATTTGAACAGACCCGACGCCGGACATCGGTATTATCGGCACATGTACTTCAAAATAGAAATAAATAATTAATAAAAAAAATTATTATTATTATTTAACTATATTTTATGTATGTGTGTGTACGTATGTATGTGTCTATGTATGTATGTATGTATGTATGTATGTATGTATGTATGTATGTATGTATGTATGTATGTATGTATGTATGTATGTATGTATGTATGTATGTATGTATGTATGTATGTATGTATGTATGTATGTATGTATGTATGTATGTATGTATGTATGTATGTATGTATGTATGTATGTATGTATGTATGTATGTATGTATGTATGTATGTATGTATGTATGTATGTATGTATGTGTGTGTGTATATATGTGTGTGTATCATTTTTAATTATTAAATTGATATCTAAAACATTATATTTACTATAATTATTATTACGATAATAATGATTATTAGATTACTATACATATACTGAACTAATTTCCTCTCTCTCACTATTTATATATATATATAGTATTAGTGTAGCCTAAACTAAATGTTACATTTACTATAAATTTACACTATAACATGTACTGTATGTATGATATGTATCATTAAGATTATATATATTTAAAAATTTTCTTAATATAAAAAAATAGTAGTCAAAATTGTTAAGTTAATGTCTATTTGGCAAATTTCCAACACAATTTATTTGATACTATTAAAAAAAGTGATATTTAAAATATAAACTTAAAAAAATATAGACTAACAAATAAACAAACAAAATAGATTCACTTTCATATCAAATAAAAAATTTTAAAAAATTTAAAATCACACTTTTTTTCTAAAGTAATGTATAAATCCATATAGAAAAAAAATTAATATTAAATTTCAATTTCAATAGTAATAATGATAATAATATTTATTTTATTTTATTGAATAAATAAATTTGTTAAGTAGTAGTACTACTATTATTATGATAATATTTTTTTTTTGGTGTTGTCAATTGACTTATATTATATAAGTTATATTATATAAGTATATATATATAGACATACCTAATGCACTGGCACTTGGCTTTACCCGACTCGGTATCGATCACACACTCTTTGCCCGCATCGCACTTCAGTTTAAGACATTGGTCTTTACAACAAAAAAATAAAATAATAACAAAAAACAATACATATATATCAATACATAGAGATATTATTTCAATTATACATAATATATATAAAAAAGTTTTTTTATAAACAATATTTTATTCAAAAAAAAAAATAAAATAAATAAATAAAGTCATACCCTGTTTGACGACCTCATTGGCGGCGGCGGTATCGGTGGCCGACTTGACAGCTATTTCATCGGTGTTTAACTGACTTTTTCGTTGTTTTCTTTCCTATTATTGTTGTAGTTGTCAAACCAAACAAACCAAATCAAAAAATTATCATTTTTTATTACCCATAAAATAAATCATATCCTATACTATACTAATATACTATACCTTTTTGGCATCAATTGATGCGACAATTATTGCCAATAGGACAACAACTATCAATAGATACTTATTCATTATATGGATAATCTCTATGGATAATATTGGACAGGTAGGTATTTTTTGTTACTATCAGGAAGTATATGTATGTGCGATATGTGAGAGACAGTTATGGCCCAAACACCACACCCAACACAATGAATGGTATGAATGAGAGACTAAAATTAGAGCCCAAAAGAGTGTAAGAGTTTTTAACTATACTTTTTCTTGTTGTTGTTGTTGGAAACAGATGTAAAAGTAATCACTGTATTGAAGATACTGTAGATGACTGACTGCTAGGCTCTGGTATATGTACTGTATATATGACTTCCCAAAAGTTTTGCTCCAAATTATTAGGGAAAAGCATTTTATTTTATTATTATTTTTGTGTTGAAAAAATAAACAAACGATTCATTTATTTTTAGCATTTATATATTAACACCACAGTCACTAACACACACACACACACACACACACATATATACATACATAGATACACACACATACACATACATACACACACATACATACATACACATACATACATACATAGATACACACACACACACACACACACACACACACACACACACACACACACACACACACACACACACACACACACACACACACACACACACACACACACACACACACACACACACACACACACACACACACACACACACACACACACACACACACACACACACACACACACACACACACACACACACACACACACACACACACACACACACACACACACACACACACACACACACACACACACACACACACACACACACACACACACACACACACACACACACACACACACATACACAAACACATACTCATAGACAGACCTTTCAATATATAAATTCTAGAAATATCTTAAAACTTATTTTATTTTTTTTTAAACTTAGAAAGAGATTAATATTTATATAAACAAAATAATTTTAGACATTTTATAAACAGTATTAGCTGTAGAAATATTGATAATAAAAAAAATATATATAATTTTTTTTTGATTTTATTTTAAGTGAATATACAGTATAATAAATAAATATTAATATTTTGTTACACACATACAGTAACATTAAGACTAATAAACTATATATTTAATTGTAAATTAAATTAAATTATTTTTAATATTTTTTTGATGTTTTCAATCATCACAGTAGCGGACAATTTTTATGGGAAAGTTTTCGCTAATTAAATGATTATTTTCAAGGATTATCACAATATTAACTTCAAAGTCTATAATTTCATATTAAAAAAAAATAAAAAATAAAACACAAAAATTATATTACAATTTTTTTATAATTTACATTAACCCCCCCACCCTCCCCCGGGTTACTTACCAATTTTAAAGTTTGTCGTAGTCAACGATGGACAGGTAAACAATCGGGGAAATACCATATAAATAGGTATAACCACTCCTCGGCATACGTTTCCTTCACCAATCTGTATGTTTTGGATTTCGGTGGCTAACGAGTGAGTGAGTGGGTGAGTGAGAGACCATTTAATCGATAACATAATGAAACAACAGTATGGATCAAATCAATCATTAAATCTTAGAGATATCTACCGTCGCGGGCGTATCCTTCAGCACAGCCGCAGGTCTCCACCCGAACCAACTGTAGTTCAATACTTCGGATGACGGCTTCGCACTGTTCGACGCACAGTTCGCCAGTAAATGGATCGGTAATCTTGCAAACGGTTGCATCCAATTGACCACTGATACGGAATCGAGGAATCTTTGATTTCTGCGAAACAATAAAATTTCAATTAATTGAAACCCCAATTGAAACCTCAATTGAAACCCCAATTGAAACCCCAATTGAAACCCCAATTGAAACCCCAATTGAAACCCCAATTGAAACCCCAATTGAAACCCCCAATTGAAACCCCAATTGAAACTCCAATTGAAACCCCAATTGAAACCCCAATTGAAACCCCAATAGAAACCCCAATAGAAACCCCAATTGAAACCACAATTGAAACCCCAATTTAAACACCAATTGAAACCCCAATTGAAACCCCCAATTGAAACCCCCAATTGAAACCCCTAATTGAAACCCCCAATTGAAACCCCCAATTGAAACCCCAATTGTATATTAAATGTATTACGTCTTTGATGTTTTGCAACGAGTCGGGTGTTATCAAAAAGTTGACCGCTTTGGACACGAATGGCTTCATTATCTGCAACGGCGGCCGATATTCGACAATAAATTCCACACTTTTTTGCAGATCTTTGCTGAGCATTGTTCGTCTTAGTTCGCATCGGATTAGATACTAAAAAATCCAAAGACAATAGGATGTCACCAATCAATCAATATATTGGGGGAACGATTAGATAGATTAATGTCGTTCCCCACCCTCCCCTCCTACCCCCACCCGTCCCAATCAATACCTGTATAGTAATGAACACTCCGTGATATGTCTCATACAGTTGTCGATTGGTTTTGGCTTTCAATGGCAACTCAAACGGTATCTCTGTCTTACCGACGGGTAGTTTACCACTTTTGGCAATCTCTATACCGTAGCTGATCAGCGGTACCGGCTGTTTGTTAATAATAATAATAAAAACCAATTAAAGATATGATATCATAGTGTGGATCAACTAAAACGCTGATTGATTACTTTGACACTATTATAGAAGGCCTCGAAGATGCCGACATTTTTCGAGCTCAGCTGCATATTAACTGATCCATCGACTGATAGTACAATACCTTCGTGACGGCACTCGGACTTGCACTCGAAGACAACCACTCCGGACAGTTCATCCTATAATTAATTATTAATAATCACATAATAATAATTAGTCTATTAATTAATTTTTAAATTTTTTTTTAAAGACTTACGCCATCGAAGTAGACTTTATTAACTTTTTTTAGTCTAATATCTAATGCCATAATTGATATACAATTAATTGATTTTTATTTTTTAATTTTTTAAATATTATTTAATTATAATTAATATTTAATTGTTTGATAAAAAATAACAGAATATATCCAATAAATTTTTATATATATTATTAATTGTTTAATTAATTAATTAATTAATTAACAGTTTATTATTATTATTATTATAATTATTAAATAACCATGATAATAAAAACAAAAAAAATAATCAACTGTAAATATATGTGAAAATATATATATTTAGCATGTATAAATAATAATATTTTTTAAAAATATATAAAATTTTCACATATAATGTTACACTAAAAATCTACAGTATATACTGTACAAAAAAAATTATACTGTATATACAGTACAGTAATAAAACTTAACAAATAAAATAATAAGTTTTTTCAAAAAAAAAAACAAAATTAAAAGTTAAAAATGTTCACACATCACGATAATCGTAAAATTATTTTTATTATTTTTTATTTTAAATAATGTACAATGTTTAATTTAATATATATATATATAATTATTATAATTATCCTAGCTAAAATACTAAACAATAAGCTACAACAGTAATATATATAGATAGAGGTGTGATTATAAGTAGCGTAACAATTGATGGCATTGAACGCAACCCTCTCACTAACTCATACACTATGTACTTATGCGTTGCACTTTATATTTGAATACACACTGTATATACTGTATATATGTATTTGTTTTATGTGTGTATATAATGTGTTTGTGTACAGTGTTTACACAAATACTAAATGCAAATACAATGTACTGTAATATCATTACACTTTACTGTACAAAATATAATCAATGCTATAAGTAGTCTAAAAATTTTTATGGTATTATTTAATTTTTTTTAAAAATTTTAAATGTATATATATTATACAGAAACTAATTATTACATGTAAATACAGTAATCTAATTATTAAAAAAAAAATAATAATGATACAAAATGTGGTTATAAAAAAAACATTAGGCATCACTAATTAATTTTTATTTTATTTTTATCTATTTATGTTTTCGATAAAATAAAACAGTATAAATTAATAAATTGTAATTTTTTTTAATAATTTTATTTATAAATTACAATCAATTGATGACAAATAATTATTAAATAGAAATTTTGTTAATTTTTAAAAAAAAATACAATTGTCTATTTAATTTAAACTACTAAAGTTTAATTATTTTCAATTAAATTAGTATTAATTAGTTATTAAAATAATACTTTTTATATATATACATTTAGTTTATATAAAATTAATTAAAAAAAATTATTAACAAAAACAAAAAATAATAAATTAAACAAAAAAAATTAAAAATTAAATTAAATACTAAGTTTTCCATATAAATCAAGACTTTAGTTATTATTTTCGATAAAGTGAATGCATTTTATAGTATATTTACATACAGTGTATACACATTACCATAGTTTACATGAATGAGTTGTTTTTTGGACTAAAAAAAATCTCAAAATAATATCTCAAATCACATATATTATCATATTATTTGTATTAATATTATTACTAATTAATTATTAGTATATATATATATATATATATGTATTAAATATATTTATTTTGTGGATCGCATTATAATATATACAGTGTATTATAAATATAGACATCAATACTTATTGCATATCATTTAGTGTACAATAAACTAGTGTTTCAATGCATTGTTTATTATTAATATTATTATTAGTATTAATAGTATTTAATAACAACAACAACAACACATAGACTACTAAACTATAGTGTAAATCAAAATCAATAGTTTTTAATAACAATTTATTTATCATTTAATTGTATTAATATTTTCTTCAATTAAATAACAAAACAAAACAAATTGAATGACTATTATTAGGTCTTATTGTTGTTGATCCACAACAACAACAACAACAACAAAGTGTGCCATCGATTGTCTTCAACAACAATCACTGACTAATTAAAACATTATCATCAAAAATAATGGACCCGAAAGTCCCCCGAAAATTGGACTCATCGTTGGCCGCCGGCCTATCATCTGTTGTCAACAAACGTCGTATTAGTCCAACAGTGGCCATAAACCCGTCGTCATCGTCGTCTATATCGTCTAATGATAGTACGGGTGGCGGCGGTGGTGGCGGAGGACTGTCCGCTATGAGCGGTGGTAGTAATCAGTCATCGTTGGCCACCGTCAACAACGAACTGACCGCTTTGTTCGAGTGTCCCGTTTGTTTTGATTATGTATTGCCGCCGATACTCCAGTGCCAAAACGGTCATCTGGTTTGTGCCCAATGTCGCCAAAAGATTACCTGCTGTCCCACTTGTCGGGTACCTATCGGCAACAATATCCGCAACTTGCAAATGGAAAAGTTGGCCTCGTCGATGATGTTTCCGTGCAAGTTTCAGCTGAACGGTTGCGGCGCTCATCTGGTCTGCAACGATAAGACCGAACACGAAGATTCATGCGAATACAAGCCGTATTCGTGTCCATGTCCAGGTCGGTGATAGACTAATTGGCGGACCAATTGGTGGTGGCGGCAGTGAGTGGCCAACTGTTGCTGCCGGCCGCCGCCGCCACCGCTATTGGTCTGAATCTATGTGTGTGTTTTGTGTGTGTAAACCCACCTATTTATATATATATATCATTTTGTACTGTATATCATATACTACTGGTATACCTATACCCCTTTCCCCCGCTAGGTCTGTATAGTCACAAACGGTATGTGTGTGTGTGTGATGGCCACTAACCTAACCGTTTGTCCGCACTATTGGCCAGTAATCTATATATATGTATGTATGTATGTGATGGCCACTAACCTAACCGTTTGTGCGCACTATTAGCCATTATTGGCCCGTAATCTATATATGTGTGTGTGTTAACCCCCTCCCCACCCTCACTCTTTTTATTTATATCAATTTATTTTTATATAGTTATATATATATATATATATAGATTATATTATTTTATTTACTCAGGGAGGGGGGTTGTCACCATTGTTTTACTGGTCACTAAAGTGGCCACTATTATGTCCTTATACAGTATATATATATATATATATATATTAAATATCTATGCCGTATATCTATTTATATTTATTTTTGTTTTTATAAATCATTATAACATATCATCAATAATTTATACATAATAATTGGATACATATTTTTTTCAATTATTATTATTATTACTGTATTATTACTGCTGGATATATTATATAGCTTTAAGGTATATTAATCGTGTAATTTCAATTGAAAATAGTTTCAACAAATTATTTTTATATACCGTATACATATTAATAGATTGATTTTTTACCAACAAATAAAACATAATAACTAAAAAAATTTTATTTAAAAAAATAAATAAATAGTAATAATAATTATTGAAACTAATCATAATTAGCACATCAATAGTGATGATTCATTCATATACACTAACTGGCGCTTAGTTTAGTTAAAATACTAGTTAAGTAATAGTAGTCTACATATAATTTTACTTTTTTTTCACTTATTTAGTTTATTTTAATAGCATTTAAATACACAATGTATCAAATATATACAGTACAGTATATATATATTGACCCAAATTTTTTTCTTTCAATTCAAATTCAAGCCCCAAAACAATCAAACAAACAAACAAAATATATGTTAAATAAATTATATATTTATATGTAATATTTAAACTATTTTTTTAATTTTATTTTTTTTGTGGATATATAGGGAGCAGTTGTAAATGGCAGGGTCCCATCGAGGACGTAATGACCCATTTGATGACTAACCACAAAAGTATAACCACACTCCAAGGTGAAGACATCGTATTTTTGGCTACCGATATCAACCTGTCGGGCGCTGTCGACTGGGTAATGATACAGTCGTGCTATTCCCATCATTTTATGCTAGTACTGGAAAAACAGGAAAAATTTCACGGACATCAACAATTTTTTGCCGTCGTCCAACTAATCGGCTCCCATAAACAGGCCGACCAATTCATTTATCGGCTGGAATTGAATGGCCACAAACGTCGCCTGACATGGGAGGCCACACCACGATCCATACACGAAGGCGTACAGTCGGCTATCAATACATCAGATTGTCTAGTATTTGATACACATATTGCACAGTTGTTTGCCGATAACGGCAATCTGGGTATCAATGTTACCATTTCGCCCGTTTGATCGTTAAAACCAACAAACAAACAAACAAATCAACTAAACTATTGATTAACTATTATTATTAATAATACACTACTATTTTAGATACATTTTTTTGAGAGAGAGAGAGAGAGAGAGAGAGAGAGAGAAAACAAACAATAATTTAATTGTAATTATTTGTATCTATTTTTTTTGTTGTTGTCTTTAATAGTTTTTTTGCTAACAAACTGTAATTTTTGTTTGGTTTTGTTATTTTCAATTGATTTTTTAAAATTTAAAACTTGATTTTGATTGATATTTTTCATTCCTATTATATATATATATATATAGGTTTTTTTTATTAATTAATTAATTGCTAATAATATTTATTATTATTATTATATATTATATATACAGTATATATATACACTTGAATATAAGTCAAAATAATAAAACATATATTATTTAAATAAATCAAATTAATAATTTCTTAATTAAAATTGTATAAATTTTTATTATTATATATAACTTATATTATGTAACTTATATATATATACACATAAACACAATCTATATGTACTGTAAATTGTAATTTACAAACAAATGTATAGTAATTATTATTATTATATATATATAGCCTATATATTGAATCAATTTTATGTTTTTAATTTAGCAATTATTTTCAAAATAAATCAATGATTAAAAAATAATAATAATATTGTTTTCTATTAATTCTCATTTAATTATTACACATATCATTAACCAGAGACCCATAAGTTGTCTAACAAATCAATTATCATTAGTATATTATTATAAAAATAAATAACAAATTTTTTGTTGTTTTTTTAATAAATTTATATATAAGTTATGTTAAAATTTGTATGTTTTTCTTTAAAATATAGATTTTTATATACATATTTAATAATAATAATAATAATAGATTTTACAGTATTTTATTTTACCGTAAGTACCGTAAAAAATAATGGGCTATTAATATGTTTATGAAGTTTTTTGATTACGGTATTTGAAAACAATGTTTTTTTTGTTTTTTTTTAAATGACAAGAGTATTGTTGGGATGTTTTTTAGGGGTAAATGTTTTTATTTAAAAAAAAAAATAATTAATTTAATCACTAATTTTACACTCGGATGACTTGGGATCGCATCCATCGTACGATTTCAATAGCGGATTATTCAGGTCACCGACGTTTTGATTATGATCGTTGTTGGCCACCACCGATGATGATGAGTCCTCCTCCTCCTCATAGACAATAGCCGGTTCGGTTGGCGGTCCACTATCCCGAACGCAGGCACATCTATACTGTTTCTTATCGGTCATAAACAGCTGACGGGGAACACCAATCCATTGGCGATCGTAACCGCCACTCTGGCGACTGCACCAAACTCGGCCGCTATTGGTCTGACCACTCCATTCCGAGTTACACAATGGGAACACTAGAAGCAAATCTTGTTCCTGTTCTTTCAGCTGATCCGATCGATGAATCTGTTGGCTAACCCATTGGCGGGCATCGGTCGGACAGCCAAACTGGTCATAATATCTGCCGACAAGTCTACCCACTCGACGATAATCTTTTTCATACAAATCAATCCATGTCCGGATGCCGTCAAAACTTTGGACATCGACACCACTGGTCAGATCGTCGCTAAGACCCGCTTGGCTAAAATCGCCGGTAATGTAGGCTCGGGTGGCGTCTTTGCCGGCAAAAAATGCATAACTGCCGCCCGGTTTGTAGTGTTGGGAACCGGAGGACACATCGTAAACGATACCCAAAAATGCCAGATATAGTCCACGGGAATCACTGGATCCGTCATATCGGGCCAATTCATCCGGGGTTAACAAAATTTCGTCCATTTCTAAACAATTTTTAGCGACACTATTGCCGACCACCAGTTCATCAGTATCTTTGGCCACCAGAAAGTTGTTCAACAAATTAAAGTTATAATTCAAGATATTTGGATACAAAACTAGGATAATAGCGCTGGTTATGGCTATAATAATTGCCTTAAGACTGAATGAACTCATTGTTGTTGTTGTTGTTGTTGTTGTTGTTGTTTGGGATCAGTTGGCATCAATGGATCAGTTCATCAATGGATCAGTTCATCAATGGATCAGTTCATCAATGGATCTGTTCATCAATGGATCAGTTTATCAATGGATCAGTTCATCAATGGATTAGTTCATCTATGGATCAGTTCATCGGTGGTTACAATTAAAAAATCATTGATTGATTGATTGATAAGTTTTCAGCCAATGATTGAATGCAATGCATAAGTCATTCACACATTTGTTTTGTTTACGTCTACTATAAATAAATCGATTGCGAAATCAATTCAATGCTTATAAAAAAACTATTTCATTATAAACAAAACCAAAACAATAATGGCCGCCACGTTATGATCAAAGATCCGTAATTTTTTTTAATGTTAATAATAACAATAGTGTGTTAGGCAACTATCTTATCGCTTAAGATAATGAGACCATTTAAAAAAAAATAATAATAGATAATAAAAAAAATAATATTAATATTCATTTTTTTTAAAAATTTATAATTGATAATAAAAATTACATGAGTATTTAAATATTTTTTATTATGTAATTTTTATCTAATAATATAATTTAATATATAAAGTTTGTGGATTTATTTCGGATTTAACAGCTATTATTAGTCAATGAATAGACAAAATACACATTTTTTCAACATTTGTTTTTTTAATCAAAACTAATATTATAATTAGTATATTTTATTTTAAAAGTGTTATTACTATATATAAATAAAATATACTAATTATAATATTAGTTTTGATTAAAAAAAAAAATTGTTGAAAAAATGTGTATTTTGTCTATTCATTGACTACATAATGCATTTACACATTAATACAATGATATCATTGTATTAATGCTTAAACTGATAGCTATAAGACATCTATTAATAAATTTGCTTAAATTATCCAATATTTTGGTTTTGTTTTCACTGAAACAGTTTTTTTTAGTTAATACGGATATCATTGTGTGTTGCGGCCATATTATTGTTTTGGTTTTGTTTATAATGAAAAAGTTTTTTTTACAGTACAATACACTGTATTTATTATGCATTGACTGTCATCTAGTGTTTGCATATATTGACTATTAATATGTTATAAATTATAAAACAACAAATCAATCAATCAATTATTGTTGGGATCAGTTAGTTGTGATAATAATAATTATTATTATTATTGGCCACAAATATTAGTCATCATCATCAGCAACAACAACAACAACAATATGGACGCCGACGATGATGGCAAAGGTGGCTATCGTTGGGAAACTGAATACGAAAAGACATGGTATGTATTGATCTGATTGATTGATTGATTGTCTTTGAAAACTAAACTTCTGTTTTGTGGTAATAATGAATAATGTCTTCTACTTCTATAGGGAAGCAATCAAAGAGACAGCCGACGGACTCATCGAACCGATGGTCGCCGATATGGTGAACAAAGCCAAACGCCGACGACTGGCCAACAAAAAGAATCTACGGCTCGGAATGGTTCGGCTTTTTTTGTGCTGATTTGATTGACTGACCATTGATTATCTCTTTGTATTGTATTATTATTATTGACCGCCAGATGAGACACCTGTTTATCGTTGTAGACATGTCTTCATCGATGAATCAAATAGATTTGCGACCAAATCGGCTGAAATGTACGACAAAAATATTGGAAATGTTTATCAATGAATTTATCGATCAAAACCCGATCAGCCATTTAGGACTGATTGTTACCCGAAATAAAAGAGCCGAAAAACTAAGCGATTTGAGTGCCAATGTTCGCCAGCATTTGGATGCCATCCGACGGTTGAATGATATGTCTTGTATTGGCGAACCATCTCTTCAGAATGCGCTCGAAATGTCAATGAAGATACTAAGGTATTGATTGGATTGAATTTGATTGATTAGATCCAGTGATTCAATTGATTGGTTGGATTCAGTGATCAATTGATTAGATCCAGTGATTCAATTGATTGGTTGGATTCAGTGATCAATTGATTAGATCCAGTGATTCAATTGATTGATTAGATCCAGTGATTCAATTGATTGGTTGGATTCAGTGATCAATTGATTAGATCCAGTGATTCAATTGATTAGATCCAGTGATTCAATTGATTAGATCCAGTGATTCAATTGATTGGTTGGATTCAGTGATCAATTGATTAGATCCAGTGATTCAATTGATTAGATTCAGTGAATCAATTGATTAGATCCAGTGATTCAATTGATTTGAGTATTGAATGTATAGGTAATTGTTTTTTTGTGTTTATGAATCACACCAGACATATGCCGGCCCACACCAGCAAAGAAGTACTCGTATTGATGGGCAGTTTGACGACATGCGATCCAAATGATATCAATCAGACTATTAGTCAACTGTTTGTCCATAACATCCGGTGTTCGGTCATTGGATTGGCCGCCGAACTACGTATTTGTCGAACATTGGCCCAGAAAACTAAAGGCCTGTACGATGTTGTCATGGATGAGGGACACTATAAGGAACTGGTCTATCAGCACATGGATCCGCCGGCATCATCAATGACCGAGTCATCGCTCATGCAAATGGGTTTCCCAACCTATATGAACGATGGCCAAACTCAGGCATCGATGTGTGTATGCCATCTGAACAATACATGCAATTTCAGTACAACCGGCTATTTGTGTCCGAAATGTCAATCAAAATATTGTGATCTACCGGTCGAGTGTCAGGTTTGTGGCCTAACCCTAGTATCGCCGGCACATTTGGCCCGTTCCTATCATCATCTGTTTCCAGTCGATGTATTCCAGGAGCTAACTGTTCCCGAATCGGATGGCGATAAGACTACTACTACTACTCATGAATGCTATGCCTGTAATAAACAAATCGATAGTAAATCAATTAGTGGTGCCGTATGTGAGGGCTGTTCGCAAATTTATTGTATTGATTGCGATCTGTTTATTCACGAAACACTTCATGTATGTCCCGGTTGTGTCTCAACAACAACTACAACAACAACCAGTAGTAGTAGTAATCAATCAATCAATCATTAAATAAAACAATTAATATTTGTTTGTATAACTAATTCAAATATACTGTAAATTAAGTTATTGTTACAAAAAAAAATTAATGTAAAAATTTTATGACAATAACTATAACTATCTCTATCTCTCTCTCTCACACACACACACTCACACTCACTCACTCACTATCTCTTTCTCTTCATTGAAATAATTAAATTTAAATTAAAATAAATTATATTTTATAAAACAAATTAAAAAAAATTATTTATCTTAAACTTCTAATTAAATTGTAAAATGATTACTGCCTTTTTGACAAATAGTTAATTTAAAATATAATAATTTTATTATTATGTTTATTAAGCAAATGTTTATATAAATTTTTTTTATTAAAATATTATAACTACTGTATTATTATTTGGTAATATTATTTATATTATTATTGTTTTTTTTATGTTTGATTTTAATTATGTACTGTATAGTTAAAATCAATTGATAAAATAATTAGATTAGATTAATTTTAAAAAATATTTAATTGTGCCAGTGTATACAGTATACTGTATATTATTAAATGTATTATAAATAATATATATATTATTTTTATATTATATTATATTTCAAAATAATAAAATTAGCTAATAAATAATATATTAAAATTACTAAACAATTATATTTGCTAATAAAATTACTAATAAATTATTATATTTTAGTTAAAAATTCAAAACTAGCTTATCATCTAATATTAGTAATATATTACTATTACATTAATTAAAAAAATGTAATACACGTGTAGATATATCTAACTTAATTTATATTATAAAATTAATTAATTAAAAAAATTTTAAAAAATTATTTAAATATAATATATTAAAATAATCTATAATAATCAATATATTTAACTAAAAAAAACATTTATTATATATATAATTGTTAATGAATATAATAAATTATTTTAATTCAAAATTTTTAGTTAGAAATTTAAATCTATTAAATAATTTACTAAACATTTTAGTAGACATTAGTTAATTATAAATAAAATAATATAGTTTTATATATTTAATATATTCATAAATAAGATTAAGTATGATTATTGTAATTATATGTTAAAATTAAGAAAAACATAATTAACAATAATATCAATAGTTTTAATCAAATAAATTTTGTAATATATTACAAAATATTTAATTATCATTATTTATCTAATAAATATTAAAGTAATATTTATTTAATTATTTAATAGTCTAGAGTCTAGACAATGAAAATTAATTTTTTCTTAAAAAAAGCAAACTAATCATTTGATTAAATTAGGGTATAAATAAGTGATGCAAAATGTTTAAGTTAGCTAATTAATTATATACAGTATCATAGTTTGGTATTAAAAAATTATACTAAATTTACTTAGAAATATTTAATTAATTTTTTAAAAAAATCACAAAAAACGATGTTTTATTTTATGAAAGTTTTAACTATTATTTCATTTTTAGCAATATTTGGTAAGTTTATTAAATTTAAATATATATATATATATATTTAATTTTTAAATATAATTATAATTTTATTTTAATGTCTTAACTATATTTTAGCTAAAAATTATCATGTTCATACTATAGCATGATAAATAATGTTGAATCGTACGACTATATTGATCACAATGAAAAATGGACGGTCATAGATGAAACAAGTCCATCATTTAATATGGATTGGTTTAAAATTCTATTAATTATATTATCGATCCAAACACACAATTCGAGACCATTGAAGCTTGACGAAAATGTTTGTATATTATTATTTTTTTTTTAAAATTAAATTAATCAATTTAAGTTTTTACCAATTATATACATTGTATGTATTTATTAATTATATATTTTTATCTTAGCTAATAAATTTTGCGAAAAAGCGCTGTGAACAAGTATCAAAATTTGAAAAAAATCGATGATGGTCGTACTGATGATTTTATTAGTATCGGTGAAAATCTTTTACGATTATATGACAAATCTAACTGTGTAGTTTTGTTATTGGATATTGGTTAGTAGATAAAAATAGTATTGTTATATAGTATATAATATTTCCAGTATATATATATATAGTATAATATATATATTATATGATATATTTTTCGCTTTTTCAGTGATTAACATTATATATAAGAATTTTTTAATTATTATTATTATTTATGAAATGTACCATGATATTTATCTATGATGGTTATCTATGAATAATTTTATTTATTATAACTTTAAACATTAATAACGTTATTACATTTATCAAAAAAGTTATCATGATACCACTTAATGCTACTCACATTAATAATTTTAATATAATATATATTATATACTATAGTAATAATTAAATTTTTTTTATAAATAAAATAGGTATCGTCTAACGATAATTTCTTATGATTATGATTCGAATAATCCGTTTAGAAAATCGCTGTCAGATCAGTCAAAAAAATACAGATGAAACAATTTACTCAATTAGTCTGGGATATTACTAATCGATAGTTGGATGATGTGCTCAATGAGACAGCGGTCAAAACCTCCTAGAGGTCGAAATGTGGTTTGTGAGTTTACACCAGCTGGTAATGTTAATGGGAATTGTTTAAAGCGAACGTAGCCAGACCACATAATTAAGTTTTATTAAACACTTAAAATTTTAATATTTAACTATACTATTATTTTTTTTTTGAAAAAATAAGTTTAAGATTAATGTAATAAAAATTACTTTTTATATTATTAAACATTCTAAATAATTTCATTCTATTGACAATTATTTAATAGTTTTTATTTAAAACAATTAAATTGTCATTTTATACAAATGATTTGGTTCGCAACCTTTGGCGATTTCTATATAACCACTTTCAATTTGTTTTAATTCAATTTTACATGAAGAAATCTATTAAAATAAGTTTATGTTAAATAAATAAATAAATTTTGTAAATTTAATTATAAAAATCAAATATGAGTCTGTGTAATGTGTGTAATGTGTGTGTGTATGTATATGTATGTGTATGTGTATGTGTGTGTATGTATGTATGTATATGTATGTGTATGTGTGTATGTGTGTGTGTGTATGTGTATGTGTGTGTGTGTATGTGTGTATGTGTATTTGTGTATGTGTGTGTGTGTGTGTGTGTGTGTATGTGTGTGTATGTATGTGTGTGTATGTGTATGTGTGTGTGTGTATGTGTGTATGTGTGTGTGTATACGTGTGTATGTGTAATAGATAAAATAATTTAATTAAAATTATTTTTTTTAAATCATATAAATATATAATAAATGTTTTTACTTGAATACAATGGCCATCTTTAAGAATATATTTTTTTAGAAATTTGAAATGTTCTTCAGGAAGACAACGGCGCTTATAATCGACATAATATTGAAACAGATAGTAGACATAACCGTCAACGGGATTGTTGTATTTAAATCCATTGTATAGTTGGATATCACCTTTTTTATCGTTAAAATTATAGATAACCGAATCAAATGCTTTCAATACGTCCGGTGCAAACAAATCGGCCCAATCGTACGGGAAATGTGTAAACTGGTCATCGATGTACTCTCCCATTACGGTCATCATCGGTACAAACATTATCACCATAGCTGATGATGCCATTAATGTTGATGATTTGAATATCAATTTTATCATTTTATTTATTTTTTTGTTTGTTAGCTATAAGTTGTTTTTTATTTTCACCACTACTACAGTACTACTACTACTACTACTAATGTCTACAAAATAATATTTAATTAAATTATATATAATTTTTTGTTGTTAATGAAGAAATTATATTAAATAAATTAAGTTATTTTCAAAAAAAACTTGAAAAGTTTTGTTTTCTGAAATCTATACGAGCCTTTTGTGTGTGTGTGTGTGTGTGTGTGTGTGTAGCATTTCATTTTACGAATTTTGAAATTCTGACTTCAGATTCGGTTAGAGGACTACTAATAATGTATTGAAAAGTTTAATTAAAATTTTGATATCTCTTCGGGAACATAGACAAAATGGCGGCCAAAGTAAAAAAAATTTTAAGAAAATTTTTTTTAAGTATAGATTTGAATAAAGCATCAAAAACAAGAATAAAAAAATACATTAAAATTTTGATATCTCTTCGGGAACATAAAAAAATGGCGGCTAAAGTAAAAAAAATTAGGTAAAAATTTTAACGTTTAGAATTGTAAAGAGTATCAAAAATATGATATAATCTATCAGTATAATTTTTTTAAAATGGCGGCAAAAGTATAAAAAATTTTAAGAATTTTTTTTAAATATAGATTTGAAGAAAGCATCAAAAACAAGGATAAAAAAATATGCATTAAATTTTGATATCTACGGGAACAAAAAGAATAAGTATAAGCGGCAAATGTATAATTATAGATTATTATTTTGTTATACTAAATCATTTGATACCCCACATGACTATAGTTGTTTATTTTGTCATACTGAATCATTTGATACCATACATTACAATATTTATATTATGTATATTTAACCAGTTTTTAAATTTTTATGTTATTATATAGCTGCTATAATTATAAAACTAATAGTTTTCAATGTTATTCAAGTTTTTTTTCTGAAAATGCTTTCTAGCATTCTTAACTGGTTTTTATTAAAATTATTAATGCTTTTTTATAAAATATAAAAATCATAAACATATGTAAAATAATTTTTATATATAAAAATCATATTAATAAATTAAATATTTATTATATAATAAATATGGCGATTTGTTAATAAAAATATAGAGATAGAGAGAGAGAGAGAGAGAGAGAGAGAGAGAGAGAGAGAAAGAAAGAAAGAAAGAGAGAGAGAGAGAGTGTTATTGAAATTAATGTTAGATTTTCATTAAATAACAATATTTTAATATATATGTAATTGCTTTCTAGACATTATCGGGAATATCGTTTTCTCCGCCGCCGCTGACCAGCCGTGTTTTTAAATGTTTATATAATTTTTTCATTAAAATATTATTAAATAAAATATTATAACTACTGTATTATTATTTGGTAATATTATTTATATTATTATTGTTTTTATGTTTGATTTCAATTATGTACTGTATAGTTAAAATCTATTGATAAAATAATTAGATTACATTAATTTATTTGTTTTTTAAATAATATTTAATTGTACTAGTGTATACAGAATATATATATATATTATTAAAAGTATTATAAATAATATATATTTATATTATATATATATTATAAATATATTATATATATATTATAAATATATTATATATATATTATAAATATATTATATATATATTATAAATATATTATATATATATTATAAATATATTATATATATATTATAAATATATTATATATATATTATAAATATATTATATATATATTATAAATATATTATATATATATTATAAATATATTATATATATATTTTATAATATGATTATATATCAAAATAATAAAATTAGCTTATAAATAATATATTAAAATTACTAAACAATTATATTTGCTAATAAAATTACTAATAAATTATTATATTTCAAAATTTTAGTTAAAAATTCAAAACTAGCTTATCATCTAATATTAGTAATATATTACTATTACATTAATTAAAAAATGTAATACACGTGTATATATATATAACTTAATTTATATAATAATAAAAATTAATTAAAACATTAAAAATAAATTATTTAAATATAATATATTAAAATAATCTATAATAATCAATATATTTAACTAAAAAAACATTTATATATAATTGTTAATGAATATAATAAATTATTTTAATTCAAAATTTTTAGTTAGAAATTTAAATCTAATAAATAATTTACTAAACATTTTAGTAGACATTAGTTAATTATAAATAAAATTATATATTTGTATATATTTAATATATTCATAAATAAGATTAAGTATGAATATTGTAATTATATGTTAAAATTAAGAAAAACATAATTAACAATAATATCAATAGTTTTAATCAAATAAATTTTGTAATATATTACACAAAAAACCAGTTGAGAATGCTCCAAAAGCATTTCCATACGAATTTCTTAACTTAAAAAAGAAAAAGAACCAAAAAATGTTTTTGACACTATTTTCTCTATGTTCCTAATATAATAAACTCAAAAAAATTTCAAAAAAAAATCAAAAAAAATTTTTACTAATTATTGGACACCATTTTTCTAAAAAATACTTAAAAAATAAAAGAAATAAAAAAACAAAAAAAATCACAAAAAAATGTGTAGCTGAATGTGGATTCGAACCTATGTCCTCGTGGGACAGACAGACCGACAGACAGACTTTTAGAATGCATATACGTATTCCTTTCAGGAATTCGTGAAAATAATATAGTTTTATATATTTAATATATTCATAAATAAGATTAAGTATGATTATTGTAATTATATGTTAAAATTAATTATATATATTAATACAATAATATCAATAGTTTTAATCAAATAAATTTTGTAATATATTACACAAAAAAATAATTATCATTATTTATCTAATAAATATTAAAGTAATATTTATTTAATTATTTAATAGTCTAGAGTCTAGACAATGAAAATTAATTTTTTCTTAAAAAAAGCAAACTAATCATTTGATTAAATTAGGGTATAAATAAGTGATGCAAAATGTTTAAGTTAGAAAATTAATTATATACAGTATCATAGTTTGGTATTAAACAAAATTATACTAAATTTACTTAGAAATATTTAATTAATTTTTAAAAAAATCACAAAAAACGATGTTTTATTTTATGAAAGTTTTAACTATTATTTCATTTTTAGCAGTATTTGGTAAGTTTATTAAATTTAAATATATATATATATATATTTAATTTTTAAATATAATTATAATTTTATTTTAATGTCTAACTATATTTTAGCTAAAAATTATCATGTTCATACTAACATGATAAATAATGTTCAATCGTACGGCTATATCGATCCCAATAAAAAATGGACGGTTAAAGATGAAACAAATCCATCATTTAATACGGAATGTTTAAACTCTATTAATTACTATCGATCCAAACACAATAAGCGACCATTGAAACTAAATGATAATGTTTGTATATTTAAAAAAAAATTAAAAAAAAATTAAAAAAAATTCTATTCTTATATAATTTTTAAAAAATTAATGTTTTTGCAATTATATATTTTCTTAGCTAATAAATTATGCGATAAAACGCTGTGAACTGGTATCAAAATCAGTGCAAATTGATGATGGTCGTATTTTTGATATTATTGGTGTCGGTTGAAAATCTTTTACGATTGACTGACAAATCTAACTGTAGTTTTGTTATTGGATATTTGGTTTAGTTGAAAAAAATAGTATTGTAATATAATAGTAATAATTAAACTTTATTTTTTTATATATATATATAAAATAGGCATCGTCTGGCAAATATTTATGAGTATGAGTCGAATAATCCGTTAAAAAATCTGTCAGATCAGCAAAAAATACAGATGACACAATTTATGCAATTAATTTATCCATTTACTAGTCGAGTTGGATGTGCTCAATGCGACAGCGAAATGACCGGTCGAAATGTTGTATGCGAGTTTATGCCAGCTGTGTAATGTTTTTTTTATATGGATTGTTTAAATCAACAAAAAAAACGTAGCCAGGACCATAATAATTAAGTTTTATTTACCACGAAATATTTTAATATTTAACTATAGTTTTTGATTTTAATGTAATAAAAATAATAATAAAACATACTTTATTTTAATAAACAAATTTTTATTTCATTCTATTCATTATATTTCAATAATTATGTAAAGTTTTTTTTTTAGTTGAAACAATTATTATTTGTGTTAATCAAATTTTAAATTTATACAAATTATTTGGAATGCAACCTTTGGCAATTTCTATGTAATCATTTCCAATTTGCTTTAATTCAATTTTACATGCAGACGGCTATTAAAATAAGTTATATTAAACAAATAAAAATTTTTGTTAAATTTAATTATAAAAATCAAATATGTATGTGTATGTGTATGTGTATGTGTATGTGTATGTGTATGTGTATGTGTATGTGTATGTGTATGTGTATGTGTATGTGTATGTGTATGTGTATGTGTATGTGTATGTGTATGTGTATGTATGTAATAATTAAACAAAAATTATTTAAAATATATTATATAATAAATGTTTTTACTTGAATACAATATCCATTTTTAAGAACTTTTCTTTTTGGAAATTTGAAATGTTCTTCAGGAAGACAACGGCGCTTATAATTCAAATGATAATCAAACAGATAGTAGACATAACCGTCAACGGGAATAATATTTAATTAAATTATATATAATTTTTTGTTGTTAATGAAGAAATTATATTAAATAAATTAAGTTATTTTTTTTTATTAAAATTATTAACGCTTTTTTATAAAATATAAAAATCATAAACATATGTAAAATAATTTTTATATATAAAAATCATATTAATAAATTAAATATTTATTATATAATAAATATGGCGATTTGTTAATAAAAATATAGAGAAAGAAAGAGAGAGAGAGAGAGAGAGAGAGAGAGAGAGAGAGAGAGAGAGAGAGAGAGAGAGAGAGAGAGAGAGAGAGAGAGAGAGAGAGAGAGAGAGAGAGAGAGAGAGAGAGAGAGAGAGAGAGAGAGAGAGAGAAAGAGAGAGAGAGTTATTGAAATTAATGTTAGATTTTCATTAAATAACAATATTTTAATATATATGTAATTGCTTTCTAGACATTATCGGGAATATCGCTGACCAGCCGGCGAACCCGTTGCGGCCAAATACTGCCGACGGGTCTATCGTGCGTCTGGTTTTGTCTCAAAAAATTTATTTAAAAAAAATAAATTTCTAATTACTATTAATTTTTAATCTTTTAAAACTATAATACAAGTAATATTTGTTAAAAATATCTATTATTATTAATAGATTATAACTATTATATATCAGAATATAATTATTTCAATTATTTTTTTTTGTATAACTTTTGTATTAATTGTTATTTTAATTATACTGTAACTTATTTACTGTATATACAAAACTACGGTTAAGTAAAGGGGTGGTGGGGTAGGGGTTAAAATATTTTCAATTTTATAATTAATATAACTAAAACTTTAAGAAACATTGACTTAAATAATTAGTATTCAGTCAGTATTTGTATAAAAATAACATTTAAATAATAAAAATATATAACTATAAACTATTAATAATTTTTAATTTTTTAAATAATACTTAAAATACTAAAAATAACTCATAGTGTATCATTAATGCTTTTATCAACTATTTTTTAAATTTTAAATACATTATTATTATTATTATTATTATTATTTTGTTAATATTTAAATTTTTATTAATTTTTATTTTTTTAAATATTTTGTGAATATTTACCTATATTCCTGGGAACTTTTACGGGAACTTTATGGAATTTACATGGGAATGTTCGGGAATTTAAGTTTTTAAAAGGAAATTTTCTCTTGACTCCCCCCCCCCTTGATTTTAGATTTTTGAAACAAATTGCCGTTTAAAAATGCAATAAAAGTCTATATCCCACTATATACTCCCCCCCCCCCCCAAGATTTTTCGAAATATTGTAAATTCACCCCAGTCTATCCCCCCCATAAAATCCAAAAACTTGCTTAACCCTGATACAAAACATATACTGTATTATTCAGTATAATATAATATAGTTGTAATTTATAAACTAATATTTGAATATAATTTTTAAATATAATTAATGATAAAACAATTTTTTTTTTAAATAAATAAAAACAAACATTAATTTAGACAAAAATATGACTCCTATTTATTTAATCAATAAATTATATCAATCATTATTAGGCAATTAGGGGGGGGATAGTAACCATAAAATTAATTAAAACTTTTTTTTTAAAAAAAATAATCATTATTAATAATACAATTAATTATCGGTATATTTATACAGTTATAGCTATATTACCGATAATACCATACAATAATTACCGTACRATAGTGTAGGGRTTGTACAGTGGGRGGGGGGKTATACAGTAGATATACAGTACATAATAACTATATGCATATATACATTGTGTTTCCGAAACAATTACCGGTAAGTGTTAACCACAACAACAACAAAAAACATTAAAAATAAAATTAACGTTAAATTTCTCTTAAATAACAATACGTTTAGCAGTTATTATATGCAATTGATTGGAGACTATATCGGGTATATCGTTGAGTCCGCCGCCGCCAACATTGCCACCAATACCTCCGCCTCCACCACCGCTGCTATCGGGAGGCGGCGCCTGATTTTGTCGACAGTTTCTATCTTTTTGAATGCCGCCAAACATTATCAGTTCAGCCCTACCGGCGACCAACGTATAGAGCATAACCTCTTCGGGTCCGTCCGTAACGAATATATTTTTATGAACCCATTTGGCAATATTTTTACCGATCACTTGACTAATATCCAAACAAAACAATTGCATCGGATTCTGGGCTAACTGTTCGCTGGATCTGATGGTCGTATTTCGGACGACAAGCGGCGACGATATTGTCTTTTTCATCTGTTGTATCCGGAGTTCCATTCGATCCAAACCTTCCAGTTGTCGCTGACGATTACGTCGCGATAGCGGACGCGACTGTTGCTGTAAACCACTACCACTTGCAGCAGCAGAAGCAGCAGCTGCTGCTGCTGCAGCCGTAGATATAGTTCCCGTATCTAATGCCGATATCGAGGTCGATGCTGTCGATGTCGAAGCAGTGGGTACCTGACCAGACAATTGTTGCCAATCTAGCCGATCATTGGCCGCCGCCGCTGCCGACTCTTTGGCCGCTGAATACTGTCGACTACTACTACTACTACCCGATTCAGCTGATGATGACTTATTATTATTATTGCGTAACTTATTGTTTTGATCTTTACATTGATTTGTTGGTCGGAGTCTTTGGGCTGGACTTAACACTACCAATAGGTTTGCTATCTATATATATATATAAAGAGATAATCAATTAATAACTAATATTTAACTATCGGTAATAAATAATAATAATAATCGGGACTCACTTTACAAGTGGGATGAAAATTGATTTGCGGCCCAGGAGGATTCGAGTCCTTGCGAATCACTTCAATGGGTCGCCAATACCATTGCTGAGACCAGTCATCGGGTATGCATAGCAACCAAATATCGTTGAACAACATGTTTGGTCCGCCCGAACCACCAGTTATCAGTATATGCTGGTCATCTAATACCACCTGCGAGTGGCCATAACGGGGCAACGGTTTCGGCGATGCCGTTACCGGCTGTTTGTTCCAAACAAATGTCTCTAAATTCAATATCCAGACATCGTTTGAACTGAAAAACGGTATCGGATTGTTGGCTTCGCTGTGCAGACCGCCAAAAACAATCATATAGTGACCGATAATACTGGCCGAATGGCCGGCAATAGCCGGACAATAATGCGAGTCAGTGGGTACTACTAGACTCCAGCGATAGGTAGTCGTATCAAACAAGTGAATCTGATTGAATATACGCCACTCTTGGTGTATGGGATAGGGAGAGGAATGAGTCCAACCGCCAAATAGTATCAAATAGTTGTTATGATAGGCCATCGATGCGCAGGCTTTCGGCGACGGAAAAGTTCCCGTAGCTATCGGCCGAATCCATGTACGCGACGATAGATCAAAACGCCATAAATCGTTGAACGTTGTGTTAGCTATAGTACAGCCGCCGAACACATACATAGATGAGCCGACCAGACAGGCACTGTGCGAATAGCGGCCCGATATTGATGGTCCCGAACTGGGCGACAAATGCCACCATCGGATCGATTGTGTAACCAAACTGGCTATGAAATCGCGTTTAAGTTTACGGATAGTATCTGTTCGCGAATGGATGGATCAAATGAATGATTATATATCTAATGGTCTATCTATACCACCCACTGAATACATACCGATTACCGCCGACCTCCAGGTCTTTGAGACCAGTTTACAGTCGATCAGCTGTCGATAGGGACTCAAATAGCTTAGGATGTACTCCAAGACTACTTGAGGTATATCATCGACAGTAGTAACCGTCAATTGGTTGTCGATGTAATCCATGACATGTATGTTTGGTGGTTTTGATTACCGCATCAATTGATCTCTCATTAATTGTTGTCTTTTAAACACACAGACAGTCAGTGTTGTTGTTGTGGTTGTATTGATAGCAGTGCTCACAACACACACACACTTTGACTGTCATTATCATATGGTTTGCTTATCATAATATAATAAAGTACTAAATGTTCGATATACTAACTACTACTAAATAGTTAATATAATTCTATCGAAAATTTTGTACCTTTTATTTAAGTAATAGTAGATATAATACTTTTTTTTAAAAAAAAAACAACAACAATAATATTACAGTACTGTATATCTGATATACAGTATAATGTGTGCGCTTAATGGCAATAATAACTTATAGTTTATATATTATCTAAAATAGTATCAGAACTTTCACTAATATATATACTAGAATTTAGGCCTATTTATGATTTTATGATTATTTAATAAAAATATTTATATACTGTATTATAATTTAGTAGAAAAAAATAGTTTTTTTTTTATTTTAATTAAAATATTTCATATTTTATTAGTATTGTAATTTTAAGGTAAGTTATTATTATAGTAATTATACAGTTTTTTTTTTATAATTATTATTATAAAATTGATTTGAAACTAAAGGAAAAATTATTATTATTTTTTTTTCTTAAACAACTATTTATAAAAACAAAATCCGACTACAAATCGGTAAAAAAAAACTTTTTGGGGCAACAGTTGGCACACAAAATAATTTAGGTAAAGCTGTCCGCGGGATATATGATATATACATAACCATTAGTATCGCCCCCGTTGTTGTTGTTGTTGTTGTTGAGACACAACCGGGACATACATGAAGTGTTTCCGTGAATAAACAGATCGCAATCAATACAATAGATTTTCTGAGAACAGTCCTCACAAACGGCACCACTAATTGATTTTTACTATCGATTGATGTTTATTAAAGGCATAGCATTCATGAGTAGTAGTAGTAGTAGTAGTATCGGCCGATTCGGGAACAGTTAGCTCTTGGAATACATCGACTGGAAACTATGATGATGATAGGAACGGGCCAAATGTGCCGGCGATACCAATGTTAGGCCACAAACCTGACACTCGACCGGTAGATCACAGTATTTTGATTGACATTTCGGACACAAATAGCCGGTTGTACTGAAATTGCATGCATTGTTCAGATGGCAGACACACATCGATGCCTGAGTTTGGCTATCGTTCATATAGGTTGGGAAACCCATTTGCATCAGCGATGACTCAGTCATTGATGATGCCGGCGGATCCATGTGCTGATAGACCAGTTCCTTATAGTGTCCCTCATCCATGACAACATCGTACAGGCCTTTGGTTTTCTGGGCCAATGTTCGACAAATACGTAGTTCGGCGGCCAATCCAATGACCGAACACCGGATGTTATGGACAAACAGTTGACTAATCGTCTGATTGATATCATTAGCAGATAATAAAACTTAATAAAAGCTAATCAAAACATATACACACACATACACACACATACACACACATACACACACATACACACACATACACACAAATACACACACATACACACACATACACACACATACACACACATACACACACATACACACACATACACACACATACACACACATACACACACATACACACACATACACACACATACACACACATACACACACATACACACACACACACACACATACACACACATACACACACATACACACACATACACACACATACACACACACACACACACATACACACACACACACACACACACACACATTGACAGCAATTACTAATTACAGATCAGGTGGTGTTTCGCAACCCGACCACTGAAACAGTGGTTCGGTGCCATCGACGGTCACATTGGTCTTAAATAGGCTTAAATTATGAGACAACAGCTGAAACAAAGTAATGTTCAACTGTTGTGGTTGGGTTAGAGCTTGTGGTATACTTGTAATGGTCGCCACTAAGTGATCCAGTTTACCACACAGTTCATCAATTTGTCTTTTAATTGACATCAGTGCCTGACTCTCAACCATATAAATGTCAACTCCAGGCCCCTCTTGGGCTACATATCCAATTGCTGCCGACAATTGGTGCCGAAGAGTGACCAAATGACTTGAAGAGAGAGAGAGAGAGAGAGAGAGAGAGAGAGAGAGAGAGAGAGATAATTATTGTCATAAAATTTTTACATTAATTAAACAACAAAAAAAATACCGTATTTTACAAATACATTAATTTTTTTTTGTAACAATAACTTAATTGTAATTGTAACAAATATTAATTGTTTTATTTAATG